ATGAAGCGGGGAGGTTGTAATCTGACCAGTCGCAATCTATGCGCCCGGGACTGCTTATACTACGTACCGACAGGTGTCCTCGTGGACGAATTGATTCCAATCATGACTAGGCACCTTGCAGCAGGTGAGCTAGTTTCGGATTTGATTGGGTAGGAAGGCAGACCAGCCCCTTTTCAGGCGTGATTCAGCGAGGGAGGCGTGTTCAAGAATAGGGAATTTTAGAAAAGAAAAAGGGAAAATAAATAAAAAAAAATGGAGACGCCTAATCGAAGCGGCATACGAGTGTCGGAAAGGAGAGTAAGAAAAAAAAGGAGTAGTGGATAGGACGATAATTAGAATCGGCGCCGTCTCGAATTCACGGGCCAATGGTGTAGAAGAATGGACAATTAGATATCTCGAATATATGCAAAGTGACAGAAGGATGCAGCCTTAGGTACTACGTGCGAGACCCCGGTATTCAAGTGTTAGTGTCAGGAACTGCCGTGGAATTGAACCTTGGTACCGAGTAGTACTCGCACACACACATATAGATATTTGAATGTACCTAGGTATATTACTTGTACTCACTGCAACTATCTGCAGCATAGGGCACAGAAGAGAGATTTGCGCTGGGATTTTCCCGTGACATAGCCCTAAATGAGCCTGAGCACGCATGACATCGCATCTCATCCTACCAAAGCTTACTTGGCTGTCTAATCCGAACGCCACTGAACGGACACAATACTGTACTGGGTTGTCTAGATCGATCCTGTATCCACATCCGAGCCGTGGACAGCAAGATCTAAGGGACGATGGACCTCATTCCAGTGATTGGCCTAACCGGATAGACCCGTTCTGATGGATCCGATTGAAACCAAAAATACTCCGTATACATCGAACCCACTCTCCGCACGATTTCTCTCTCTCTCTCCCTCTTTTTTCTATGAACGTTCCAGAATAAAAATTCTATTTCTATTCGCTCTTGAATTCATAATTCTTTTCCCTGGTTCCTCCTCTCCCTCACTTCTATTCCCTTTCCGGCATTCTCTTGTGCCTTTTTACACCATGTATGTTTACGCTTCTTCATTTGCCTGACAAGTTCCCCTCAATGGGTTCCTGATTACCCACACCATCACCATCCCATCCCATCTATTCCCCTTGCCGAGGTACATGAAGTTACCTGCCTCGGTGCTTCTTGCCTGATGTCAATCGACAAGCCCCAATCTGGTCGAGGACTCGGAGCGTTCAGAGATCTATTCCGCTCTGCTCCCCCGCCCGCCCCTACTACCCCTGCCTCCCGTCGCCGCGTGTCCGTCCTGGTCCGTCGAGGTAGGGATCTTTTCTCGAACAAGTAACATTCCCCAAATCCCCGTCATTGTTTTACCCATTCCTTCATTTGCGTGGGATCGTGTGTGGACGGCCGGGGGCGGAGGCGAAATCTAACCCCGCCGAGATTCCCAACGAGGCGCAGCCTTTCTCATCTTCATCTTTCTCAATCGACGGAACCAAGAAGCATCACAGGAACTCAAAAAAAGGAGAGATCCACGAGGCTAAGACTAGTACCGCAACAGCAGACATCCTGTAGACCCTCCCAACAATCCATCACCTTCCCGCATGAACTCTCAACCGCATTTCGACCCGGCCACGATGATCGGGCTAGCCGGTGCCTCACCCGGTATAACAGAGGACAATTTCGACATCTTCGAATGGTATCCGCGCTACCAGAGCTGCCAACGCTACTTCCTAGATCATGCTCAGCACAGCGTGCCCGTCCAGGCTTTATCTACCTTCTTGAACATTCGTCTGCCCCTCCAGCGACAGCCCAACCCGGTCCCCAATTCGAATCCAATCCCCGCCTCATCATCATCTTCAGCTGGTGCCACATCTCCCGGCCCACCGGCAGTCTCATTGATTCCTTATATACGCCGCCTGGTCGCGACTGGTATGGATTTCCCAGGTGTCTTGCACGGATTCTTCGGCGACGACTGGGGCAGCGGCATCGGCCCGTTACATGAGCAAGAGCGTCGCAATTATCTCTTCGCTGCAAAGAGCGGCGGTTGGGCTTCCGTCAAAAAAGACTACGACATGTCACCGCTAGAGACGATTCCATTCCTGCGCCCGCTGCAAGGACCCCTCGATACGGAGATCGAAGCCGCCGAACGCAGCTGGAGTGAATGGCTTGCAATGGAGGACTGGATGGTTGGACCGCGTGCTCCAGATATCCTGCAAGATTCATCCTCTCAGAACACACGACCACGAAGTGCGCGCGGCTAAACTTCGGTCTTACTTCCTCCACTTCATCCATCACATATTTCACTTCTACCACATGTGTTTTCAATCCTTCTTTTCCGGGGCATCAAGCATATTGGGTCGGCTACGTGGTTTCCATTGAGTTCTCCGAACCATCTGGTCTTGTCTAGCGATCATGTCTCTTTTATCGTTTTTGTTTGCAGCGTCTTGGGATACAGCATTACCCCGGATTACTCTCATATTGGATGGGAAGGCAACCCCCCTCTCTCTCCCTAGTCATATATTTAGGGGAGCTTAATTGCAGCCAATCATCAAGCCTTTCAAAAATAGACGCCGATGCATTATTACGCATCTATATATTTTAAATTAATTCAAAATAAATGAACAGAGCCACTAAACGCAAGTCCTAGAGACAATTTACTCAGTATCTAGTCTTGTTTTGGGGCTGGACCCTATGGTGAAATCCCGAAACCAAAAATACGAGTTGTAAACTCGTCTCCACACCGCCGGATAATGATGCCAGGGGAGAAAAAAAAATTGCACAAGAAGATCCTCCCTTGAAGAAGGAGAAAAAGTCGATATATCCGAACGTCATTTCGGCCGGCAAGGTGGAATATCGGGGGGGCCAGAGTGGATGCTGCGAGGAGAGGAAATCGGGGGGTATGAAGATCATTTCCGCTGCCAGCAAACGGACTGTGCCTGACCGCGGTTCCCTAACGAATCTCCTTGTCAAGGGGGAGCGTTGAGGGAATCCACCTGGACCACAGAAATCGCAAAGGGGGTCTGAAAGAGGGGGGTAAATCGTTGAACCACCATTGAGTTTTTTTCTCTTTCTTTCTTTCTTTACACCCAACCCCACTAGTTTGCGACTTGCCGCGGTGGACTCCCCAGATCCAATCGGCGCTGAGGCCATGGCTTGTTCCTTGGAATCCATGGATGACAACGGGGCTACAAGAGTTCGGTCCTTATTTGTGCCATTTTTTTTCACTCTCTTTCTAAGCGCGCACATTTCCGATTGACAGAGAAGAGGGGAAAAGGGAAGGGTACTTACTGGTGGGTAGCGTCTCGATATCCGGATTTAGGTGGGTGCAGCCAGACGTGGAGTAGTTCCCAGCCTATTATTCCACGGTTGTTCTCTCATGGTATAACTGCTGTATAAACATCTACTACTCCGTAGGAAGTATAGCAGAGACCCGCCCTGAAAAAAGGAATCGGAGATTACTTTGACACTGTAGCACGTGCGTAAATGCAATCCTGCAAGAACCCAAAATTTAGGGACGAAGAAAGAGCAAGGCCTATCGAAAGCTGACGCTAAACTTGTCGATGCCCGGATCCTCACGCCGACAGCCAATAAGGGCTTTGACCATGTACTCCGCAGGGGGAATTCGCGCTGTGCGGGCGCAAACTTTGGTCCTTTCCACCCATGACAACCTTGGAAGTTGGGGCGGGTGTCTGTGCCGTCTTTGACCACACACTGTTCACCTGTTCTTAATTCTTTGGCAGAGTCAAGGAGGCAGTTTGTGGCGTTGCTGAGAAGGGGGCCTAGCTCGCCCTTAGTCTCTGCCGCTAACGGTCACTGCGGAGTTTCTCCCCTGAGCCCCAATGCCCATTGGTGTCTAGGCTTCAAAAATTCTCCGAGATCATCCTTGGCTAGGTTTACGACCTTGATTCGCTGATCTTTGGCTGCCTTTCACACTTCAAGATCGACCGTCAACCCCTGTCCATCATGATCGCCCCTCCAAACTGTGCACGGCATATATCCGCTTCTTCTCGTATTCGGTCTCGATCGGGGGATCGGAGTCAATTGTTGGAAAACTATATGATATGTGGAAAGTATATCTAGTTGGCAGTCAGAATTACGTATAAAGCAGGCGCTTGACGTGGGGGTCCAAAGAGCACCATTATCATTCGAAACGAAATCGCGGATCATGTACCATAGTTCGGAACAGTTCGAAACCTGTGATAATGTACATCGGTGGACTCGGCCACGAGTGTGTCCAAGCTGTCGGGATCGGGATTTGGGGAGCGCTTCACACGGACGGGAAACCCTGACTAAATTAGTGTTCTTGAATCTTGATTTTGCATTCTTGATTTGCTTCTAAGGTTAGCACTAGGATAGTAGTAGTACTACTACACTTTGGTAAGCGTACTGCCTAATGTACCTCGGTCGACCCCAGCGAGGGTACGTACTATGCCTACTTAGAGGGATCCCGACTCATGTCCTCCACAGATCGACCCCTTTTCAGCGGTACGCCGGTATCTGCCAGATATCGCCGGGCATCTTTTCCGGAAATGATCCGTAGCTGTGGAGCCGAGCTCCCTCTTGGAACGGCGATTAAAAAAAAACAGTAAAGTCTGGCTCGGCTCCATTGTGTTCGTTAATCGTTCGTTCGCTCAAGGCCAGTCCAAGAACTGCGGACTTGGCTCGGTAAACGAGCAGAGCCCTAAGTGGAGTGTTTATTTGGCTTGAATGAACTGTTTCGGGCGACGTGCTTCTGAAGACTCATCATTCGTGACGTTAGTGGGGGTTGTTTCAGAGTCTGATCTGTGACGAAGAGGGGTTCCATGGTTCTGGGGATAAAGGTCGGAATAACCCGAGTCATGATGTATGATCTCGTTACTAGCTGTTACTTGGTGCTTAGAAAGCCATGTTGTATCCCAAGGTTCTGATCCGGCATGGGTGTCACCGCGCTGAATTATGAGCCTCTATTCTCAATACGGAGCAATGCGATAAGAATCTAACCCTCGCTAGAATTCCCAGAAACGGTAATTCATTCCGAGCGAACAAGTGTTTGACTAGTTATCCTGCTATTTGAAAGATCATCTTGGCGTACTGGTTTGAAAACTGTGTTGGAAGATGATGAATGGAAGCTCTGAAAGCGCATGGGTATTTCAAAGGTTCTCATCCTCACTGCCACGCCGAATACCAAAGCGCTGTTTGAGTTTACTCCTGACCAGTTATCGCCAACTTCCGTCGAGTGCCGGGGAGCTTTGAGCTCTTGTAAAAGACCAGGGAGATCCCAACAAGACTCATGACCAGCATGCTGACAGATTTGAAACGGGGACCCCGTCAATTGCCACGAAGCGCTGTGTGATAGGCGACGTGACTGTCTATTGCCTGCACCACCGTGCTTCATTGAGAGGTTGTCTATGCTTCGCATCGATGCTGCAAGAAAATCGTAACCAGACGGCAAAGTATTGCATTTTGCTGATACATCGCGTGCTCGCTTACCGACAATTGCATCGCCTAAACCGGAACAGAAAAGGCAGTTGACTTCATCCAGCAGGGATGACCAAGCCAGCCCGTCTTTTTCGAGCTTTCGTCTTTTGAGCTCAGACCTTGGAGAGTCCATTACAATGTCCATGAACTCATACCCGTAGATCTCTGAACGTCGTGGCTTTTGCAAAGATGCCTTGGATAGATTGATAGAGAAACCCATGATGAGCTCCCGAACTGTTAAGGAATCTCCACCCGATTCCTCAAGTAATACCCCCCCCTTCTCTCCAAGAATATCCAGCGAGGTAGTACCGTCATCCTCAGTTGTTATTGCCAAAGGTTGATACTCGGCTCGAGAGCTTTGCTCAATACCGTCCGCGTAGACCAGGAGCATATGATGTAGCACAGAGATCAGTTGAACTAACCATGCTCTCTTGGTTCCCACATCATACACCACAATTTGCTCCATAGCACTGCTTTTCAAACACTTGAGATAGTTCCGAGAAGGACTGAATTTGACAGTATTGACCGAGCGATCAAACGAAAGCCCAACTTGCCCTCCTATCTGTAGCGGAGTAGCGGATTGAGCTAGTGCCTGAAGATTCGCGCCTTTCCAGTTCCACGTAACAGGTTTCACCTTTGCGTCAGACCAAGAAACCTGGCGCTCCAGTCGATCAGTACCCAATAATATGTCTGCTCTGGAGCACCAGCCCAGGAGTGCCTTTTTGGATTGTAAATAGTCAAGACTTGTGGTTTGCAACCACTTTTGCTGCGTTGCTTTGAGCTCTGATACGTTGAGCTGATAATCATGGGTTGCGGTCTCCAGATGCCAAAGGATTGTCCCATCTTCAGTTTCCCGGACCGGGATGAGAGCCGTAGAGTAGCCCAAAAGAACAATGCCAGATTCGACAAGAACAGGATATTCGACTGCCGACAGTTGTAGCATCGCTATGAAATCTAGCTCTAGGCCTTGACACGGTTTGTGATATTCAACACCTGGCTCCGTGATGACTATCGCTTCCTCGAAAAGATATTTCCAGCACAAATTTTCCCCGGGAGACGTGGGAAGCTCCTGCAGCGAGTCGAGGAAGAAGAATTCGGCTGTGGGCTGATAATCCAGATTCGAGACACATATCTCACCAGGCGCAGGTTTTCTAACGGCACAGCAGATAAACTTGAAAATGGTAAACATGACCGAATCGGGATCCCTGGCCTCCAGGGTTATACCCCTGTCGGTAACAAGCAACATGATGTCTCCATCGACTAGGTAAAAGAAACGAGTCAGCCATAACCAAAATAACTAGAGAAGGAGAGGACCAACAATAAATATCCTCACCACTGGAGAGGGCCCTCACAAGCCCCCCCAGAATGTGTTCTCCAGCAGGGCCAAACGTGCGGGATAGAAAATTATGGATTGTTGTGAACTCCATTGTGACCTCCTTCCTGATCAACACACCCAATTCAAACAGCCAAGAATCCAGATCAGAGCGACCCTTCGCGAGTGCTGGAAGCTCGCAGACAATGCTCGACATGACTCTATCGGGCGGAGAAAATCCGTGATTGGCCCGTTCTTCAAAGCTGATGAATCGTGGCACAAGAGTCTCCATAAGGCGTGGCACTTCAAATGCCAGTTCACGTATCAATGTCAATGCCAGGGGCTTTACTATGGCACCAGCATGCAACATAAGTGCGATGGAACCGGGATATTCAAAGTAAAGAGCGGCGGAGAAGGCATCGGGAAAACTGCCACAAGGAAGCTCGGAATTAGGATCAGCCCCTGCACGAAGCAGGAGGGCAACTATATCCTCACCACCTTCATGCCAGCATGCAGCAGCCAGAGGACTGCCAAAACGACCCGCAATCGACGATAGATTGGGATCGGCACCAGCATCGAGTAAGAGACGGACTGCGTTTGTCTGGCCATTATACGCCGCAACACCAAGAGCACTTGTGTGCCCTTTATGCTCGATATCTTCGTTGAGGTCTTCCCCGGAATCAATCACGATCTCCAGTACTTCCAAATCTCCGTTCTCACAAGCTTGAGCTAGGATTCTTTTGTTGCTCCAATGGCGAGCTAAATTGACGGATGGAGGGTTTCCAGTACTGAGTAGAAGGCGTAATACCCCCATATGTCTCTCAGAAATAGCGGTATCCACGAAACTATCGTACTCCTTGACTGATAGATCTAGACGGGCATTGACCTTTGTTTTGAGAAGAAGTTCGACAGCCTTCTCCTGCCCATGAGAAACATCTGCTTGTAGGGTGCTATTGAAATTTTGAGCTAAAGGCCTGGGGGGGCTTATCATGTTCAACCCTTTCCAGAAGAGGGATTATCGAATTTTGTCGACGAGAAATAACGTCGTCAAGTATGTTCATGTGCTTTCCGACCGGGAACTCGATATTGAGGCTTGCACCGGCATCAAGCAAAAGCGTTATCAAGCCGAAATGTTCCCAAAAGCACGCTGCGGCTAAGGGACTCCCATATCTCCCATGAGAGATCTGCATATTCAAATCGGCGCCCGCATCAAGGAGAAGCTGGACGATCTCTCTATTCCCAGAAAAACAAGCTGCAACAAGAGCACTGCCATAGCTTCCGCCCTTATTCAAGTGATTCACGTCGGCGCCTGCATTTAGCAGAAGTTTCACGAACTGCAAAGATGAAGAAGCTGCTGTCGTGAGCGGTGTACCTCCGCTCAAACGACCCTCTTGATTGATATTGTTACACTCAAGTATCAGTACCTTTGCCGTTTTCATATCACGATCGAGAATTGCCTCGCAAAGCTTTTTTTCATGAGTATGTATCAATTCCAGGATCTAGAGAGTACCTGAAGGCTTACCTGATCGATCGAGGCTCTAGTATCAGAATACCCGTGTTTCGAAGTTCCGGGGTCTGTAGTTATGGCACCGTGTTTTTGTGACTTGACTGGAACTTTATAGCCTAGATGATCACTAGATTCAACAGCCGACCCTTCATCTGAGGATTCGCCAGGATAAGCTGGAGTGTCTGTCGCTTCCTCTTCATCTTGGATGTATCTTAGTGTCCGAGGGCCAGAGAAACTTTGATGTCGCTTTCTCTCGATACTTTCATCGAAGGAAGGATCCTTGGAATCGCGAGACATAGCAGTTGAGATCTTAGTATAACCCAAAAATTGTTGCCCTGCTTGTTGTTTAACAGTCATGCGCGGGGTAGGCTGGGGTTGAGTTGGCACCAACCCTGACAAAAGTGGTTAGCGGATTCAGATGTAGGCCCAATGGTGTTTACCTGCCAGTATGTCATGGCATTGCGCAGAGATTCCGAATACCATAGATTCAAAAATATGCTGTACAGAAAAACCGATGCACCAGATTAAGCAACAGAGGAGCACATGGGTAGGGACTACATATTTTAGACGACTTTCTTAAGATAGAGAGTGTTGTATGGACAAAATAAGTTCATTAAGACAGGATTTACAGTATCTTGGAAGGTACCGAAAATCAAACCAACACCGGCGCTAAATGCGAAGTAAGATCTCATTAGCTATCCGTAGTGTACCCATGAGGGCGGAGGGCGCCGTTTTCCAAAACAAAAGCCAGAAAAGGCGAAAAAAGGGTAATATGGGTATCTTTCATCAAGGCATATCAAAATAACTCAAAAAATTAATACTCGGAAAGAGCTTGAGAGTAATGGGAAAGTAGGTGGCAGAAGAAAAATATTTCAAGAATTTCGTCTCGGAGTTGATGTTCGGTGCTGCACGGCCCCGTCCTGTGGCTCGTCCGGTTTCATCTGCGAGGAAAAACTCGACTTTGAATCATGAAAACCGGTCATAGCAGGGGCTTGATGTATTTCGCCCGGGAAAGGGAGATCGGGCAGATCATCGGGGTCGGAAACTAGACTGCGTCGCCTGGAGAGAACACCACCAAAGGATGGATTCTGTTTCTCTCGATGCATAGTTGTTGGTGCGCGGCTGCGACGTCGGTGGTGACGGCGCAGGTACTCATTCGGCACGGGGTCGACTTGTTTCTTAACGGCTGGGACGAGGTTGAGGTAAATAGGGAAGATGGCACCGGCAGCAAAAAGAGCAACAATCACGCAGAAGGAGTATTGTGCGCCGTGGGACAGATATGCAGCATATTCTGCGAAAGGGAAGAATGTTCCGCCGCCAATAGCCATTGTTAAGAAAACAGCGGCTGTTTTTGTATGTTGGGCCGTGCCGCGGAGGGAGATGGCAAAAATGATGCTGAAAGCGCCACTTTCAAAGAGATACAGCAGCATGGCCATTCCTATGGCCGTGTCTCCAGTTGTATTCATACATAGCACGGCACAAACGATCATACCAATATAGGAGACCATGAGAATCCAGCGAGGTTTGAGGAACCATTGAGCAAATGCGGCGAAGAAGCGACCGATGGCGAAGATACTGTGGCCAATTGTGAGTAACTCAAATGCCCCTAGACCCGAGCCGTGCTGTGAAGCATCGGTGAAGCGTTCTAGACTGGTTGCGAGCACTTCTTGACCAGCCACGTAAAAGAATTGAGACCAGATACCTAGTCCGAGAGTCAACCATACGACTGGAACTCCGACAACCTTGGTCATGTTGTCTTCTCGACGGCGGTTGGCTAGCTCTTCAAGGTCTTCGTCGGAAGCCTCGGGGATTGGAAGGTAATAAAATGCCACCGCAAGCAAGACATCAAACAGGGCAATGCCAAGGTAGGCCCATTGAACGTCGACGAGAGAGGCGACGTCATTCACGCCCTTGAAAAGAACCTTCTTGGCCAGAAGTGGGGATACGACACTTCCGACGGCCTGGACTCCCTGTGAGATATTGAGTCGGATCTCAGAGTTTTCGAGTGGACCGCAGAGAGCTATGAATGGATTGCCTGCTGTTTCCAGCACAGCCAGACCGAACCCCACGATAAAGTTTGAGACTGTGAAGGCGGCAGTGGATGTGAGAACTGCAGATGGCCAGAATATCAGAGTTCCACAAGCATAGATGCAAAGCCCGGTAATAAACGTGGCCTTGAAGCCCCAGATCTTCAAAACTGGCCCGCCAACCAAGAGTGGGCCGGTAACATAGCCTCCAAAGTAAGCTCCATGAAGACCAAGCGAATGCCACGAATCCAGATGGACAATGGTCTGAAACTGGGAATTGAGAATGTCGAGAAAACCGTACGCGAAGCCCCATAGGAAGAAGAGAAGTGTGGTTAACGCAATTGGAGCAATGGACTCCTTATTGTTCAACTTGAGCATGCTCTCTGGGTTCTTCATATTGACGAAATCGAAGAAAGTGATAGTTGGCGGGTAGGAGATGCTGGTATGGGTGTTGGCTTCAGTATCCTGGGGACCGGTACCTGGGTGACCAAGAAAGTCTAATAGTCCCATGGGCTCGTCAGAGTCTTTCTGATGGGTTGCATTGTGGCTCTTTGTCTGGGATGGCTTGCTAGAGTTGTTGCTATCAGCCGGAGATGTGGAAGGCGACGGTCCGCCGGAGCTTGGAACGGCAGCTGGCGGGGGCATAGCCACCGGGCTCTCCCCTGTCGCATAGTTGTTATTGGGGCTGGTATATGGATCATTGGTATCTCTGATCAATTTGGGGACAAGGCGAGCGACTAGAGGTTTGAGACTTGGAACGCAGCCACACATGATGGAGACATTGACTTCGACAGCTGACCACATAAAGGAAAGCGATGCATACCCTGAGAGGTCAAAGTCAGACGAAAGATAAAATAGGCGAGAGAGGAGAATCATGACTCACAGCTGAAATCCGAGCCCCCGGAGTTCTGAATGTGAATGGACGATAGGGCCGCTTGTCGCGAGGTCGCCGCTTGCTGAAGAAAAGCAATTCTGATCACATCGACCACCGCGACGAAGAAGCCGAAGCTGAACGTTATAACCAGAATCGCCTTTTGCTTGAATGGTAGACGCATTTGCGTCAACATTGGCATGGGTAGGAATAGGATAGCGAGGTCGGTGATGATGTTGACGGGAGATGAAGACAGGTAGAGTGTGACAATATCGGTGCAAGTGGCGCCTGGAGGGACCGAAGCTAATAGGGCAGCGGAGACTGGGCGACATTGAAAAACATTGATCATGGTCAATGCGAGACCGGCACCATTAACCACGGCGAGAGTGACATAATTGGCCCATCGAAACACCTTTTGGTTGCGAGTCAAGGTCAGGTAGAAGACGAGAATCGAAGTCTTGACAGCCATGAGGGCTGGATTCTGAAAGAATGTCAGCCTATGTCCGTGGATGACCGGAAAACAATTCTCCAACAACTCACATAAAGGACAGTGAACGCATAATTGGCTTTGCTGAGGGCGCTTTCGTTTTCTGGGAGAATTTCACTGGAGTGAAGACCGAGTCCGTTCTTTGTCGCGTAAAAAAGGGCGAAGCAGAAACCAAAGTCAATCACCTAAGGAGTTGTCAGCCCGGCTTCACGACTTGAACATATTTCGCGCCGCGTGAGAAAATTTCCACGCGGGCCAGTCCATCCAGCGCTACACACCCGCGGGAGGGAGGGTGCAGGACCACCAGCCCGGGCAAATTCAACATACCCATGCGAACAACATTAGATAGTCGTGTAACGCGATTCTTCCGACCACAAAGATGCGCGAGATGAAGCGCAAGGCGACGAAGATACTGGCAATCACGAAGAAAGTGATTGAAACCGCTAGGGTGGTGGGTTGGCGGGATTCCATCTTGACAGCCGGCGTGCCAGGGCAGCGCAACAGTCACAGGAGCCTTGCAAATTGCCGATCAATCAAGGATATTTCGGATAGGCAATTAAAGCATAGTGTCGGACAGGGGCGTAGGGACTCGAAGAGGAAGAGGGATGGCCATGATCCCCCGAAGGGATCCAGATGAATCCGGGGTAAAACCGGGGGAAACAGCAGTGATAGCGGAGATCGGGGGGTCCGAGGGAGACGAAACCGGGAGTCGGTGAGAGTAGGCGGAGATACAGAATATAGTAAAAAGGCGATGAGTTTGATGGGGCGTCAGGGTAAGGGCGAAGCTGGTGTGAAGTTGGAGAGAAGAAAAAAGGTGTGGGAAGTGGAGGTGAAGTTGCAAGTGGGAAAAGAAGATCCTCGTAATTTCCCGCGATCGGAAGGCGCGTGGGGAAAGAACGTTCGTGCCTTCCTCCACTACCATCCATTACTACTTAGGTAACTACATGGAATACTTACATTTACTCTGTACTATGTGATATCTACTTCACTTCTACATCTATCTACATCCACATCTACATTCAACCTCAACTTCAACTCCTACCATTGCAGTTGCTATTCGTGCCGCCACAGACAACCCTTGATTCCATCCCCAACGCTGGGAAACGATGCGCCACTCCACCCACAAACTTTGACAGCATTTCTACAACCGTGCACTCAGGGACGCCCCCTCCTGCTGAGCCCCATTCCATTAACTCTGATGTGTGATGTGCATTTCCCTCTTCTGCTAGGAACCGTCTACCATCTCCAGGAAGACCATGGTCTCTCACTTCTCTCGTCCAAACATATTCTCCGGCTGCCCGGTCTCACCGACTATCGAATTATGACTCGGCTGATCCTGTCGATCCTCGACCTTCCCAAGAGGGTTACTGCTTTTAATATGGACTATTGATTCTCCGGCAAAACAACACGAGCTCTTTCCTCTACTAGCGCTAGCGCTAGCGAGCAAACCGTTGAGTTATTCGGGTGTGGGCTGCATTCATTCAATGCCCACCCGATCCACTGACGTCATTCGGCCACCCTCCGAGGGAGTCTTCGCGGGATGTCTTTCCTTTCTACCGAGTACAGGCTTTTGGTACTCTGTAATCCATCCTCGTACTCGTAAATCTATACATGGATGGTCTTGCGCCTATCACGCGACAGATTCATTTGCGGTTCACCAAACTATACTTTTCGCAAATTAGCCGCGTTGCGAGATCGTCCCTGCACCTGTAGCTAGGAGCTTGGCATCTTCATTAGCGCCGTCAGCAATAGGGTTGGACCCTGTCGACGCGCTGATGGTCATCTGAGCCTCAATCTTATCGGGAACCCAGGGTAATCAAGGTCGATCGTCCTATCGGCGGAGAGTTGCAGCATCACTAGTTGACCATTGTGGGACGAAATCTCCGTAAATGGGACGTCCAGACGAACAATCGTCCTTGTACTCTGTACTCTGCATACTTCGTACAACCCACGTAACTTTGCCAAGATAGATCTAAAATCGGGGTCCATCACACTCCAGGACTCGTAGGAATGTTTCATAACATGTAATAAATTTCTTGACTGCTGTGCAATGCAGACACTCGCCCGTTCGGTGCAGTTTGGCTCGCTCTATACAATAATCATGGATTGTAAGCTGACCCTGGCTCCATCGAAAAAATCCCCTGTCTATCTATCATGGCAACAAGATCATCGTCCATCATGAACTCCCCAAGTTCCATTCCAAATGGGGATAGGCCAAAGTCAGCAGGAGGTAAGGTTCCTCGAGCGCTATTAAGAGATGGGAAAGGGGGCACTGCCCCATTGATACCTGGTTCTGCTGTTTTTTGACTAATATTAGCATGATATCCTAAGGTCGGATCAGTTCTAAACCACCTTTCAAGACCTACCAGAGTTAACCAAAACCTGGTTGAATTGTTCAAGATAATACCTGCAGCGGTCAACCAAGCGATTTCCATCATCGAGCTTGGATAGTGCCTCCGCCGCAAGGCCAGGATATGCTTCTGCTTTCTTTGCTTGCGCGGTTATTGAAGTCGTGCTTAGACTTTCGTCGCGATAGACCCAAATAACACCGATGATCACTAACGCAGCGTTAAATGCTAAAAGAAAAGTTAGTAAATTGCCTCGGAAATCAAGAAAAGTATTGAGAATACTGTAGTATAAAGAGAACCACCAAGCCCCCAGGAGACTATGCTTCCAGCCAGGCTCAGCGACAACACCGTGCACAATGCCGATGATTTCCATTGCAGATTCAATGCAGATCTGCATACTATTCATCCCCATCTGCTGCAAAAGTTTGAGATCCTGCGAGTCTCGGTTTTGAGATCTGCTTGCCGCGATGAATTTGACTAAAACGGGTCGGTGGAGCAAGACTCGCAAATTGAAATACCGCAGAGTTAATATAACACGAAATTTCCAGGAGAAATATTCAAAGCTGGCGGTTATTGGGTCTTGAGGTATCCCGCCGAGTTGGGATGTGGAAATGAGTTGGAGATTTGGGTCCAGGGATCTTTCCCATGAGAACAGCTGTTGTTCCAAAGAGAAAATATTGGATATTATTTCTGTAGTTGGGAGAGGGGCATCGCACCCGATGTTTTGGCCGTATAGAAGGTCCAAAATATTCCAGAGTTGCTTATAGAGCGTACTTAAAGAGGTGTCAAGTCGGTTAGATGGACATTTATGGACTAGCGGGCAACTCACATTGTCGAGTTGAAGAATGTCACGCTGAGGAACGATGTTTCGTCATTCACAAGAGTAGAGGATTCATCAAAATCTCGCTTCGAAGGCAAATCGAGTTTCACATAGTTATCTGGGATAGCGGCAGGTCTCCCGAAGGTCATACTCAATGTTCTGACTACTTCGTCAGTATTCATCGTCATCTGAATCTCGCAATAGACTCACCTGTCCAACACCACGCACCCATACCAAGTGCGTTTTCGGATTTCCTGCTCGACAGTTGAAAATGACCTGGAGGCGTTTCGAGAATGTAATCCAAGTTGAAGAGCAGCCTTTACGGCTAAGCCGTGAACAGTCCACGCCTGCACTGATTTTTGCGTGCCTTGGAGATACTGGCCCATCAGGAGGAGAAATTGAACTATAATCCAAATGAGTGGTTATTCGGACTTCCATCTCTCGAGTGATAGTCTTCCCAAGGTTTCATACCAACTTCCAAAGTAGTTCCTCGAAGAATCTCGTTGCCACAAAGACCAAGGCCGCGCTCATAGAAAATATCCGACTCCGCTATCCGCACGTCCGCTTTGGCACCACCAGTTACCGCAGTCATGCTCGACATGGCCAATACCATATTCAACAAACCAAGCCAGGTTCTTCGCACCTTGGTGAAGTTCTCCCGACTCATTTGGTGATATGTCTCAAGAAAGATAGGTGGATATATGTACGGGAACAGCAATCCAGTGTTTGAAAAGTATCTTTGGATCATTTCCAGTGTCTCTGACCGAGGCGGCAATGAAAAGATATTGACCTGAGGTTTCCTATCTCCAGACAGTCGCCGTGGCGGAGATGGTGGCCGTGAAGCACTCACAAACCCTCCCTCGGCGGTCCCAGGCGAAAGAAGGTACCCCTGTTGAACAACAGCGCGAGAAAGGTGTCTCAAGAAGGCGATATTAGATGATGGTCCTAGTTATTTATCAGTAAAGGCTTTCACAGAGCTCCCAGTAATAAATACCAAAGAATCCGGAATCCTCCTCATCAGCTAATGTCACCGCACCCATCCCATCAACCGAGTCCTCCGTCCCAATCAAATCAGGAACATGAACCTGGACCTGCACCCTTCGCTTCTCTACCCGAGCATCCCCATTACCAGTATTGTGCACCTCCAACTCACCCTCAGGAACATCCCTTAAATCCCCAACCTGCCCGTCAATCCTTTCACTGAGTCCATCAATCTCCTCCCGTACCCCCGAAAACAACCCCTCAAGCCTCTTAACCCTCTCCTCCAGTCCGTGTAAATAATCCTTCTGCACAATTACATTCGTCGCAGTCGTAGGCGGCGTATAGATACACTCGAAGCCCAAGTCCCGACACAGCGAGCACCGCGGCCTAGTCCCATCGCATCGAGATTTGCGCGTGCGGCACGCATCGCAGGCGACAGCGACGCGCCGACGTTTGGAAGCCGGCGCGGGTGTTTCGGGCCCTAGGGGCCTCTGTTGAATCTGTCGGCATGGTCTCATGGTCCCATTTGCTTATGATTCTATCGGTATGGAGCGGAATGGGGGTCGGGGTTGTTGCGGGTGGATGTGTATGCCGGGGAAGAGTCGGTTAGTGCGGGGATACGTCGGGTGCCACACTCAACCTTGGAGGATTGTCCATTTGTGGGGACTATGGTCGCCCCGCGAGTACCAGCAAATTCATGGGAATTTACAGAATCGAGCGAAGTGCTTGGAGTCTTAGCAACTATTTGATAGATGGTTGTTTGCGCTGGAGGCTATCGCGATTGTTAAGTTGTTCATGTTTAGGTGATAATCAACTAGTACCTCGGCCAGCGAGAAATACTAGTATCATACAGTTAGCTACTACCTAGGTACAGGGAGTTAACTACAGGGCATGAAGAAGCAAAAGTCTAAGTTTAGGACTTGTTGTGAGCTGCGAAGTCTCGATTCCTGCATACAAATCATGCGCCAAGCACGGGATGTGAGGTGTTTTGAACCGAATCAAAGCACCTCTATAGGCGCCCAACTATGTACCATCTCCACTTCGCGCCAGCATCAACGTTCTCACGCCCTCTACCGTCCTAGCGACATCCTAGCGAATCCTGGCGCCACCGCAGCAATGTATCGCCTTGTATCAATGGTCAACAGGCGCATAGAGACTCATAAAAAAGGGTCTGCCCCACGTCGAATTCGGACCCCATATGCAGGGGCTCCTGTCTATATGGCGATTCGAAACACCGAAACCAACAACCATGTCAAGCATCTCCCCTCGAGCGCTTATTAGCGTTGTCGTGTTTCCTATAAGATGAGACACCCCGTGCGGCTCTATTTTGATTCTCTCACACCCGATGCAAACATGCCACGGACCGCCCCAGTTGCTGCTGTCAACCATGACTCCCCGCTGTCACCCGAGAAGGAGGAGAATTCACCGACACCTCCCAAGGGGTTGACGAGTCATCGCACAAGTATAGCTTGGAGTTGGGTGGTCGTCACACTTCCTATAACTGCACTTACGATCGTCTTTCTCGTCATGGTCTTTCAATATCGAGTGACTCCCGATGACAGTCCGTTCGCAAACCTCCACTTCCCTTCTACAAGCAATGAAAACAACGCCATTTTTGTCGACCTGAATTCCAGTGTAATATTATTTATCGCTTCGTGGGCCAGCTCTCTTGCTCCAATGTTGTCCGGTTTCCTTATGGCTCTAGCTTCGTTTCCCATCGCGCGCCAGCTATCGAACAATATTCGCAACGGTCGCACGGATTCTCTACCCACCCCATACCAACTGGGATTGACGCTCAAGTTTCTGGACGGAAGCGCTCTCGGAGCGATTTGGAGTTGGATGATCTATGTTGTTTCATGGAGGAAAACGCGTCAACCGCAAACGCCACTCCTGGTTACGACATCTAACATTGCTATACTCGCTACGATTCTTGGGTAGGCAGCCGACACGCATAGTAGACTCAAGCTACAGGGCTGATAATTTCTAAATTAGCCTTTTGGTCTCCGCGGCAGACACTTGGCTCCATTTGACCACCACAACAGTATCATTCACACAGGTATCGGCTGTTTCCAGCCCGACGGACTATAGTTTCGGTATAACCCCACGATGTCTCACGAGCAATAATTCCGTCGCAGCGCAAGTAGACGCCGCAAGTACTGGATCATTCTGCAGCATATCGATTGCAGCAACGGGCGCTTTCTTTCGCGATCCTACCATTACGTACCAAGTTATAAGCAACAGCTCTTCCGAGGCAGTGGTCTACACACACACAAAATCCGATGGAAAGGAATACACATATTTTGGAATTCCATCTGCAGAATTAGATCCTACCCATGACTTTACCGCGCACAGCTACGCCTCCGAAACCTCATGCTCTCTCACCACACAACCCTGTCACGTCCGCACCGCCGTATCATCCATCCGATTCAACTGCAGCGCTGCCTTTGCCGGCTTTATCGACAACCGAGATCTACAAACCGCATTCTACACAGACGAAAAACAGAACAACGTAACAGACACCCATAACAAGGGCACGGGTAACCCGTACTACTTCTCGTTCGCCTCGGCTGAAAGCACAGGAGTCTCAACGGTACCAGGAGGCAGCGAAAACAAAGATTTCGTAATGAGCCAGAGCGGCGCCCTGACTTTTACCCTCGGATGCAGGAGTACCGTATACGATGTTGAATACGACCAGGTCAACGGAAGTATCACACGCTTCGACACAAAACTCAGCAACACCTCCGTCAGCAATATTTGGCAGACAACCGTTGCAAATTACCCGGGGGACTGGGATCTTCCTGTGAAACAGGCAATGACGGCCGCATTCTACTCGACTAATTCCAGCCAGGAGTTTGCGGACATGGTTGCGTTATCTTACGGCAAGTCGAGCATGGCGCTGGGCGCACAGGGGATTGAGCCGAGGCCAGCTCTCGCCGTGCAAAGGCGGAACACGACACTGGTTGCAAGACTTCCGATAGCACCCCTGATTGCTCTTGTAGCGGTTTGTCTGCTGTTTGTCGTGGTTGGTTTGCTGCTCACGGGGCTGGCAATATGGGCGGCGAGGTTTGAAGAGGTCCGCAATATACAAGCAAGCCTTGGAATCGTTGGGTTGGTGGCGGATCGCTTTGAAAAGGACGATCTCAAGAAGCAGGCTACTGATACCGATGGCTTCTTTGCCGAGTATGTTGGTCACTCGGGCCGGCGGGTTGCGATTGAGAAGTATACGGAGACGGATAGTACATATAGGTACACCACCTGGCAGAGCGCAGGCATCTCGAATTTTGGCAGTAAACCCCCCCAGCAGGTAGGATCTGACCTTGAATAGGTCGGGGAACTAGAGCGGGCAGGTCTATTCATGTATAACCACAATATCATTTGCCAAGCCCGGCATATAACATACTAGTAATCAGAAGCGGCTTCATGATTCAGAGTAATGATGTAGTAGTAATATGAAGTACTCATCCACTTCAGATTCGCAGGGTCCAGATGACACGAAGAACATTGGAAGTTCGAACCCCTGCTAGTGTGTGATTTGTGTGCATCCCTAGCGCCCGTTGTAACCAAATAGTCGGTACAACGTTGTACAAGGATACTATCACTTACGGACTTTTGTTTCAAGGTGGGGGCGATGGCAAGGGGATGATCACCGATATGCAGATGTATAGAGATAAGGTTTCTAGGATGTACGATGGCGAAGTGAAAATGGTATGGAAACGAATTCATGAATTGTTTCCATTGCGGTCTGCAGATAGAAAAGGATGATATGGTATCAAAGTTTGAAAAAAAGTGAAAAGGATGAAAAATCGTCAATCGTGTCGGCTCGCGAACTCCGATCCAAGAGAATAAGCCCAAAACCAGTCTAGACAAAGCTCTGGAAGAATATGCGATAAATGAATGCAGCCAACTGTCTATCAAAGACAACAGACAAATTTTGTGCTGAGAATTGCTCCCCCGCTTGGCCTCTGTCAGATGGCACTGCCTCTGAAAGAAATCAAGTGGGAGAAAAAACAACCTCCTCCAGTGTGTCGGAAGGGTTGAAGTAATGAAAAGGGGGCAATGAGGCCAACGAAGAGAATGTTGAAAATGCGAAAGTGATGGATGGCTTAGATATGCAAGTTGATGCTTAAGCCTTGACACAGTATTTGTAACCCTTCCATAGATTTGAGCAAGTGTTGTCCAAGCCTGGGTTGAGGCTTTGGAAATCGGTCGCAGTGATTCCATATTGGACTTCAATCTTGCGGCAGTAGTCGTTAGCCTTGACGGTGTAATATTTTTGGCAGGACTTGGAGGCGTAGGGATACAGTCCATAGTTGTCGCCAGGCGCCAGGCTGGACGATGGCGCCGGGACAGGTGCCGAAGAAGGCACAACAGTGGGAGCAGCAGTTGTAGAGGGGGCGACAGGAGCAGGAGCCTCGGTAGTGGTAGCTGCGGCCGCGGCTGCGGACGTAGTAGTGGGCTTAGCGGTTTGAGCGACGACGGGCACGATGGTCGAGGGAGCGAATGTCTCGGTGGCAGCTGGGATAGAGCTGGAGGTAGAGGCAGAGGTAGATGTTCCGGAGCTGCCAGAGCTGCCAGAGCTGCCGGAGCTGCCAGAGCTACCGGAGTTGGTCGCTCCATCCCACTGACTCGAAGTCAGGCTGGCAATGAGACCCGAGTTGCAGTTGCTGGTGCCAGTAGCCCAGCCCACGAGACGGTTGGCGACATCTGTAGCATAGCAGTTGGTGGAGGTGATGCCATCACCGAGGTTGCCGTTGCTAGCAACAGAGCCGGAGTTGTAGCATCGGGCAGCCCTGTAGTAGGTGGCCGATTCCTCGGAGTCCTTGTACTCGACCATACAATTCTTGAGACCTCCCGTGCCAGTGGTACCGTCGCTGATCATGCCGTGGATCTTTTCATATGGGCAAGGCGAGACAGGTGAGTCTCCTGCGGCGTTGTTGCAGGCGTGTTCGCCATTGTGGCTCTGCATCAGACCAGGGTTGATGACTCCATTGTCGGTAGTCTTGACGCGGACACAGCCATTGCTTTCCTGCATCACGATAGCCAAGATGTAACGAGGGTCGACACTGCTTTCGCCAGCGACGGCGTGGATGGCCTTCTTGATGTTGGCGATCTCCTCTTCGGAGTTGTCGTCACCGTAGCCCATGTTACCACAACTGGCCTTCATGACCTCTTGGTTGGTTTCCCACATGTCGTCGAAAGTAGAAATCCAGTTAGTGATTGAGGGCCATCCCTGTGAGGTAAGACCATCACCACCGAAGATACCTGCGTACAAACTGGTGCTGCGTCCACTAAGAGAGTGAGTGGACTTGACATCTGCAGACACGCTGTAGAGATTGGATGCAACTGGAGCCCCAGAAATGAGGGGGAGGCTGCCAGCAGCGATGATAAAAGGAAGGAATTGCATGATTGCTGCAAAAAAAAAAAGAATGAGTGTCCAGCACAAATGAGAGAAGAAGGCTTGCTTGAAGAAAAAAAGAAGGAAAGCTCGGGGGGGAAATTGGGTTGTGCGGTATATGTACTTGACCGTCTCACATGGTGGAGCTCGGTCAATCCTACCCTCACTTCACCTTTCCACGCCATTCACTCCCACTCGCACTCACTGCACCCAGATGTGCCCTGTCCATCAGGAACAGGAACATGAATACGGAGACGACCGAACAGGATCCACCCAATCCACCGAAAAAAAGCCAACAAGGCCTTGCGTTGCAGAAGGTGAAACAAACTAACATCTCCACCAAAAAGAACGAAAGTTTGCCCTGACTGGCAACGATGAGCGAGCGGTCGGTAGTTTCAGGTGCAACAGTGAGGGATCAATAGATGATCGGGCGGGCCTTGCATGATGCTAGTCAAGATGTGGCTAGTAGATGGATACTGCGAGTCCAGTGAATCCATCCGGGCGGCGCTGCCAGTGGCGATTTTCGTGGGCCGCAGTGGGGAGGGTGGCTTGAATTTCGAGCTCTCAGCTCACCAACTCGGTCCAATTGTATCGCCACGATGCCCTTTTTTCGTGACTGGCGTACGCAATGTCGGTGGGTTACATGTCCAGATCTGTCCTTTCTTCTCATTCTTCTCCGGTCACTCAGGGTCAGGGTACTCGGGGCCAGGGTATTCAGGGTCGGTGAATTACGAGGGTGGCTGTTATACACAGTGGGGCAAACCCCCTTCTCCTGAACCCTGAAGGGCATTGTAAGTACCATGTCTCGCTGGAGAACATACTCATCGAGGGCGTTGCCAGTTCCCGAAATGAGTCCACTATGTACACTTTGCAATGTGACACATGGTCACTCACAGCTTCGAGCGCCAACTTGCTGACGCACTCGAATTTGAACCCCCCCCCCCGGGGTCATTTTTCAAGGTGGAGGCAACGCCTCAAACTAGCCTGATCCTTTTGCTCCGGAGGGATGACCCGGTGTGGCCTACAAACACCAATCACGTAGCCGATCAATGCATCATCCATTCTGAATTCATGATAGATTCTCCGTGCAAATTCTTTATGGCCCCGGGTCCACGCTCGATGGTAACATCTCGTCTATTTTTTATGTACTCCATATGTACAGTATACATGCAACGTGAAGCGTTTACTGGGTAAGAGCGGGGAATTTTCTTTTTCTTTTTCTACAAATGAATACAAATGAAACGAACGCATTGCTTGTCTTGGCCCCTGAGCGACTAACGGTGGAGCCTGAGAGGAGCCACGAATTAATCGGAAACGAACAACACGATTAAATACGACTCCCCTGATATTTCACTCCCCCGCAGACACGAAGTGGTAGTATCCATGGATATATCCCCATGTCGTGCAGTAAAATGAACCAGGACCTTTAGTCCGACACAAGCTTCTCGACATCCATCTCCTCTGAGCGGTAAAATCCCAAGGCATCAATCATCGGTCGATCATCAAAGCGGTACAGGTACACCGCCACCCCAGCATCGGCCAGATGCTGGTACCTGTTCCATGACGGGATGCAAAAGGTATCCCCTTCTTCCCAGAGATACTCCTTCCCGTCGATGATCGAGCGTCCGCGACCAGTGACGACATGGTAAACGGCCGATGTGGTCTCGCGACGGGTCGGCGCAGATGTCCCAGCTGAGAGCCGCTCTGCGCATCCTCCGAGCACACGGCTCACTGGTTAGAGAGCAGATTAGCAGTGGGTCAAACAGAATATCAAAATTAGAGATCTCCCCAATTCCCCTGAATATCAAACGAATATCACAAACCTAGGGGGGGGGGAGGCTTGGTATTCAAGGGGACAGGGAGACAAACAATACGTAGTGCAGGGATGGGAAGAGGCTGGGTTGAAATCGAACAAAGCGAATCCTTACCTTCGCGCCCATCATCTTTCAGATACCGACAATATGCCCAGTCCCCCGGTTCAGCATCCAACCTCGCCCGCATCTCCGACCACGGAAAGACCAGCGGGGAAGTTGCACTCTCCACATCCGCCGCAGGGTACCGCGGTTGGTCAAAATGCTGTACGAAATGCACGGGGAAGTGCCGGAAATTTGGCAAGTCCAGTCCATCCAGCCATACCATCGGCCCCGAGCCGTCTTTCCCATGATCGTGGTAATTCCAGGTCGGTGTGAGGATCACGTCGCCTCGTTGCATTTGAATGCGGCGGCCGTGCACGGCCGTGAAGCCCCCCCTGGCCTTCGATGATGAAGCGCATCGCAAACGCCGTGTGTCGGTGTGCGCGGGCTATCTCGTTTGGCATGACTAGTTGTAAACCCGCGTAGAGGGTGTCGGTTGTATATGGTGCATCTTGTTTTCATTGTCAGTTGGTGTTGGTAGGAGATCAATCTATACACGATTTCAAAGAGAATTAACTCACCACGGGCGGGATTGATGAGCATCAAGACCCGGCGCTCGGCTTGAGACTCGGGAACAAGATTTCCTGCTCGCTCGAGATTTGGTCGGATCGATTTGTATCTCCACACATTGGGGATGGTGGTTGGATTGGGTGCGGGAGGGTTCAGTCGTGCCATCTGCTTCCACAAGGGGAGTGTCTTGCTTGCTTCTAGATCTGCGAGGAGCTGCTCCTCTGAGTCAATGGTAGTGACTTGTTCTGTCGTAGACATGGTCACTTTCTTGTATCCCTTTGCCTCGCAATAAATTATACTAGTATATCAATTTTCCTTCTGCTTCAAATTTCCTATAATAATTTGAACCTGAATAGTACTGAACCTCTTGAAGTCCTTGGAGTCCGAGTCCGAATTTCTCATATTATTCAAGTTCCTGGTAGCTATCATCAAGGTACTATATACTTTCAGGAGTGAGCACTGTTTTTGTCCTCCTCGGGCAAAGACAAGCCGGGCTCCGGGGATACATCGGGAACCCTTCCCCGCACTCTCTCAGAGATGATTGAGAGACACGCTTATAACATCGGAAACCGTTTCGTTCAATATATTGACCAAGGAAGTTTGAATTACGTCCTCTTATCTCTCCAAGTTCGAGGAATAGATTGGAGCCGTCGGAATGACTAGAAACCATGGTGCAGAGTCCCTAGCGGATACCTTTCTCAGAGTGCGTATCGCTGTTGAAATAGATGGAACAATTTTTGATGGAATCATAGAGTCCAACTTACCCTAGTAATTGCCTCGCATTTATGAAGGAAACGCCAGTCAAATCTCGGAATATCAAATCTCAGTTAGCACTAAGTATCGTCGTCGTTGGCGCCGGCCTCGGCGGACTCGCAACAGCCATTGCGCTAGCAAGCTCAGGACACAGCGTCACCGTTTATGAACAGGCAGCTAAGCTCGGAGAGGTACCATAATCGCTTCTCATGTATACCCAAATTTTCTGGAAATTTTTGTATTGACCTCGAGACGAATTAGGTCGGTGCGGGAATCCAAGTTCCCTCCAACTCCACCCGACTCCTCAGCAGACTCGGACTCGATCCATACCTCGAGAAATACGTAACAGAGCCCGAGGTTATTTCATTTCGTCGGTGGGAATCTGGAGATGTCATTGGTCTCACTCGCCTCATGCCTGACTTTCGAAATGTGTTTGATGCACCTTATTATGTGATTCATCGAGCGGATTTTCATACTGCATTACATCAACGTGCATTGGATCTCGGCGTCACAATCAAACTTGCTTCTCGTGTGACTGAGTATAATCCTCAGGGCTCGAGTATATTGCTCGAGAATGGTACTGCTGTTTCGGCCGATTTAATTGTTGCTGCTGATGGTTCGTTTCCCTTCGTCACGATTCGTGGATTGGCCTAACTTTCAGACAGGAGTCAAGTCTGTCGCGCGGAAAATGGTTGATGAACCAGGTCAAAAGGCCCTTGAACAAACTGGGTTTGCTGCTTATCGGGCCACCGTGGATGTTGCAAAGATGAAGTCAGATCCTGAAATATCCTGGTTGTTGGAGCGGCCTTCACTGAATATTTGGTACCAAGCACCTTCCAGTTGGCACCCTGGGTCAATACCAATGATTTCCAAGCTATACTAATTCGTCTTTAGGATCGGCGATCAAAGACATGTCATGACATACACAATCGGAGCAGGCAAATCGTTCAATATGGTCCTTTCACATCCGGATACCACTGATCCGACAGTCTGGGACCAGTCCGACGCATTGAGCGACATGAAACGAGAATTTCAAGGGTGGGACAAGAGGTACGCTGAGAAAATTCCAACGATCTGGAGCCTAGTGCTAACTCACAACCTTGTAAGACTTGAAAAAATCATCGGGATGATCGAAAGCACCATAAAATGGCCCCTTGTAAGCGGTACCCCGCTCACCCGCTGGGCAAGTGGTCGCATCATAATTCTAGGCGACGCGGCGCATGCAATGCTGCCATACATGTCACAAGGCAAGTCTCTGTCCCCATAATTCTCTAATCAGTATTCTGAGATTCCCAGGTGCCGCGATGGCTGTCGAAGATGGCGTGGCATTGGCATGTTCACTTGCCAAGATCGACTCTAAGGCAGATATACTCCAAGCGCTGAGTATTTTCGAACAAGTTCGGATCGATCGAACAAGCAAAATGCAAGAAGCAAGTATGTTGAACGGAAAGTTGTGGCATTTTGCAGATGGGCCGGTTCAGCGTGCTCGGGATGCGGCTATGCAGCCCGAGACAAAGGGTGAACCCTTTAGCCATAGTCCGAATCAGTGGAGTGACCCCGCAACACAGATGTGGACATACCAGTATGATGCAGAACTTGAGATTGAAAAGGCCTGGCAAATGGCAGGTGTGTGATTTCTAGCGGTAGTGTTTTATCGAGTTTTGAGGTTAAATAGAACTTGAACACAATGGCCTAGAACTCACCGTTGGAAGTGGGGTCAATTTATGTCCGAGCCTGGGCATTCTGAGAGACCAACCTGAAGAAACAATGTAGGATAACAGCGGATTTAATAAGGGAAGAGACATAAAAATGAGAGCAAATGACAACAAGTGTGGTCTAGTGATATTCCCAAATGTCACAAGTGTACGGAGTAAGAATCGGGGACCAGACGGGCCTCGGAGGTAAGACGGCCCCACTCCGCAATGACCCCTGGCCGAATCCCCCCCTTCAAGTTTAACTCTGCATCCTTTGCAACCTTTGAGCTATAGATATCCTGGGGTTTCCTTGACTGAATGACACAAATGGAATCTCTCCCCATCGAAATCCTTCACCAGGTTATCTCTTGCCTTCCACAGACTAATCTGGCTGGATACGCCAGTGTCAGCAAAGACTGGAACGCAATCATTGAGGGACAGACATTTGCTTCAATACGCTTAACTCCTTCTGATTTACTTAGATTTCGCCAAATTCTCGACTTCTCTGCCACATCCCCTCATCTCCAAAGAAGACGTGCTCAAGTGAAATCTGTCCTATTCAAAGCTGTTCTCGCGGAATATAATGTGGCAGCTCGCTCAAAGTATGAAACTCAAGAGGACCAGGCCAAAAACAACAAAGCCTACTATCAGGCAATCAAATCTCTATTTGAAACTTTAGCCCTATGGCCGGAAAGCGAAGGCTGCGAGATATTGCTTGAAATTGCAGCTCAATCTCCCAGTGACTTGCAAGCAGAAACAGATCAAAAGAAAATGATGCAGCGTATATTCACATTACATACTCTTGACAACAAAAAAGATCTTTGCAATGGGAGATTCGCGCATTCTCTTTTGAACATCGACGAAGAAAAGGAAAGTCTCTGCCTTGTTCCAGTAGTCGGGGGTATTGATATCTGGAGCGCTGGGCGATATCGAAAAGTTACCCCGTCCGCTCAGTCAAAGATCATATCTCGACTACCGCGGCTCCAATCCATACAAATCGACCCAGATGATAACGAAAGAAAAAGTGAGATGCTCAGAAACAATCTCCGCAAAGGTATACACAGTCTGCTTCGAGTATTTATTGTTGTTCCCGGGCCCAACTTGAAGATCCTTATACACATTCAGCACATGTTAACGAATGAATAGAATTTGCGCTCAGCCTTGCCGAATGGCCTAAGTCGTTAAAATCTCTTTGTTTAGAATACACTGGGAATCCACCAGAAAATCAAAATATCTCTCCTCCCATCCGCTCGGTCGCTGGAAAAGATCCCTTGAGCCTAGCATTGAACGCCTTGAGTCAGCAGCTGGAGTGTATTTGGTTGTTGTCGATTAGCATTGGCCCTGAGATATTCTGGCCACCAACCCAAAAAACTCAGCCTTATTGGCCTAGATTGTCTTATCTTCATCTGCGATATACAGCTGCTACACCATCGGGGCAATGGCTGTTTGAGAAAGACCCGAGATGGAGGGAGCGGTCGCCCATTGAATTTGGTTATGATACCAGCAGCTCTTGGGAAGATGAAGATGTTGGGGATATGGCACTGCAAGACTATAGACCCGATTTCTTTCGCAGCAAGCCTCTTGATATCATCAATGATATTTACATAGCAGCTGGGAATGCAGCCCGTCAAATGCCTCAAATTAAAACAATGGACCTCGAAGCTTCCATCCCCGAAATCGATGGGGTAGAAGATGTACTAGGATGCTGCCCCTCGCACGAGTTCACATACGATAGGCCGAGTGGGACGGCTACATGGATTAGCTCATCGGAGTTTCATGTTACCGGAAAAATGCGTGAGGTTTGGGACGCTGCAGCAAAAAGCCACCGTCATGCTCAGGTTACTATTGAGGTTCGTCATTACGATTTCCTTTTTTTGTCTGCGTTTTTTGGTTTATGTATACTGATACTAGCTGTATCCAAAAACACAGAACTTCAAGAATTATGATCATCTGGAGGGATGGGACGATTGAGGGTCCGAAGAGACCTCGGGACCCACGAATTTACATGTCACGTTGAAGAAGACTCCTACTACATAGTAGTGGGGTGCCATTCATATGATCTTCCGCTGCCGTCACCTGGACACTTTATACCTGACGCATCCTTATCTTTTCATTTAACAGTATTACGTACTAGCTGGTCTACACCAGGTACGGAGGAAGCGAAAATGGCATATATTTTCTCCGCCAAAGTACTGTTGGGAGGAGGGATCTATCAACCTGACAAAAACATGGAACTCAACTTTGGAAGGGACACGCGTAATCACTGCCACCGACTATAATACGTATTCCGTAAACTCAAACATGCTGGCGTGCAGTGAGTTCCAAGGTTGTTAAGCAGGAAAGCGGAGTACCCAGAACACCCCAAAAACATGTCGTATTCGTACTTTCTACTCCGTGCCGAATGCACCGCTGCGGGTTCCCGCCCCGGGGCCCGCCGACCCCGAGGGCCCCCCCTCCGCAGTCGTTCCGCCGGCTTTTTCGTGCAATCCCGACCCCTGAAAATCCCGTACCCCCGTGATTCCTCCCCGAAGCCCCAATATGCAGCCATGCATTCTTAGTAAGACTAGAGATACGTTCATGTCCCCCAGACGCCATGATACAACCAATTCGAATCACATTCGCTATGGAAAGAATGTTGCTTGTAGAGTAGTGCCAGTTGATCAGGCGGGCAAAGATGGCAGCCAAGAACAGCCAAATTGAATCTACTCCATATGCTGAGCAGAGACCAATTTTGTGAGAGGTCTCCCAGTTCGAGAATCAGGATGACATTCAATAGCTCGAAAGGTACCCGCTAGAATGACGTACCCGTGCCAATGCAGCATAAACCTGATGGACCATGCATGCGTAATTCTGGGTGAATAGATCTACATCCCGAGCACACGAGGATAGAACTTTCCTCCGACCAACATGTGAGCTTGATTCAGTTTAACCTGCAAATTTTTGGATAAGGATTCGTGCAAAATGACGTTAAGTACGGAGTATCTCAAGTTTCATACTGTAGATCAAGTTCACAGCCTTCGGGGTCTCTGCCAAGTCGCCACAGCGGGTATCGGAAGCGCAATGATGCGACGGGATCGACAGGACCGTTGACGATCATGCTCCATTTGTTTCCCCTTTATGCTCAGAAACTCACAGCTAAAGTCTTAGGCCGAGCTCGGCGAGTATCATGGATGATCTTTGAGTTTCTATTCACTTTATCAAGCTTAATATCTTAAATACTAAACCACTTTCCATATCCACTCATGATTTAATTTGATTGTTATCGACCACACCCAGAAAAATATCAGGAAGGTAATTATCAAGCATTACTGGCAACTTCCAAACAAATTTTCTGCATGAAGGAGAATAGCTAATGCTTCAAAGTTATTCGAACCTTGGAAGATCTTGCTGAACTGAACCATGGCCACCACCCTGACGTCCCGGGCGTTAATCTGGGTAGCCCTTTTATCAGTCCTGGCACCCTACTGCTTTGCATTCCAATACAGCAAGTCCGATGATGGAGCCGTCAGTGTATCTGATGAGCAGGATATCTATTCTGCGGAAGCCGCTGCTATGGTTGAAGACGATGACAGCGGACAGAATGCGGTAGGCCGAGATCAATTGACTGCTACCTCGGAGTATTAGTTAACTAGTTGGACAACAGGACCATGGCGATATAGAAGTACCGGATGGTTCTGAATTCACCTCATTTCACGTTAACGAGGACGGTGAAGAAGAGATACCCGGTTTTATCACAAAGGACCTGGACAATAGAACAATCGAGCATCTCTTTATTGTTCTGCATGGGAGGTTAAGGAATGGAAACAGCTACTGGAAGCTTCTGAACGAGTCCATCGAGAATGCCAGAGACGACAACTTCACCGGAACGGACCGCAAAATGGGAGTGCTTGCACCGCAATTTTTTTCCACGAAATACAATTCTGGCCAGTACAATGAAAACCAGCTGGCCTGGGATGACTTGAATGCTTGGCAACCAGGTGGCCAGGCTAATCATCCCTCGGGTACAAACCTTACCTCTTTCGACGTTATAGATGGCCTCGTCAAGATTCACTCGGACAAGAGCAAGTATCCAAGTCTCAAAAATGTCACCGTCGTTGGCCATGGTGGCGGTGGTCAGCTTGCCCAACGGTACTCTGCTCTGGGTAACGATGCCCCTGACAATGTCCACATTCGGTATATCCACGGCGATCCATCATCGTGTATGTACTTTACCGAGGACCGACCAATTGTCCCAGACAACGATACTTCAAAGTATACCTGCGATTCTTACAACATCTGGAGATACGGTTTCGACAAGTTCCCCGGCACGGGAGGCAAGGATTTGACTCCCAAGGAATATTTCAAGCAATATCTCACTCGAGATGTTGTTTCAATAGTTGGACTCCAAGATACAGGACATTCTGGGGACACGAGTTGCATGGCGAGAGTGCAAGGAGGCACCAATCGACGTGCTCGCAACTTGACTTGGTTTCAATACATCAACGAGCTCGCGCGCACGAACGAAGACCTGACGGACTTTCCTAGTTCATTCGAGAATCTCCCCGACTGGAGCGATGCGGTGGATGGAAAGAGCCAGGTGCGGCTCGTGGTCGTGGAAGATGTAGCTCATAATGCGGAAAAGCTCTTCCGTGGGGATCTTGGGCGAGCGGCACTATTTCACGACGGTTACATCGATGGAGGCTGGCGCCCCTCGGATGACAGTAACAACGACTAGATACCTAGGTATAACTGTCACATCGGAAGTAATAGACCAAAGAGCGCAGCCAATTTATGAAACATTGGTAATTAATATTATTCCAAATGCTAGTAGACTTTTTACATTGGCAAGAACTTTTAGAATTTGACTCGATTCAAGTTACTAGCATGCTGAAGGCCAATCACTAATTAACTAATAACTACTAGTAGCAGGTGATATCAGGAAGTATTTCGTAAAAATAGCAAGGGCTGTATCCAGAAAAGAAATCGATTCAGCTTCCAATGCTCTTCTTGAACACCCAATAAATACTGGAGGTCAAATTTAGAGTCAGACACTGGTGATTCTTCATAAATGTGACCCACCCTCTGGAAATTGAACATTGAGAATACATGATACTTGACGACAGTATTTATGAAAGACTACAAGCTTTGCACGACATTGAGCGCCATGTTGACCACTTTTTGTTTTTATGATCTAATTCTGTCGGCTTGACATCAGATCGTTATCCTCATTCTCCTGACAGTGTGGATTCTGCTGAGATACAACCCAGCGCTTGCTCGACAACCTTCAACAATTCATCCGCATCTTCTAGCCCAACACTGATCCTGACAATGTGCCTCGGCACATCATAGCTGGCTGCCCAATCCAACTCTCTGAAATGTGCTAAAAAAGCGTAGGGGATCGCCAAAGTGAAATTGGTTCCAAGACTAGGCCCCTTGGCCACATGAAAATTGTCGTAAAATTCAATGGCAGCAGTGGGCTTATGGAAAATAACACTAAGAAGGAAGCCATAGCCTCCATCTTTCCTCTTCGCCTGTTCGTAGAAATCACGGCTCTCAACCAAAGAAGGGTAGTTGACTCGCTCAACAGCGTGGTGTTTGTTCATAAAATTGGCGATTGCTTCGGCACTAGAGCTTGACTTTTGGACACGAGAAACGACATCGGTGCAGTTTTTGGACAGTGTCATTGCATCAGCTGGAAAATAATTGTCTTCCCACTCCGATAAGAGAGCGTCGTAGATTGTATCGAAATGAACGGATTGTGGATTAACAATAACACTAAACTTGTCAGACCAATTCTAAAGACTTTTTCATGGACTTTTGACTCACCATCCTCCCATCACATCTGAACCACCACTGAAAGATTTTGTCAAACTTGTCATGACTATGTCAACAAATGGTAGAACATTTACATTGATGCACGAGCCGACAGTATCATCACATGCAATTGCAAATTTATATCTATTTGCCAACATCCTAAGGCGCTGAATGTCAGGAGATCGTAGTTGGGGGTTGCTGGGAAATTCACAAAACAAGGCACTGATTCGGTCTCCGTGGATTAGATCAGCTTCTAATTGATCTAGTTCTGCCTTGTTTCCATGTCCATGCATTTTAAAATGTGACCATCCAGTCATTTCAATGCTTTTCACTGTTTCTGAATATGGAAACCTACAAATGTGTTAGCTGGCTCTTGAGGAAAATCAGAAAAAGCAATTCTGCCCTATATCAAGGACCTACCCGTAAACAACAACAGATTGCGATCTGTTCAAATTGGTCGTTTTCAGAGCCCGGGAAACTGCGTAAATCGCACTTATCCCAGAAGGAAAAAGAAAAACGTCATGCGACATCACATTTGGGCTCTTTTCGTTTGTCATGAGCTCTGCAATGAAAGACCTGATGTGTCGCTTTGCCTCCTCGCCACACTCAAGCTTGGCTGCTCCCGGTAAGAATGACACAGATGCAGGGGACGGGGAGTCCTTTCCCTTTTCTCTGTACGTCATTTGTTCCAATAATGAAAGAACGTACTCTGCATGGCGACTTGAAATTCCTTCACCACTTTCACGCCAGAATGCCAGGAACTCAGAGTGAATGTCAGGAGGGTAAATCACGGCTTCGAATGAAGCCCATCTGAGTTCTTCTGGCGTGAGTTCATTGCTCGAGCAACGCGGCAAGCTAAACGATAGAACTCTTATGTTTTGAGTTGACGCGTCAGTCGTTAACGTCTCAAGGCACCGTGATACAATTGCGCTCGATGAGAAAATCATACAGCCTGGTTCAGCAAGCTCAAGCCGTGAGAGTACTTCCGAATTCAGCTTTTGGATGACTTGATGAATAAAGAAGCTGGCATCACGTTAGAAAATTTTTCTTTGGGGATCTCACTTGAGTAAGTCATACCGTGGGTAGCCTCCTGTAAGCTTGTTCACAATCGCCGGCGTTCGACCGGCCCATTGAACAACATCATCCCATGCGGGCATAGAAGCACTAACAGCCTGTTATACCGTGTCAGACCAAATACTATTTCATAGTTTGTAAATTGGTAGACTCAACGTGTGGGTTGCAAGGCGGCAATAACTGCCCGAGAGGCCATGTTTGAGGAGAGTCTTGCGGATAATATGGCGACATTGCATGGATATTTGCGGTTGGGGTGTGAGCTGAATATGAATGGGTAATTAATTTTTTTTTGACGGGAGGGCCCGCGCCGATATTATCGCTTTTAGAATTTATCTACTAGCAAGTGGCTACCGATATTTGGTGTGAGTAATTCTAGAAACTGTCCACGGGCATGGTTGCAGCAACCTGAATTGCGGGATTTTAGCCCGCACATGCCGATACACATAGCTAAAGGCTGATCTGGTCAAATATTGACGCTTTTGAATCTTCCCGATAAAGTACAAGATCTGCTCCAAATGATCCACAATTCGAAAGAGCTGGCATGAGTGGGTAGCTCAGGGGTTTCTAGAGTGGATATGGGAGCTCTTTGTGGAGCGGGCAGCTACCAAAAAAGGGAATAAAGGACCCATAGTTCGCTTCGTCTTGTCCAAATTGCCGGGAGAGAATTTTCAGCCAAGTAAAAGCCCCTCTTGATCGGTGTACGAGAGGCTAGCCAGGGTAAATTGCGATCTAATCAATACGCATCAATACATGTGGCTTTTTTCGACAAAGACAGTTTCTGTACGGAGTACTCCGGAACGATTTAAGAAATTGCAGAGTATCTTTCCCAAGCTTTGGCCTCTTCATCTGCGATCGCAAGGCGAGATATGGCTTCTTCTTTGAATGCATTCCCCGACAATAGCTTGTTTCGTCGAGTTTTCCTAGTTTCGGAGTCTTGCTCGGATGGATTGATCGTTGATTCCCATAACGGGAGCATCAACTACACCCAACTACTGCACGATGTACGACATTATCGAAACGAGCTGCGACAGTTTCTCTCACCCTCTCTTTTCACAGATACGGGAATAATGAAGGAAGATGATATGTACATCTGTACAGTCATGAAATCTAGTTACGAAATGATCGTGGCATTCTTTTCCATTCTTTCTATCGGGGCTGCCATGATCCCTTTATGTAAGTGATTTGTTGAGACCTTGATCTCTGTGCGAGGAACTAACAACGAGACAGCCCCAGATCTAATGCCCGCCGAGGTGATGGACTTTTATACACGCTTCAATGCTCAAGGCATTATAGCGCATTCAAGTACGCCCAACTTGGGGGATACAATCAGAGTGCATGGCCAAAAGACCGGCTGCACCCTTGCCCTGCTTCCTGTGGTAAAGACAAGATCCGAGATTTTCCAAACGATTGAAAAGCCTTATATCGACCCAGCAATCACCATCTCACCAAATCGGCCGGTAATTGCACTTTTCTCCTCCGGTACTACCGGGCCACCTAAAGGTATCATTCATGCTCTCAGATACTTCACTGCACATATGGGGCCTCTTCCCCAAGAGCCAGGAACAGCACTATCGCACCGACCGATGCAATATGGTGCATCCCTGACTGCTGTAGTGAACGCTATTCTCAGAGGAATGCAACTTGAGATACTAGTTCCAAACGCTGGGCCATCCCAAATCTGGGAGCGTTTACATCAGGGTGGTGTGACGAATCTAGCCGGCTCGGTTGGCTTCTGGGTCAACTTGATGGAATACTTTGAGCAAAAGCTAGATTGCCTTCCAGAAGGAAAAAAGAAGCCTTATACCGATGGCGTGAGATCTCTCCGCGTTGCAAACTGCAGTGGCGCGATGGCAATGCCGACTACCAAAATGTTTTGGAAGTCGATGAGAGGACGACCCTTGCAGATGGTTTGGGGCAGTACTGAATCTTCTATCGGGTTGAAGACTGGCTCTGATCGTGATTTTATTGACTCGGTAAACCCAATTCAAGCGTATTCTGGGCTTTTTCGTGATTATCTAACTTTGACAGAATGCTATTGGAAAGCCTGTTTCTGATGTGGAGGTCAAGCTCTCAGAGGGAGACCACGGAGAAATGAAAGTGAAAACTCCAACCATGTTCTTAAGGTAAATCAAGAGTCCTTTTGACGGGCTTTTTATCAATCTAATTAAGGGCTTGCAGGTATTGGAATAATGAAAGGGCCACTCGGGATGCATTTGACGAAGATGGCTTCTATCGGACTGGTGATCTGGTTCATCGCCTTGGTGATGACTATATCATAGAAGGCCGTGCGGCTACGGACAGTATGTCGTCTAGATACCACTGACAGGTGGCCTTTTTCCATGCTAACTCATCGGCAGTTATCAACTGTGGCGGGGCTAAAACGCCAATTCTGGACGTCGAAACCGGACTTTCCAAACTCGATTATATTTCCGAGGCTTCCGTGCTTCCTGTGAAGGATCCGAAAAAGGGGAACAGGGTCGCTGCTTTGGTACGTACTCGATTGAACCAATCGCAGCTTACGCTGCAAGTGCTTCGGAACGATCTTGCTTCCCACTTGCCTGCCTTTCAGCTCCCGACTGTTCTGCGTGTGCTTTGTGACTATGAACAAATCCCCAGAACTATATCAGGAAAGGTGGCTCGACAAGAAGCAAAGGATCGGTACTTTCCCCAGAATGCCGTAGATCCCTGTTTAGAGGACCTGCCACAAGAGGTCCAAGTCGATAACTTCGGTCCGGATACAGAGTTCCGGTCGCGTCGAATGTGGGATACAGGAGGTGTTCAGTGAATTCACTGGCTGGTGCGTCATTTTTTTTTCAAATGGATGAACAGGTCGGTGTGTATTTCTTGTTCCAAGCGTAAACGCGAATGGAGTCGATGGAGTATTTGTGGCGCGTAAGGGTGGATACTAGATCCAAATCGAGAATGGGTTCAGCTGAGGAACTTTATCTAGAGGGAACTGTGTTCGCGATCGTTCATTTCTTTGGTTAATGAGTGGATCAGCTCCACTTAGAGTGTTTCGTGCCTGTGTTTTACTTCACTCGCGTACAAATTTGGCTTTCCTTTCACGATCCAGGCACCTTGCTGTAGCTTTACCACAAAGCGAACTTCGTCAATCAGCCCCATATTGACTACACTACGTTTTGGAGCACTCTTTTGAAAGGAAATTAGGTAGTATCTCATCATGGCTGAAGTTTCCTCGAGGTTCCAAGTTCCAGTTCCCTCAACGGACATTCTGACCTACATTTTCGATTCGCCGTGGAGTCCGAGCCAAGGCTACACAGATGACGAACGACTCATTCTATCTGCTCGGGGGATCGAGCAGCATTCATGCACATTCAACCATCTCAAATATCTTGTGAAGTGCTTTGCTTCGGGCTTCGGGAAGCGAGCCCAGCCAAACCCCAGAGTTGTGATTTACGGGACGCTGAATGTCAATCTCCCAGCAGTTTTACTGGGCTCAATAGGTGCAGGAGCAAGCTGTAACATCTGTCCAGCATACCCACTCGCGGAAACGACCGCCAGGTTTCAGACTTTGAGTGCAGATTATGTCTTCTTTGAACCGCGTCACCTGGAAACAGTTACAGCGGCAGCCAAGGTTGCTGGTATCCCCACTGAAAATCTATTCGTTCTGGATGATTTCGAAATTTGTGAAGAGTTGAGATATCCACTCCCCCATTGGAGTTTACTTCTCGACCTCGTGGATGGACCAACCTTTCAATGGAAGAGATTATCCGAAGAAGAAGCAAAGACAACAACAGCTCTGTTCTGTCATACTTCTGGGTACGTTCATAAATTCTTATATTGCAGGAGAGCGACCAAAATCTAACAATTAACAGAACGACTGGTCTTCCTAAAATGGCTGAGCGAACTCATTATGGCTTGATTGGAAACACTGCGCAGCTCTTGTATCGCTATCACCTCAAGCCAAGACAAAGACATGAGACGTGGTTCTGTACATTTATGTACGCGGGGATTGGGTTCATCTTGTATGGCCTCTTGATGCCGTTGAAAGCTCGGTATAGAACAATATTTATGCCGCAGTATAAACTTGACGGATTTCTGTCCGCAATGGAGACTTTCCAGCCCACCTCTTTGCATACACCCAAGCACGTCTTTCAAGATCTTTTGACAAATGCCACCCAGGCAAATTTCTCATGTGTCTCTAGTTTACGAACTGGAGGAGCTATGATACCAAAGCGAATGCGCGAGGAGTGGGTGCAACGCCATGGGTCACCATGCGAAGTCGTATGTGGGATGACTGAGTACGTTTACCTCACAAGTACCACCCTTATTTGAAACATACTAAACTAGGTATATAGGGGAGGAATCCATTTTGCTTCGGACCCAAGAGAGCCGAAGGTAGATGAGACCGTCGGAGAGCTCTTGCCTAATCTGCAAGCACGAGTGGTGAATCACGATGGCCAAGTGCTCCCGAGAGGCGAAGCTGGTGAGATTCTAATCCAAAATCCATTTGCGATGAAAGGATATTTGAATGGATCCATCGCCTCAAAGGAGGTTTTCACCGAAGATGGATACATCAAAACTGGTGATATTGGTAAGGTAGATGAGTCTGGTCATTGGTACATTATTGGTCGCCTCAAGGTTAGTGCACACGAAACCCTCCCTTCCTTCCATCATAATGTACCAAGGTACTGGTGTATGTTGACATGAATGTTTAGGATCTTTACAAACTAAATGGATCTCATGTTATGGGATCCGAGATTGAAGCAGCAGTTTTATCACACCCCGAAGTTCTTGCAGCGGCAGTCATTGCCGTGAAAGTGTACGTGCTTATTTTCAACTCGGATTTTGTCAAAGTTTAGCTGCTAATTTATCACAGTCCTGGAGCAGCGGATGATGAGCCTGTTCCTCGCGGGTATCTTGTTCGGCGTCCGGGGTCTACCCTAGAGCTTGAGGAATACAAGAAGTGGGCCGCCACCGAGCTGTCCGAGAGATTTCAGCTAGAGGGTGGTATTGAGTTTCTAGATGCTTTGCCGGTCTCCGCGGTAGGTCATGCCAGCCCGTGCCCCTAAATACCAATAAAGACTAAAAGTAGATCAACAGGGCGGAAAAGTAGATCGAAATGCTCTCCGTGAGAGGAGCGTTTCCCAGGTTTAATCTGGTGGTATTGAGAAGAAGAAGAAAAAAACATACATCTAGCTATCACAGGGCTACGGGTATACATTAACGAGGAAAGATTTTCAGAATAAAGATAAAAAATAACTGGAACGAACGTTTTTGAAGGGAGTTTTGCTTGAGGTCTCCCGGGACGGCCCAGACGCCAGCTCGGAGTACCAATCGACAAGGGCCAAGAACGCAACGATGGATTGCTGGTAAAATTGTCACGAAAGCAGAACAACTCTATAATTTCCAAATTGCAACAATATACCTTGCTTTTGACATATAGACCCAAGGGCTCATAGAAATATCACGTGTTTGCTTTGTCAGTCAGAAGTTGTTTCAACGTCAGATTCCCAGCTTCGCCAAAACATCAACGCGTCGCGTGCTGAGTACAACTAGGCAAGTTCCAAACAGACAAATTTCCCACAAAAAGAAAGAATATCCAGGATGTTGGAACTCGTCAGGCGACTTTTCCGGCGCCAAAAAAGCCTGTACGGGCTAGACCATGCGGTCCTCAATGTGGTCCTACCGCTTCAAAGTATGTGGATGAATATGGGGTATTGGGAAGTAAGTGGATCCATTTGAAAAGTTTTCTAAATTCTGCTAATAAAATCAGCATACATCCAAATTCCCAGAGGCTTGCGAGTCTTTACTGGTTGAAGTACTACGGGCAGGTCTTCTGAAAGATAAAAGCCAAATCCTGAGAATACTAGATGTCGGGTGTGGATGTGGGGATTCATCACTATATCTCACTCAGAAAATCCACACGAATTCTGCATACGCCTCTATTCGCGATAGCGGTTCGCAAGCCCACGCTCAGGTCATCACAAATCAAAGGCCGATCGACACCTACGTCGGAGTCACTCTGGTACCCGAACAGGCAGCACTCGCACAGCAGCGGATTAATGAAAGCCGCAAATTAGATCAAGGCGCAGAGAGTGGGTTTGCCGAAGTTTTCTGCGCTGATGCAGCCAATCCCTCCAGCTGGCCTGGAGAATTGAAGGACTCTATTTCCGACATGGCCGACACATCAAGTGATCCTAAAGTAGGTACATGGGTCCTTGCTCTGGATACTATGTATCATTATCACCCCTCGCGCCTCCCACTCTTTCAATATGCCAATTCCACTCTTAACGCCTCGATCATGGCTTTCGATCTGATTCTGGGACCTGAAACGTCCTGGAAGCAGCGTTTCTTTCTCCGATTTACATGCTGGCTCACTAGTTTACCATATGGAAATTTTGTTTCTCAAGAAGAGTATAAAAATCTTCTGGTTAGAGCAGGGTACGAATCTTCCCAAATCGAAATTAGGGATATATCGGGCCATGTGTTTCCCGGTCTCGTGAAATTTCTTCACCAAAGGGTCAGAGAAGGAACACCTTTCGGTCTAAATGTGAGCAAATTCCGCGCGGCTGAATGGTTGTTTGGCTGGTGGGCGAATACTGGAGTTATCAGAGGAGTAATTGTCACTGCCCGCAAATCATGAGCGCGCATGAATGGCAAGTCTTCACTGTCCGATGAACAAGTCAAGCTGTGCATACTACTACTTAACCAACTTTTTTTTTTCTATATCTACCAGTGAATGATTATACTCTACTACATACCTAGGTACTTATGCTACATCATTGAGCACTAGTAGATATTCCATACAGCGCGGATTACCATGTTCTGAACAGTTTAGGTTTTCAGTCGCGAACCGCCAGTGATCTTTCACGATATCAAATGGTTCAATCTAGATTATTAATCATTCAGCCAGGTTATGATTACCAGGACGCAAAGCATACTGTATTCAACAACAGAATGCTTGGTTCATATTCCATCAGCCGAGGCATACCCGCATATGACAGATGCGTTGGAATCATGTTGAAATTATGCGGCAGTGGTGTTTCCAGTCGACCGTAATAGGGGAAATAAATAGGTTGGCCCCTGCGGCACACCCACACCCACGCCAATCTCCTCCACTCAGAGCTTCTCTATTGCCAATTCTGAGTCAACAGCTTCACCCTGCGACTCCGCACGTTCCATCCCGTTCGGAAAGGCATATCCCAATTATAACCGCACCGAGTATCACCACCAACTATATTTTTACGTTTCGACGAAAAAAAGCTACCATGGCTAAGTAGGCATACCCATGGAAGACAATATTCAAGTTGTTTACACCTTACATCTAGACTAACAGTTCTCTACTAGCCAACCGTTACATTCCGCTATCGTTCATTGGCCGCTTGCCTTGATCATCTCCGCTCATGGATTCGACGCATTGCAGCTAGGCTTGCCATTCATCCCCGCCCACATTGTCAACTACCTTCCTACGACCACCGAGCTCTCCATTATTTCATACTACATCCTCTCTCTCGGTCTCTTGACCGGCCTCGCCGCTGTTGTTACTGGAATTTACCAGGCCAGCCGCCTTGTGGCGAGACTAGGCGGTGTTTATGATGCGGACAAGAAAGCCATCAAGCCCAAGGTCAAGACACTGGTTGCCCACGCCGCTCTGAACGACATCGTTCTTCTGTTAAGTGCCGCCTACTGGCGGACACGTCGGGAGGCCGGAGGTGCGGCTTCTGTGCCTGATGCGACGATGCTCGCAGTCGGCGTTGCCCTCGGTAGCATTCAGTTGTTTGCTGCTGGCCTCGGTCGCAGCTTGGTGTCCACCGCCGGAGCTGGAAAGGCAAAGAAGTCGCAGTAAAGGCCAGTATTCGCAGCTCTTGCGTCGTAAAGACTGAGGCGATTTTCGTACCATGATGTTCATGTCGACAGATACTACCTGATCGATTCCCGGTGCATTTATTCGAGTATATAGCAGGATTGAAAATGAGGATTCCGTGCGAACAGAAACGTTGCAGCACATTAGAACTCTCTTTCTCAAATGGAAACGCTCCGTGTTTTTTTTAGAATTTGCGGACAACTTTGACCGAGATCTAGCGGGGATACTCACATCTTTGTATGAAATTAAATTTCAAATCTTAATACATTATTTCGGTCACGAGATTCTGATAACTAGCTAATGGGCGGTCTCTATCTCTGTCTCTGCATCTGCTGCCCATGGTAATGATTGGAGGTTATTGCAGTATACATAGTAGATGCTCTTAGTAGAAAGGACCATCCGTAAAGCGCACGAAGTGAAAATGTCCCACGCTTCACGTCCTCTTGCTTATTGAAACATTCTGATATATACACCTAGTAAGTAGAAAAGCCATGGGATCCGTCCCCACATCTTGAAATTGCAGGTTAAGCCCCAGAAGCATTGATGGATCTCATCGGAACCAATCCGATCTACCCGATCTATCCCCGGACATCAAACCCCCCCACTACCCGGTGGCATATACTATTCCAGCCCCGCAGAGTCGCAAATGGTATAAAATGAAAATACACTTCTAAATCAGACTGCTCCGAATATTTTTCCGCTGTCCCAATAACTTTCTACGTCGGAATAACCATGACTCCCCCCTGGAAAAGACTCATCCGCTTTATCGCGACAGACGGCCGCACCCTCCGCGGCGAACCAATTCTCGAAAATCCAAATACAGATCTAGGATTTATTACCGAGGCAGACTTGCTTCAGGCACACATCATCGAGGGTGATGATATCTACGACACGACCGGGAAAACGCGCGTTACGGATGAAATCGTTACCGTAAAGACTATCCTCGGCCCTCTAGCACAAGAAGACGTTCCCATTTTGCGCTGCGTGGGGTTAAATTACGCGAAGCATAGTAAGTTTTGCTCTCTTCCTTGTGTCATATCCTACATCTTTCATCTTCATCTGGCGACTTTGACTTTCGAACTTCAATGCATATGCGGAAATCCAATTGCTAACGCACTGCAATGCATTACAGTCAAAGAAGCAGGCCGCACCCCACCACCATTCCCATTCATCTTCTTCAAGCCAAACACGACAATCCACGACCACGGCAAACCCGTTGAAATCCCCAAAATTGCCCAAGATGAGCAGGCCGATTACGAAGGCGAACTTGTACACCTCCCCGTCAACTAAGCCGCATACCTCGCACGCGCGCAACGCTAACAGAAAAACAGTGTCTCGTAATAGGTCGCGATGCCAAAAATGTCTCTCCAGATGAGGCACTCTCATATATTGGTGCCTACACGGTCGGAAACGATATCTCTTCGCGCAAGTTGCAGCGCGATGCAGCTCTCGCGGGACGGGTACCGCAGTGGGGGTTCTCGAAGGGCTTTGATACATATGCGCCTCTGGGACCGTGTCTTGTTGCTGGGAGCGAGATTGCGGATCCTAGTAAATTGCTACTGAAGACTGTTGTGGATGGGGAAATCAGGCAAGAAGAGAGTGTTTCTGACTTATTGTTTGATTGTGCATATTTGGTTAGTTATTTGTCGTCTGGGACGACGTTGCAGAAGGGGAGTGTTATTATGACGGGAACACCTGGTGGTGAGTGCATACATGTTTTTCCGATATTGGATTATTCACAGTACCTGGTGTCATTTTCCAAGGTTTATTGGTTTTGCTAACTGGGTTATGCTTAGGTGTTGGGGCTGGGTTGAGCCCGCCGCGATATCTTGTTCCTGGGACGCAGATGGATGTGTCGATTTCGGGTATTGGAACATTAAGGAATAATGTCGTCTTTGCGTGAAACTTCAATAGTCGCAAATAACAGTAGACACGGAATGAATGTTGGAGAGACAGGATAGAGGATGGTTATGGAATCACGATTCATACTAGTACATATCTGATCTGTCTAGTGGGCACCTGGGTGGCAAGAAAAAGGTCGAAAGAAAAGCGATAGGTCCGCTTTTAGTATAGATAACTGGTAGCCAAATGGAATACATGCATGCTCAGGTCCTAGTAGAAGTACATCACAAGAAATCTCTGACTCAACCTGAAAACTTTGAAATGACATTGAAAAGAACATTCAAGGTAGAATGAATCATGTAGATCCTCGGGCTAAGCATAGAGTCCTTATCCGAGGCAGACAGATATGAAGCGTAGCTAACATCCTAGGATGTAAAAAGGTGACGGTAAGAATGTCGCCGTGGAAAGCGATCGGCTCTCGGAGCCGAGCATTGTAGTTAGCCTTAGCCCGACCCTGAGCTGCTTTACAGGTGGACCATGTCATACTTCTTCCTTCGTAATTCTTCTGAAACTAGGTGTCTTCCTGTTCTAATTTAGCTGCTCCTATGAGCTTGAGCAAAAAAGAATTAGTTTCTATATCTTCTACTCTATTGTTCAATTATTTGATTTCTTTTCCTGACAAGTATAATGTACTGCCAGTGGGAATTATAATCGTTTTAGCGATAGGGATCAGACCCAGGCCTGAATCCATCGCTTTCATCACCCCCGCCGCTTGATTGCAGTGTATTCAGCAGATATTCTCTTCGCTTCGTTGCCTTTTGCTGATTGCAATATACGTGCGTCGCTCGCGAGTCCTGCTAGAGCACAGTTGGCTCGCTCCATTTGTTCCGTCCGAGCCGCAGTCGGCCGTCTATAACATCTTCCATTTTCACACGAGTAACCTGTGCCGAATGGCTCATCTGGCTGATTGTAGTGTATTCAGCTGCAGAACCAGGACGCTCGAGCCTCGGGTCAATCTTCTCGGCACCACAATAGAGCATAGGCAAAATAGATGACTTCCACAAGCCGAGTTGGTGGTGTCGATTCTTTATTATTGTCGTGATCCAGAAGACAAAGCCGGCAATAAGAAGCACAGATGGGAAGGTCAGCCATTGCCAGGATACCTTGACGAATGCCTGGGAGATCATGACTGTGCCGTTAAAGCTCGCGTCACTGGTTTCAAGAGTGTACTTGGTGAGAGCCGCAGCTATGTCCGACATCACTGAACTAAGGCCGTATTCGATAACTCTGTTGAACGCAGCCCCAAAATGAGCGGTATTTCCCCAGTTCGAATTGTTGTGGTGGAACCACGTCAAGTTAGTATTGTCGAAACCATAGTATTCCCACGAGTATCCCATGAATGGACTATTCCCATATAAATGGTTGAGAGATCGATAGTTACTATCTATGGAATCTGACTCGTTCGTTCGAAGGCAAAACACAAATTGCTCAGTATCACCCCGGTTACCCGTGGGAAGCTTAGCAAGATTGAACGGAGCAGACCGATTAGTCGGTCCCCAGCAATCAATATCATGGTAACTGAGATCCGTATTGTCGGAAAGATTGCTGCTGAACCGCTGCCCGAAGTCAACCGATGTAACATTGACTTTTGGCGTGCCAGAAGAGACAGAAACATGATACGTCTTCAGGCAGAAGGAAATAGCGCATGCTTGGACGTTCTTAATGCGAATATTGCGCACTAACTCCGTTATGTTTGCATTGGCAGATTCGACATCAAGTTGGGCATGCGCGAAGACATAAATCGGCCAAGGGACTCCTAAGGAGTTATTCACTTGTTTAGCGGTATCAAGAAGCCCCCATACGAGCCCTGTAGGGATGGATATGAAACGCCTAGGCTTTGTAGAGTAATTCTCAAGCTTTATGGTGCCATTTGACCCGTGGCCAGCATACACAGAGCAGCTGTACGATTCGGCATAATTGACAGCATCCTCCGAGTCATCATCGCCATCAGGTTCCGTCCATTGGTCACATTTATAGAGGGTAGATACGTCAGTTACATCCTGACATCTACTGCAAAATCCCAAAGACTGAAATTCTGGCCAAGTACAGTTTCCAGACGGGCAAGTAGGATTCACTGCAAAGTCTGTGTTCCAAAGAGCAGCGTTGTAGTAGTTCTTGTAGGCAGTGTAGTTCGCATCTGGCGCAAAAGTTCTTGCTTGGGGCATTGTCGCTTGTGTCGTTCTACCTGGAGTTTGTTGGACCGGGTAGCTTAGAATCTGCTGCACGAATGGGTCTAAAGCCATCGAAAGTATAGTCACAGTAGCCCCGAGGGAGGCAATTGAGAGCCCGCGGTGCTGGAAGAGAAGATACATAGCGCCTAGTGGCCCTCGGCTTGCATCGTCGAAGGACTGCATGTCTAAAACAGGCTTTTCCCGGCGCTTAAACCAAACCCATTTCAATTGACCAACCGCTGCGGCTACCACGAAAAGTAGTGATGATCTGGATGATGTGGCCAGCAAAGAAATGATCGTGTTGAGTGTCAGCCCGTAGGATAGATTAGGGGACGGCTTCCCGTCATAGGCTCTCAGAATAATGATGACTGCAATGAACGATGCGAAACTGAACGCCATGGCGAGGCACTCGAGAATCCATGTATCTTCAAGTGAAGCCCAGCCTCCATATTTGGAGGGAGATGTCGGTTTGGTATTATAATCATCATCATCACCAGTCCCCGCAGGGAGGGATTGCGATCGAAGGCCATAGTGGTCATGGTAATCGCCGGCAGCAGTTGTGTCCTGCGACCGCGCAGGGGAGGATGTTCGACTTTCGGCAAAGGGAAATTGAGGTTTCTGGTAGTAGGTCTGACTTGGCGTGAAATCGTTCCGAGACTCCATATTTTCAGTTGTAGATGGAAACAGGTCATGGTTCTTCCGTTCGGGGTCGATCTTATTATAACCTCCATACTGGCAGCGCCAAGAGCTGCAGGGGGTTGTCGCTTTCCAGCCTCACAGTGTGAACAGCCAAATAAAGTGAGCAATCAGGCGCTTGCACGATGGTAAAACAGCCTAACGCAGCATGACGCTGGACCCTGGCGCTTTGTAGTCTTTTCACATAATGATGAAAAGGTGGGGGCCGGTTGGGTTCGCCTCTCCCTGAAGGTCAGCCCTAGCCAGACCCGCAAGACGGGTGCCAAAAGGAATTGGGATTGGAGGTCGAGTGGGTGATAAGATCATACTAGATGGTTGGGGCGTGATTATACTCCGTAGTGGAAGGAAAATAAAGGGAGGAACGGTTTTCGGATTGCAGCAGGATAGTACTAGGTGGATACCCGGACAGAAGGACACATAACTACTAGGTCACTCAGGCTGTTGCACGAGTTGTTGTAAGTGCTCCAGACACCCCTAATCAGTATTCGGATATAAGGAATAGGATACTCCGTACAGTCGTTCAAATTAAAATCTTACCATATAGACGTTTTAAAATGGGGACACCCATGGATGGTGGCCGATACGCGATTGTAATAAGGGATGGCGAGATCGTGAAGGTTGTAGAAAAGTGGAGGATAATATGGATGTTTACAAAAGCTAGTGCTAGATAGGAAGCAGAGACCTTTCTTTTGCACCGTCTTCAAGTTTCTGGACAAGGTACTAGTATGCTTTTCGAGATGTTATAAACAGTACCTAAGTACACCTGGGCACTATGCAAATATGTATGGCAGGCTGGACTAAAACCTTGGAAGGCTATGCTTCATGAATACCTTTGCCATCGCCTGTAGGGATACCGGGTAGTTCCTACTACTATGAATGGTGAAACTCGTGTTATTTGTGGTGCTAATGGAGGAGAAGAAGAGAGGAGAGATGGTAGAACGGCAACCTCCAGGGCTAGATGCATGCCCAACGCCACGAGTGCATCGCCTCAACTGAACTTGAACCTTTTTAGTTAGCTTGCTTGCGCCGTTTTGAAAACAGCAACTTTAGAATCCACGGGAATCGATGGACTGATTTGTGTCTCAGTCCTTCCAGCTGTTTTTTGGGACTTGCCAGGGCAAGCCCCCGCCGATCATTGATATTTTCGCAGCTATTGATTTCTTGGATGATCCTTTGGGGGCTGAGCACCTCAGCATCAGACTAAACCCCAATTCCCATGTTACTCCGTACTTGTCAAGAATTCGCGAGTGTTTTGAATATCGCTATACGTATTAAATACAGCGCGAAGGCTGGAGGCTCGCGAGTGCGACCCAATGTCGCAAGTGCAAGCGATGTCACCTTCCAAGGTTTACGAGACTTGACAGATATGGCAAGTCAGTGGCGGGCTGAGAAGAGAAGGTGGCTGTGAAACAGGGGGATTTGGAGCTAGCATTACTAGAGGCATCCAAACTGCTTCCTGGACACGTTAATAGACAGTTACAAGCTATGAGTTACGTGTACAGCAGCCAAGTTTCAGGCACCAAAGTCAATCAATAGTTTAGCCAGAAAAATTTAAATTCAGATCAGACTAAGCTTAAGCTGTCATTTGACAGGAGTCTCAGAGAAATCTGTTTCCAATTTGCAAAGCATTGGCTAAAGATAGATACCGTAGGTATTTGGCTTTTCTTTTCCCCTTTCACTTCTTCGTTCAAAGGCATAGTCTCGTAGAATTCATCAGTGCCATCGCATATCAAAAACGGCACCTCAAAGATCAGCCGATTCATGATTTAATGGTGTCAAGATGCGCATCGAGTTCTGGATGGGCACGGGGTTGGGTTTTTGGTTTGGATGGGGCCATCATGGTAGTATTGTCACAGGACTCCGAAGAGAAACAGATTCTATGAACAGGTAAAGGTGAAAAAAAGGGATGCAGCCCACTAGGGGCGCAAAATGGTATAGAAATGGAGTTTGTCCAAAAACGAATGGAAGAAGGATAAAGAAAAAATGGAACAGTTGCAGGGGCCGAGAATCGACGGGCGATTCACGGAACCAAGAGAAGATACGAATGTGTCATAAATCGAGCCAGCGATACAATCTACCAGAGATTTTCCCATGATCAGAGTGAAGCGATCGACGCGACACTTCAGTTGTTGACGGTCCACTTGACATCACCGATGCGGCCCGCGGAAAAGCCGGCGAATTTCTGGAACAGAGCGCGGGACATATCGATGGCGTTGTTGTCGCAGCCCATGCACTTGTCAACGACCGTGGCGGTTTCCGTCTTACCAAAGCGCGAGATGGTGACCTTCTTGCCACAGTCGGAATCGGTCATGACACCGACGGGCAGGGCAATGACAAACTCGGACTCACCATCGTTGGTGGTACCACAAGAGCTAGGGCTGGTGGCGAGGGTAGCGGTGTCGTAGAAAGTCGCTTCTCCATAACCGGATGGACCAGAGCTGGAGCTGGAGCTGGAACTGGTATCGGTGGAGCGCTGAGCGGTCTGAACGGCGGCAGCGGCAGTGGTGGTGGTAGAAGAGGAGGACTCAGAAGAGGACTCGACGGCGGGAGCCGCAGCAACATTCAGGGCCTGAACGGTGGCCTTCTCAGTGGGCTGAGCAACAGGGGCAGGGGCCTCGGTGGTGGAGGTGGTTGGGGCAGCCTTGGCCTCCTCCTCGACGGGAGCGGCGGAGGAGGTAGTCTCAACAGCAGCAGCCGGGGGTGGTCACAGCGACGACAGTCGCGGTGGCAGTGGGCTTACCCTGGTTCGGGTAGATGGTGGTGGTGACATCGACAGTGGTCCAGACAACGTCGGTGACAGTCTCCCAGACAACGGCGCGCTTCTCGACGGGAGCAGCGATACCGGTGAGGGCAAAGAGGGCGCCAGCAAGGGCGAGAGTCTTGGTGATGGGAGCCATTGTAAAAGAAGGCGGATTCTTTCAGAGAATGTCGAGGGTTGGGTGTGTGTTTGTGTGTGGGTTATTTGCTTAAAGACAGGTCACTGCACAGCAGTAAAGGATTGAACGACTCAAAAGGAGTGTGAGATCGAACAAGAAGACGGTGAAGGAGGGAACCGTTTGGAGAATTGGTGGTGATGATGGGAGGGGAGGAGGAGATGGAAAGGGGGAGGTGGTGAACTAAATATTCACCACAGCGCAGTGACTGCCCAGTGGTACCTGTGGATGACTGACTAACTCCACTTCTTCCTCTCATCTCGCCATGGATCAATTACCCACGGTTTGCCCCAAGCCACTTCCCTTACGGAGTACTCCACTCGAGCATTCCGACTTACCCTCGTATTTCTTCAATTGATAAGTACCTTTTTTTGATTCTCGATCCCAGCGTACCTGACCCGGAGGCCCCGGGACGATGGTCAGGAACATAGCTGATTGGAACAATAGAGTTGCGCCAACAGAGAGTAGCGCAGGGGCAAAGGCCAATTGACCTCCATTTCCAGTGGTGCCCATTCACAGACTTCTCCTGGCCCTATCCCCAGTGGAGTCTAGCTGGACCGGCTGAAAGAGCCGAAGCCAACGGTTGTTGCCATACTAGTCATGGTCTTAGCCATGTGTCAACCAATATTGAATCCATTCACTTCCTTTCTCCCCATGAGAACGAAGAGATCAAACACTCTTGTCGCCCATTGTCCGACCAATTTCGATTCAGGCACATCTTTACAACCAGCCCAATTTCCCTGGCCACCTTGCGGACAGCGCACCACCTTACACGTCCTCTGCAGCCTCTGAGCGGGTCCCTGCGCCCAATCGGGCTTGGTCGAATGAAACACGATCTCATCCTGGTCGAACAGGTAAACAGAGACTTCCACTCGTTCGTTTCTGCAGCTGCAACGGAGCAATACCGATACACCTCCCGGCTGTCTAAAGTGGCCGTTCTCCGAATATAATGGAATGACGTTGGCGGAGTTCAACGTTCTGGACCTGTTCCCCTCTCGTCCCGTTCTTTTCTCTTTCACCGAGCCGAGCAACTTTTCGTTCGGTGGGTCCGTGGCTTAGAGTGGCGATCGTCCACATGAAACCCCAGGTCAGATTCTGGCCCTGAAAGAGAGACACTGACACAGTCAGGCCAGGGGCGCGACAGGTACAGACACAGACACGGGGGGGGGGGGCTCAAAATGGGATGAAGCAAATCGATGCTCGCCTTGCCCTCTTCCAAATTGCAGCTGCTGTGATCTCCGACCTGTCGTCCTAACCATTTCCCACCACACCATTCACAGGACCCAGATCCCTCTCGCTTTCGATCGTGGCGTCCAGCATGAAACACACCCGATCGCCAGAGCGCAATTCTAGACCCGACGGAACAGGAGCCACCAGGACCCCTCCCCGAACCAATCCCCGCCCCGGCTCGCCTTGGTGCAACCCTGTCGGGAACGCTGGTTGGCATCCCATTTTTTTTTCGTGCGGTGGAGTACCCTTCGTAAAAGGGAAGACTTCTCCGCCAGTTAATTTCGCTCCACTCATCCGACGATCACCCCGGAATAAGAATGTGCGACCATGGTTGACAGCGGCACAAAGATGGCCCTTCTTGCGTTGAATTAGAGGGTACGGGATAGAGTCGGAGGGCAAGAAGAGAGGAGCAACTACTCCGTACGCACAAAGTACTCCGTTTGTACTCCGCGAATCTAGAACGGTGAGGTATGGCAGGGTGGGGTTTTTGAACGCCATCGGGGGAATTTGGGAATGACAGATCGCGCCGAGAACTGGGTCTGACAGTACAAGTAAGTGGAATGCGGGTGAGAGATTATCGGAATGTGGCAGTCCACCTAGGCGCCATGATCTCCGAGGCTTTAACTGTCACTGTCGCAGATCATGAAAATCTTCGAAGATACCTAGGTATGCCAAACTAAGTTCAAATGACTTACCACCGCGACTTGGGTTATGTAGATACTTAGAACAAAGGTAAAAGAGATCACTAAGAGTCTGCAGCACTACCACCAGTTGAAGCTATGAAGGAAACGTCATAAAAAGAACTATCATACCACCCTTGATGCATATCCCAAGCCTAGATCCAACAAGATGCATACCTACCAGGTACCTACTAGGTACACCCAAAAGCGCCCAACTCCAACTCCAATCCCAACCCCAAGTATGCCTCCGAAAAATCCCTCAAAGACCGCCGCAAATGGAAACTCCAAAGAACCTTTCGAACTTGATTTAGAAGCCCAATGGAAAAAAGAGCCCCGCGTGGCAAGTCGACGACCGCAAAAAGAAAGAGAACCCCCACCACGTTACAATTCCGGCAAACCTACCTACTCCAAACGAACACCCCCCACGAAGAACCAAACTTGATGTTCTTCTGGAAGATTTGAAAGAATTCCGTTCTCTGGTTTGCCTCAACGGCTCGGGCAATGAGGATCAAGATGAAGCGCCATCTACGTATTGCCTTCAAAAGAGTTTTGTTTCCCTTTCATCCGGACTTTTGTTGGATGTGTCAGCGCCGGAATTGGATATGCATCCGTTGGGAGATGTTGAGAGAGGGGTTAGGAGATATTCGTAGTACTCGTAGAGGGAGGGGTAAGGATTTGAACGAAACATAGCATATGCAGGTGCTGGGGAAATGAGCAGGCTTTCTCGTAGCCAAATAAATGCCAGTACTGAGCGGAGCTGGCTGGTTGCGATGTACAGAGGAACTTGAAACCAACATGCACCTTATACTTGGTAGAGCAAAACTGTAGTACAGGCTAATATTCAATCAATTCACACTATGCACAAACGACAGAAACTGCACGGTACTGCTAGAGGTCTACTAGGAGATGGAATCCAGACACGAAAAGTGGTAATCAGATGGGAGAGGGAGCAAGCTATTAGTACTAAGGTGAAGCTATCTAGGGAAGGACTCGGACCTTGGATGCCTGAGGCAGTATATGCCACCAAGCATCTCAACTTGAACAACTCTTTGATTGGTTCAAGTTCTCTGGTCTTAATGAAGAAGAGACTACTACTACTACTACTACTACTAAAACTACTACTACTACTCTCAAGGAAAGGAAATACGCGTGGTTCGCGTCATCGTGTCTGGTGGTTTTTTGATGGCCCCGGCTAGTCTACAATCTTACACGTACTAGTATATCTTTCATCAATCTCTTTCAGTCCAAGCCAGTACATACTACCAAGTATGGTAACTTGAACTTGGAAAGAGAGTAGACTACTACTACTACTACTACTACTACTACTACTACTACTACTACTACCTGGGTATAAAGTAGAAACGGCTGGCGGAAGGCATGAGCCTGAGGTCACTATGGTACCAACTCCTTCCAATTTCTACTCATACAAACTCTCACTCTCTCATTTCACTCCCACCAGTTCTCATTAATCAAGAATACCTACCAAGACATCTCCACGCTTTCCACGTTCCGAGCTCAGATCTCACTGTCAAACACCATGCCAACTCGTGACATCCGCTCGTTCGCCTCGCGAATCAGCGAGGAACCGGATATAACCATCTCTTGCGGCGAGGATAATCACAAGGTCCACCGAGCCATCATCAGTCTGAAGTCCGAAGTCCTAGCCGCCATGTGTCGCCGCGGAACATTCATCGTACGAGAACCCTCAAACCATGATATACTCCTCCACCCCCCAAAACACGACATGAACAACAGCTAACAAAACATGCCCGGAACAGGAAGACGAAACTGGAGTGATCAACCTACGCGACGATGACCCCGAAGCAGTCAACATCATGGTCCAACATATCTACGACGAGCCCTACAAGATCAGCCCACAGAATAAAAAAGACGAGTCTAGCGCCCGACTGAGTCTACAAGTCTACGCCATCGCCGACAAATACATGATCGAGCCGCTCGCCGTGTCCGCTCGAAATGAATTCAAAAGCTGGGCCGCGATGGCAATGTGCACAGATTCCTGGGCGCGCATCGTGGAAGAGATCTGGGAGGGCGATGGATATTCGGGCCTCTATCCTGCCATCGAGAAGCTGATTGCGGGAGATATTGATTACATGCTTGGTGATGAATGGCGACCCTTCATCGACAAGGGGATGAGATTTGGGAGGTTCTCGACGGATTTCCTGCGCGGAATTGTGGAGAAGAAGGACTTTGATGCTTACGAGGGAGAAGGGGAAGGGGAAGCGCTGTTTGAGATGGGAAAGTTCGAGGACTTGGAGAAGAAGATCGATGGTCTGGAGTATACGGTCTCGAATCTGGAACATGCGGTTAAGGGTCTGGAGAATACGATCAAGGATCTGGACCATACAATCAAGAGTCGGAAATAGAGGGTCAGAGGTTTCATCCTAGGCTGCGGATCGACTTTCCGACAACTCAGCAAGAGATGGTTGTCGACAGCTACTACTAGCCGGTCAGATGACAGTATCGAGATGATACCCCAGTTTAATGTCTACGAGGACAAAATCGATATCTAGTTCTAATGAATGTCCGTAGACTTTCAGGGTATCTTCAAGTTCCTCATTATATCACACCCTCTATGTGTGTATGGTCACTTTCGAGAATGTTTACACTATACTTTTACACAGAACAGTCGTAGCATGAACATCATTGACTAGAAACTAACAAAGGAAATGTAAAACAAATGAAACCGCGCCAGAACCAGAGCAGAAAAAAAGGAAAAGAAAACCATAAAGCTCATCATATAGGTACATCAATCACACATTGGGCAAATTGTAGAGGTGTGCCAAAGGGGATGCGGGAAAACGGGGAATGGGAATGGAGGAAGTACATGGGAAATCGTAGAAAAATTTTTGGTAGACAGAACCAGAGCTATTTAGCCCTGGCACATGATGCAAGCATCCTTGTTCTCGATGCTGCACTGTAGAACGGCGTCGGAGTAGATATCACCCTCAGACTTTTCAGTCTTCTCGGTTTCCTCAGCGGTCTCACCGTCGGCCTCAGCGGCAGCGGCAGCGGCGGGGGCAGGGGCAACAATTGGAGCAACAGGGTCCGCAACGAGAGTGCGAGGGCTTTCTTGAGGGGCGGCAGCGATGGCGGCGGGCTCAGCACGGGGAACGGCGGAGTAGCCGGAGGAAGCGGCGCCACGCTTCTTGAGCGAAGAGGCGGCGCGGGCAACGTTGGTGTCCTCGACCAGCAGCTGCTCCTGGTCGACGGTGAACTGGATGGGAGCAGAGGCGGCCATAGTACGGAGGTAGTACATGCCGGTCTTCAGGCCCATCTTCCAGCCAGCGAAGTGCATAGAGGTGAGCTTGCCCATGGTGGGCTCCTTCAAGTGAATGTTCAACGACTGGGACTGATCGATGAAGGCGCCACGGTCAGCGGCCATCTGCAAAATGCTACGCTGAGAGATCTCCCAGACGGTCTTGTACAGGGCCTTGATGTCGGCAGGAATGTTGGGGATGTTCTGGACGGAACCGCCATCGGCAATGATACGGTTCTTCATGTTGTCGGACCACAGGCCAAGGTCGACCAGGTCCTTCAGCAGCCAGGGGTTGACAATCTGGAATTCACCAGCAAGGACACGGCGAGAGTAAATGTTGGAGGTGTAGGGCTCGAAGCACTCATTGAAGCCCAGAATCTGACTGGTGGAGGCAGTAGGCATGGGAGCGACAAGCAGACTGTTGCGAACACCATGCTCGGCGATAGTCGCCTTCAGGGAAGCCCAGTCCCAAAGGTCGGTAGGGGTGCGGTCCCACATATCGTACTGCAGGATACCCTGCGAAACGGGGGAGCCGGGGTAAGTCTCGTAAGTACCGAGCTCCTTGGCAATAGCAGCGGAGGCAGTCAGAGCACCGTGGTAGATAGTCTCGAAGATCTGAATGTTCAGCTGCTTAGCCTCGGGGGAGTCAAAAGGCAGACGCAGAGCCAGGAAGGCATCGGCCAGACCGTTGACACCAAGGGCGATGGGACGGTGACGGAAGTTGCTCTTCTTGGCCTCAGGAACGGGGTAGTAGTTGATGTCAATGATCTTGTTCAGATTACGAACTAAGACCTGGACAACCTCGTGCAGCTTGTTGAAGTCATACTGTCCCCGGTTGGAATCAACGAAGGTGGGGAGAGCCAGGGAGGCCAAGTTGCAGACAGCGACCTCATCGGGAGCACTGTACTCGATAATCTCAGTGCACAGGTTGGAGCTGCGGATGGTACCCAGGTTCTTCTGGTTGCTCTTCTTGTTACAAGCGTCCTTGTACAGCATGAAGGGGTTACCAGTCTCGGTCTGTGCCTCAAGAATGGCATACCACAGCTTCTGAGCCTTGATGGTGGTACGACCACGACCCTCTCTCTCGTAACGCTCGTAGAGAGCCTCGAACTCGTCACCGTAGACATCAGCCATACCAGGGGCCTCGTTAGGGCAGAACAGAGTCCAGTCGCCGTTGGCCTCGACACGCTTCATGAACAGATCGGGGGTCCACAGAGCATAGAACAGATCACGGGCACGGACTTCCTCCTTGCCGTGGTTCTTGCGGAGGTCGAGGAACTCGAAGACATCGGCGTGCCAGGGCTCAAGATAGATGGCAAAGGCACCAGGGCGCTTGTTACCACCCTGGTCGACGTAGCGAGCCGTGTTGTTGTACACGCGGAGCATGGGGACAATACCGTTGGAGGAACCGTTAGTACCGCCAATGTAAGAACCAGTGGCACGAATGTTGTGAACGTTCAGGCCAATACCACCGGCAGTCTTGGAGATCATGGCACAAGTCTTGAGAGTGTCATAGATACCCTCGATGCTGTCCTCCTTCATATCAACCAGGAAGCAAGAAGCCAGCTGGGGCTGGGGGGGTACCAGCGTTGAACAGGGTAGGGGAAGCGTGAGTGAAGTACTTTTGGGACATGAGGTGGTAGGTCTCGATGGCCTTCTCAATATCCTCACCGTGAATACCGACAGCAACACGCATCAGCAGGTGCTGAGGACGCTCGGCAACTTTGCCATCAATGCGGAGCAGATATGAGCGCTCCAGTGTCTTGAAGCCGAAGAAGTTGTAGTTGAAGTCACGGTCGTACACGATGGCGGAGTTCAGCTCATCGGCGTGCTTTGTAATGATCTCATAGATGTATTTGGAGATCATGGGAGCGGGCTTGTTGTTCTTGGGGTTGACATAGTGGAAGAGGTCGGAGATGACCATAGAGAATTGCTTCTTGGTCTGCTTGTGGAGGTTGGATACAGCGATACGAGCGGCCAGGATGGCATAGTCGGGGTGTGTAACGGTCATGTAGGCGGCAGTCTCGGCAGCCTATACCAGTTGACAGATTAGCACTTGGTCTCAAGAGTAAAAATTTCACTCAGGTAAAAAAAAAAAAGAATTGCAAAGTCTCTCATACCAGGTTGTCTAGCTCGATGGTTCCAACACCCTGGTAGACACCAGAAATAACCTTCTGGGTGATAGCAGCAGCATCAACGTGGTCTGGGTCGAGGCCATAACACAGTCTGGAGACACGGGCAGTGATCTTGTCGAACTGCACGCGTTCTTTGCGTCCGTCTGTGACATCATACGTCAATACTGATTCAGAAGGTGGTGGCAATGCCACTTATTGCTCGCCCAAAGCAGCTCGGACAGATAGACACGCGAGAAACACGTTCATTGCCCTACACTGCAGCTCGAGGAGGGGGTCACTTACCTCGCTTGTAAACGAACATCTTGAAAGAAGAGCAAGGGGTATGAGGGGAAAGAAGATTAGGATAGAATGAGGGGGGGTATCAGACAAGAAGAGAGAAGTGTTTGTATTAGGGTATTGAAAGGTAGAAAGGGGAGGAGGTGAGGAAGGGATAGGAGTGGATGAGAGAAGGGGAGAAGAAGAGGGAGGGGCGGAGGATATTTGATGTCGCCGGGGCAGACGCGTTTTCTTCTCGCGAATTTTCGCGCCTTCTCTGGTTCGCTTCCTTTGGTTTCTTGCCGCGCTGAGTAATATTCACCCGCTTTCCGCGTAGGTCACGTGAACACGCGCCTTTCCGCCCATCGGAGGGTCAACAAAGACATGGCCATGCTTCGGCTGAGTTGGAACCGAGCGGGGATACACATTCCGTGCTCAGACGATAGGGTAAGCCGAGTGGCTCGGACTGCATCTATGGGGCCAATTGATCTTCCGTTGTCATAGAAATCCAGGCAACATCCCCTATCACTGACTCACCTTCCTCCTTGCTGCCTGCAGATACGGTCCGCACATGCACTCACTTAGTAACTTATGTGGCTTATGTTACGCTGGTCAACCTGGAGATCTTCAAAACAAGTACGGAATATCAAGGGATATCATTTCAACACCAAAGCAAATTGGGTCTTTGCCTTTCTAATATGACAAGCGGTGTGGAGTATATCATGTGCAAGTAATGCATCTGAACTGTTCAGCATCACCTCTCCAAGATGCAATGGAATGCAGTGGATATGGTAAAAAGAGAACAGCCGAGAAGCAAGAATATCAAAGCCAGATTAATCAATCAATACATCTGAGGATTACATCGCGGAACCCCCAATCGACACAAACGAGATTCTTACAGCAATGCAGCAGCGCCCATAAAGACGGCCGCACCGACCGCAGTGATCGAGAGCTGGACGCTAGGAGCAGCAGCACCAGTATAGGTCGAAGTAGCGGCGGAAGCAGTGCCGGTACCAGTGGTGGACTTGGAGGATCCGCTGGCGGACGAGCCGGTGCCGGTGGCCTCGGAGCCGGAGGAGGTAGCGGTGACGAAGCCAGAGCTGGTGGCAGTGGCGGTGCTGGTGCCGGTAGTGGTGGAGTCGGACTTGGTAGAAGAGAGCTCTGTACAAAGTAGACGGTTAACATTAGCCAAAGAATGCGCCAATCAGAGGACCTCGTGGGGTGAGGAATTCCAGGATTAAAGGTCGATCCTTACCAACTGTGTGGCCGTTGGCCTTGCAGGTGCTGGCGTAAAACTTCAGGGCCTTCTCAGACTTGTTGCCGCAGGCATCGGAGATGCTGGACTGGATCTTCTTGGAGTCATCACCGCAGATGCTGGACAAGTCGGCTGGGTCGGCAGTGTCGCTGGAAGGGGTTAGTTTCGCGGTCGGCCAATTCAGGGAGATCGGAGAACGACTCACCCAATGACGGACAGAAGGCAGGCGGGGGTCTGGTCGGCGGAGACGAAGCTGGCGAGGGCAACAAAGGCCAGGGCGAGAGTAGACTTCTTGAAGAACATGTTGACGGAATTGGTGGAAACAAATGAATTGACGAGAGTTGGATTGATTAGGACGGAATCGCGCAGCGAATCGGTGAGTCTTGAGAGTAGTATTGGTTGGAGTAAAGATCGTGGGGTGCAAAAGAGCGACAGGGTACGGCGAAAAGGAGTGCGCGCGTAACGTAGAGGACAAAGAGTGACGAAGGAGAACAAGTGAAGTTGAAGTCAGATCTCAGGCCTCGGGGGTCAGAAACCAAACCAGGGACCAAAGACAGCCCCAGTGGGTGCCTCCGGTATGGGGCTGTATGGTAATTAACAGCTCCCCGCTTAGTAGCGCATGGAGCCATAGCGGAGCGATGTAATACAAATACACTGTACTTTGCAACCCCACGCCTGGTCTCACTTACCCCTATAAAGGGTTTAGCGTCAGGGACCCCTAAAGCTAGATGAACTTAGGTATGTTGCATTGAGATGATACAAGTGCAGCGAAATAGTCAAAAATCATAACTTGCCAATAGATCCTGGATTACACACCTATTGATGTTGAAATAAGAATGCTTGTTCCCGAGGTCTATTCCAAGGTTAGTATAAGTAGAACCAAGGAAACGAGTCACACACAGGGTCTCGGTTTGGCTTCGCACCGGGAAATAATTCCTTCAATCTATTTTTAAACGTGAAATTTTTGGGAATAGTCAAAATTTGAAACTATCCTTGAATGTACCTAAGTAGACATTTACTGAAGTATCTCCAAGAGTCGTTGAATAAAATGGGGGGTACCAAGGCAATTAACGATATACTAGTAAAAGCGCCGTTACTGTATCATTCGCTTCGTGTTTTAGTGATACTGTGAGTATTCAATTGCTTCAAGGCAGCTTGATTCAGTGAGAAATTACCTGGGCAGTGCCAGTGATTTTACAATGTGCTTCACCTCACTCAAATAAAGTTAATTAAGCACTGTTTATCCCCCTATCTAGTATTTACTAGTCACGTGTATAGAGTACCAGTACTAGCATGCGTTGTTTGTGGTTGGGGTCGAAAATCAGGGGCCAAAAGGCAGCAAACGCGAGGCCATTCAAGTGCAAGACCCAGAGGCATCTTCGGAAAATCTACAGTCGGAGCCATCTACCTACTAGTAGGTACATTTTTGAACCAATGAATTCAGGTACAGTCATATACTAGTAGACTCCAGGGCATTTCCGAGCCTTGATATGAGTGACCCACTCTCTATTGCAGCAAGTGTTGCAGGCCTACTTTCGCTCGGCATCCAAGTCTCAGAGTCATTTCTCAAGTTCTACGCCGCGTACAAAAATCAGGGTGATAACATCAATCGCGTGTTGAAGAAGCTGGAGGGCATTCTTACCGTTTTCCGATCTCTCCAAGCTACTCTGAAAGCCCGAGAGTTTCACCCCGAAGAGGGACAGCTCGTTCAAAGCATCGAAGATTCCATCAAGGACTGCAATGAAATTATCCAAGAACTTGCAGAAGAAAGCAAGAAATATATCAAGATTCCGGATGGTGGAACTCGTGATAAAATTAGGACTGCCACTCGCCGTGTGGCTTACACATTTCGGGCCAGCACCTTGAGCAAGCTTGAGGAAGACATTCATGATATCCATATTAATTTGTGGTTTGCATTACATATTCTCAACCAGGGTGATCAGAAAGCTGTTTATGATGATTTGATCAGTGTCAAGTCACTGCTCACAAGCTTGCAGGTAATCCAAGTTTCCTCTGCGATACGTGGGTGGTTGAAGGCGCCAGACGCTACGGTTAATCACCATAGTGCGTGTGCAAAGCGTCGGGCAGAGACTGGAATGTGGTTTATCGATGGACAGCATTATAGTGACTGGTTGGAGCAGGATAACTCATTTCTATGGTTGAATGGGTTCGCGGGCTGCGGCAAGTCAGTCTTGTGCTCAACTATCATCCAGCATACATTCTTCCAGAAAGACTCAAGGCGGACATTGGGTTTGACTTTTTCTACTACACCTTCAGTGATCAGTTCAAACAGGACGAATCAGCCATGGCAAAAGCCCTTCTACTACAACTAGCTGGGCAGCGAGAAGAATGCGAGGATGAGCTTGAGGCACTTTATCAGTCATGCCAATCAGGAACACCCCGTATCGATGCTCTTTTGGCATCTCTACAGAAAATGTTTCAAGACTTTGTTCATGTCTACATTTTGCTAGATGCATTAGATGAGTGCACCAGGTATGAGAAGCGGGAGGGTGTATTGACTGCATTGCAAACCTTTCGACAATGGAACCTACCAGGCTTGCACCTGTTGATTATTACCTAGGTAGCCGTGATGAGCCGGACATTCGGCAAGCATTATGTCCATTAGCGACAAGTGACATTGTTCTTAAAAATGAGGATTAGGAAATCGACAAGGACGTCCGAAATTATATTTCTTATGAGCTAGAAACCAATTAAAGTCTTCGCAAATGGCAAGCACATCGCACTGAAATCCAATCTGCTCTATCAGAGGGCGGCGCCCAGGGAATGTGAGTTTAACCTTAAAGCCTAAATATGGTGACTGATCTAATATGGTAACTAGATTCCGCTATGTGGAATTTCAGTTAAAAGATCTCCAGCGGTGCTCGAGGACCAAAGTGCATCTCAATAAGCGTCTACAATCATTGTCTAAAGATCTAGAAGAGACCTATGATCGAACACTGTGCAATATTGATGAATTTTGTGTTGATGACGCGCGCCGCATTCTGACATTGCTCTGCTTTTCAATTGAGCCACTCACCAATCGATTGCTAGACGCCGAAGGTGTCAATGATATTTGTCTTGGCCTGATAGAGGTTAAACCGGGCAGAGAGGCTAAAGTTCGAATTGCTCATTTTCAGTACAAGAATATTTGATGTCTGAGCGTACCAGAGAACGGAGAACGAAGAGCTTTGCGTTGGAAAGCATTTCCTCTCAAGATACTATACAGCAGATATGCCTAGTTAACCTCACAGAACCAAGACTATCTTCGTTCCAAACACGCACCGACTTTCTTAAAGCCTATCCCCTGGGGAAATATGCTCCAACACGTTGGAATGACCATTATGACAAGGGATCAAAGTCCAATCCGGAATCGGGAAAATTGATTTCGAAGATATATACCGATGAAGGAGTTTTCACTAACTGGAGAATGCTTTGCATGTTCAATCAGAAACGTGAACCAGACCTCGAACTCATCGCAACCCAACTACACGATTGTTCGCAATTTGTACTTGAATGGGTCCTCGGTCATATCTTGAACGCCGGAATGAGACTTGGGTACAGCATGAAAGATATCTTGAATGATCAGGGCGTAGCCAAATTTAACGCCCTTCAAGCTACAGCCTCGGGAGGCCATTATAGTACGGTCCAGTTCCTACTAGACAAGGGCGCTGATGTGAATATTGCGGGTGACAACTATGGTGCTACTCTCCAGACTGCATCACGCAGAGGGCATCTTTCAGTAGTGCAACTATTGCTAGACCATAATGCTGATGTCGATGCTCAGACTTCACAATATGGCACTGCTCTAGAGGCTGCATTGGAAAGAGAGCATGAAACCGTGGCGCAAATTTTGCGTGATGCAGGGGCAATTTAAAAGGACTGTGTATGAAATGCTGCAAAAGAACTTAGAAAGGATGGCTTTTGCACTTGAATAACATCGTCATTTACTACCCAGCAGAAATAGCATGAGAAAAACGGACCAGAACCTTGGAAAGGATCTTCCCTTCCAAGGTATAGGGTTCAGGTTCCGTTTCCAAAGGCTCATTCCGGTGGAATAGCGATGCAGACAGTAAACCTTTTGAGTTCTGGTACCTACTAGTATTCCCCATCTTCTGGCCTATAATATGACTTCTCAACATGTACTTTAACTTTATTCAATCAGTCAGTTAGTCTAAATAGTCACACAAAGCGCTAGCAAAATGCGGCTCCACCCAATCCATTTATGTCCAAGTCCAAGAATCCGTCACTATGACTTCTCCCAATCAGGATCATAAATACTAGAGACAATCTCCTGAACAGGTAGCCTATTTTCCAAGATCTCCGCCCCATTAATCAAATCATTCTCTGCAACCCTCTTCTCGGCCTCGGCCTTATCCTTCGCAATCCCCGCCTTGACATGCCTCCTAACCAACCTCTCCCTCGCAACCTCAAAATCAACATGTACAAACCAAAGCTCATCCATCAACCCCGCAGCCGTACTCCAAGGAACTTTATCCAGACTGAGATAATTCCCTTCAAAAAAGATCACCCGACAACTGGCCGGAATCTCAATATCATTATCCACGGGGTCCTTAACCGCGTGGTCGAAACTAGGCGCGTAAATACTCCTCGAGTCCGGCGTAAGTGGCTTCCGCAGGTCGTGCACTAGAGCCAGGAATTTCTCGCCGTCGAATGTAAATGCTGCGCCGCGCCGGGCGAAAGCGTGTGCTGGGTCGGGCATGGCTGATAGCTGTGCGCGCGTGAGGTGGTAGCCGTCCATTGGGAGGGCTGCTGCGATGGGGTTGTTGAAGGAAGAGGAGGTATTTTCGGAGGCGTAGATTTCGTTTATGCGGTTCGTCATCATTGTTGCTAGGGCTGTTTTGCCTGAGCCTGGGATTCCGCTTACAGCGATCATTAGGCGGGTGTCGGGGGGGGGGAGGGTTGTAAATTTTGCTGGGTTGGTTAGCTTGAACTATAGAGGCGGGTGATTTTGTGTATGTGTCTGTGTGTGTGTGCCATGTAGAAGAAGGGTATTAGGGAAGGTGTCTGATATGGCGTGTGTGCTGTTGGGTGTATATGATGCGGAGTGGTCTGCTTAGACGTACCCCATGTCTTCTTGACCAGGTGATCCACCTGGGTATTCATGATTGTAGACGTGATTTTGTGTGTGTGAGGCCGGTGGCCAAGGAGGATTGAAAGGAGAGGTGGTGGGTGGTAGTGGGCTGTCTCCTTGTAGAATTGCGATTGCTATACAAGAAACTTGGACTCGGCGAGATTCCGATGACTGGTGTCGCGTGATGATTGCAATGCAAGGCTCTAAAGCTGGCGAATGCGATTGGTGGGAAAGACAGGGGTATGGGAGAGGAGAAGGGAGAGACTTAAGGTCTTCTCCAAAAAGCCCCGAAGATGCGCGCGATAACGAATTGGCGGGGCAGCTGCGATTGACGGATTGCGGCGGGGACGGGGACTGCAGTGCTCCGAAGGGGAACTGCCACTTCTACGTCACTTGTTGGAGTATAGAATATCTTGGATGCCTAGGCACATCTTCTCTATACATTACTCCCACTAATACTACTACACTAGTCCTGCAAGGATCTACTTATACTTCCTCCCCAGCACAATCATTTTAGACTTAAGATTTAGGATTCTGCACCGATGACATCATTCGATTATCCAGTCCAAGGCTGGGCGCTTTTATTGGACAAAAAATAAACACAAGCGCATCAGAAGTATGAAGTATGAATACACAAATAGAAGAGTGTTGGGTATTCAGAATCAGACGTCGGCGCAGCTGGTGAAAAGAAGAACCTCTCTCGCATCCCGTGCAAGAAGGAATCAATGCTGGTTCAAGACGAGAAACCAGGAAACAAACAATAAACAAATAACACCTTCAAAATGACAACCCAGCTTCAGGGGACCCCTGGGGCACCCATAAGATGTCCGAACGCCACGCAAATTGGAAACGAGACATAGGCAAAGCAAAATGGAAGAAGAAATGGACAAGCTGCAGGCTAAGTGGTGGATCCACCGTGAAAAAAAAACGACCAGAAAAACCTGGTATCGACCAGGCTAATATTGGGGAAATGAGGACAGGTCGATCAACGAGTACGGTCATTCTCGTTAGGCTCGGCGCTGGCGCTGAGGCCACGGCCCATGTTGCGCGAAAGGCCGGCTCCTACCCACCATTCATCGGGAATGTCCTCTCGGCGAGCAAGTCGATCCAGGATGGCCTGCATCTGATGGAGATCAGACTCACTCGAATTGTCCGAGAATGAAAACGAGATGGTAGGAATTGGGGGGTGTCCGCTGATTGTCGAGTGGAGACCGGCGGAACGGCGAAGGGGCATTTGAAGGCCCGAGGGAGTCAAGACCCTATGGTAATTTACAGGGGTATCCTCATCGTCCGAAGAAAAATCACATGGGTTAAGATGGTCGGGATACGGGTCAAGGGATGCCATAGTGAGGCTGGTGTCTAGGGAGGACGGGTGTGTTTGGGAGGTATTTGCAGAGTTTCGAGATGCCCCGGTGAGCGGTGCGTTCGTCGTAGAGGTGGAATTGGAGGAGAATGAGGTGTCGGTGGAAGGTAGATTGACATCGGGAGTGATGGTAGAGAGCAGAGTCTCCCAGGCATCGCGATCGCCATCAGGGCTCAGGCTGCGTTGCCGATCACCAAGACCATCAATAGCTGATTCCCGGGGTCGAACAGGTCCATTTCCGGTTCTGTAATCTCGCAACAGAACAGATGGAATGTGGGCGGTGGGTTCACGGCTTCGGCCATTGCTGCGAATGAGAGGAGGCAGGCGGATGCCATCGATGGATGGGTGGGATGAATGGTAAATTGCAGGGGCAAAATTTGGAGTCAAGAAGGGGCCCCCATTGCGCCCAGGTTGGGAATCATCCGGGCTTGCGAGAATATTGGCCAGGGCTTCGTCACGAGTGATGCGAGAGCGTCGACTCGAGTGATCCCGACGTGGCGGATTCGCACGCGCGGAACTCCGGTTCAAGGCTTCGCGCCGGGTGGTATCTAGATCCAATCCATCTTCGCTGACGCCGAGATTCAAAACAGGAGATCGCACTGCAGATTGTCGGTGGCCGATACCGTAATCACGGTGAATTTCATCGAGGAGCTGTGACTGAAGAGTGGTTAAAACGCCGCCGCCGCGCGCGCGGGAGGAATGGCGCGATGCGCGACGGATCGTAGGTTGACGGCGGATTGAGGATCGCGCAGAAGCAGAGGAATCTTTCTCGAGGCTGGTCTTTTTGTTATCGGCCTCGGAAGGCTCGCGCCACATCCTACACCCCAGTCAGTCGTCACGGCGATGAGGTGGCGCATGGGAAAAGGCAATGCGGATTCAGAAGGGAGTAGACTTACGGAATGCCCATTATGATAAGTAAAGAGTGAAGTGTAGAAACGAATATCAAAGGGGAAAGATGAGCAATTTGCTTATGAAACACGAATTTGACGCGACCCCAGACGTAGTGGGGATGGGAGGGGGGGTTGGAGATGCGATGGAGCCGATCGGACTGAAAAACCTCAGGGTGGTCCTTTGGGGCGGAGATTGTGGCCTGATGGCCTTGAGTTGACCGCTTCTATTAGTCATCGGAATAAGTGGCAGAATGAGTGCCGTGTCACGTGTCGAGTGACGATCCCCGCGGCGGAGCGGAAATCGAGCGGAGTTACTCTTGGGTTTCCCGTGATACGTTCTTGAGATTCCTTGAGCTCGCCATTACCTTGAATTTACCGTCCAAACCATGCCAAGTGATCCCCTACACCCCCAGGAGGAATGATTGAACTTGGTCTTAGCCGTGTCTCACGGCTTGTTCAGCAGAGTCCGCTGACATGGAAAGCGATTCATATTGCGGGGACAAATGGAAAGGGCTCGATCAGTGCATATCTCTCTCATATTCTATCTTCAGAGGGTATCAGATGTGGCCGCTTTACATCCCCGCACTTGATTGATCGGTGGGATTGCATTACGATCGGCGAACGAGTAGTCAAGGAATCGCTCTTTCGACAGATCGAAGACGAGGTCAAACGCCGAGACCAGACTTTGGGTATCGGCGCATCCGAATTTGAGCTATTGACTGCAACGGCCTTCGAGATCTTCAACCATGAACAAGTTGAAGTCGGCGTGGTTGAGGTGGGCATGGGAGGCCGCCTTGATGCTACCAATATCTTGAACAATGTGTTGGTTTCGGTGATCGCCAAGATTGGGATGGACCATCAGGCCTTTTTGGGGTCTACCATTGAAGAAATTGCCGCCGAGAAAGCTGGGATCCTGAAGTCGGGCGTACCCTGCGTAGTGGACGCCACCAACGAAGCTGCGGTGATCGACACAATTACCAAACGAGCCCAAGATTTAAAGATCGATGCCAGCTTCGTCTCTCCAGGCAAGGTGGAAGAGCAACTGCCAGCATTGGCCCAATTGTTTCGCAAGCTCGATCTTGAGCCTCACCAACAAGAAAATATGTGCTGCGCAGTCTCCGCGCTACGTCTTGCTCTATCTAAGATTCGCCCTGAAACGGACACTTTCTCTCTACTTCCCCGTCTGGCCGATGTTAAATGGCCCGGACGTTTGGAGACCATCTCCCTACAATCTTTGATTTCCCGCACAGAACCTACCCTCCTGGATGGTGCCCATAATCCACAGTCCGCAGAGGTTCTCGGGAAATACGTGAATCGCAAACTTCGACCCGATTCTGGAAGCGTGACTTGGGTGATTGCTGCCTCGAGTGGAAAAGACCTAGCCGGTGTTTTTCGGGCTATCATCCGACCCGGGGATAACGTTGCTACGGCCGAGTTTGGACCTGTGGAAGGCATGCCATGGGTGATGCCGACCAATGCATCCGAGCTTGCAGGGGCCATTCGATCTATTCCCAAGATCGGTCGAGTACAAGAGTTCGAAGGCGATCTGCTTCCCGCAATTAAGTGGGCTGGCGAGGTGGCTGACGGTCGGCCCCTTGTCATTGCTGGTAGCCTGTACCTGGTTTCCGATGTGCACCGCTTGCTTCGTGACGCACAGAAATGATATCCTCCAAGGCTGTCTTAAACTTGAAGTTGCGCCTGATCTCCGACCAGAGTGAACTCGATGTATATATAGTAATAGAATTAGACCGCCAATGTAAATAACACTCCACCCTGTGATGTGGGGAAACGCCTCACCATAATGCGAAAACAAAGCCGTGGGAAGTACCAAGCGTATTCCAAAGCAATTTCTCAAGTGCAGACCCCTTGATTTGGTGCCTAAACCCAGAATTAGCTGTGTCTAGTAGGTACTTAGGTACCCAACTTCCAAGGTTTAAGTGGAATGGCTTGATAGGGCTGATCAGCACAGCCGCTGCATCATGCGGCGGCTTGGTGGAGAAGGAAAGTTCAAAACAACCACCGCTACCCCAACACCACACCCCCCCAAGTTGACCCCCCCCATCCCCACGGAACCCGGTGTTTGCTCTGATTTGAAGGGCCTCTCACTCATTCGAATTCCCTTGGTATCCCTTGAATGCGCACCGGGTATCGGTAACCCCGTGGACACCAGGGCGCGAGAGCTGAAGTCCTGTGATGATTGCTTGGTGAGACCCTGTGCACTCCCTCCTCAGCCCTGCAATCCTGCGATACCGCCATCTGTCGTTTGCTACACGATTGGGACCAAATCGACTAATCAGCCGAATCTCTACAGAACAGGCGGACATGAACTCTGAGCTCGCTGCCCTCGGCTCCTGCCTTCTTCCCTAGCTCCTCCAGGGCTCCCACCCCCCACCAACCCCCCAGTCAACCTGAAACCCCATCCTGACGATCGGATCAAACACCTATCGGATCACCATTTGGCCCCCTCGGCCTAGTCTGCGATGGTTTCTCGCTCCGAGGTGAGTGAGGGGCAGCGCCCCCTCACCCCCTCCAGAACCCCCGGTACGCCGATGAAACCGCGATTGGCACGAGTCCAGACGAGTCCGACAAAACTTCGAGAACAAAAGCCAAAAGAGGACCAACCATTGAAGTCATCGGCTAAGGATGTTGCGGAGCTCAAGGACTATGTACGATAACACTCCCCCTCCCCCCTCTTCCACTGGCATGGCCGCACAACGGGGCGTCAAGCATGCTAACATTGGCTTTTGGGGTTGTATAGCAATTGGGTGATTGCCTGGGAAGAGGCGCTTTTGGATCAGTCTATCGCGCACTGAATTGGAACACTGGTGAGACCGTCGCGGTCAAGCAGATCAAACTGGTGGATCTTCCCAAGAGCGAACTGCGCGTTATTATGGTATGACCCCGCAGATCCCGACTGTCTTGTTACCTCGAGGACTCTTCTAATATGAGATATCGCAGCTTGAAATTGATCTTCTCAAAAACTTGGATGTCAGTCGTTCTCTCCCCCAATCAACTCAACGCGGACTGACCCAAACAACAGCATCCAAACATTGTCAAGTACCATGGATTTGTCAAATCTGTAGAAACTCTAAACATAATCCTGGAGTATGTGTTTGAAGCCTCAGGTTAATCATTCTCGATATCGAAAAATACTAAATTAACTACCAGGTATTGTGAAAATGGATCACTCCACTCCATCGCTAAGAACTTTGGACGATTCCCGGAGAATCTTGTGGGGCTGTACATGTCGCAAGTTCTTCATGGATTGCTGTACCTACACGAACAAGGTGTCATTCATCGTGATATTAAGGGCGCTAATATTCTTACCACCAAGGAAGGCCTTGTCAAGCTTGCTGACTTTGGTGTGGCCAGTCGGACCACTGGGTTGAGCGAGTCTAGCGTCGTTGGCACACCATACTGGATGGCACCAGAGGTCATTGAGCTCTCTGGTGCGACGACAGCCTCGGATATCTGGAGCTTAGGGTGTACCGTCATCGAACTCCTCGAGGGAAAACCACCTTATCACAGTCTGGCTCCTATGCCAGCATTATTTCGCATTGTCAATGATGACCACCCCCCCACTCCCCCAGGGTGCATCCCCAGTATGTCACTGTTATCATTGCCTGACATACCGTGCCAGCATGACTAACTTTTGAACAGGCTGTGAAAGATTTCCTCATGCAATGCTTTCAAAAAGACCCCAATCTGCGAGTTTCTGCGAGGAAATTGTTGAAGCACCCGTGGATAGTCAATGCTCGCCGCTCTGATTCTGTTATACCTAAGAAATCCACGGAATATGAAGAAGCAGTTCGGAGTGTGCAAGAGTGGAACGAAGCACTCCGTTCTCCGGAGGCGGGTACATCACGAAAAAGCAACAAATTTGACAACACTGCCTCCCATTCCGTCCGCAACACACCCCTAATGGATACGTTGCCCTCTCCGACTTCTATAAAGCCAACCGATCGCTATAGATCCCCCGAATCCGCTCAAGATGATAATTGGGATGATGACTTCGCGACGGCAATTTCTCCAAGTGCGCTTCAATTGCCTCATCTGCGTCCACACGACAACTTTGGGGGTATGCTTTCGTCTGAAAGACTGAAGGCATTTGCTTCACTTGACGGCACCATGTTGAGACCAGATGATAGCTTTGACGAATTTGAGGAGACATCTGACTCATTTCAAACCGCAGAAAATGATCCTTTACAGACGATCCGCCCTTTGCCAGCCAGGCCTACGGCTATCGAGCCATCCAAATCTCATAGTCACACTCGGCGTCAGCCTAGCAAGGCTTCGTCATCCGCCTTTCAAAAAGTCCCCATTCTCTCACAGAACCCTGTGCCACATATGAGGAGAGACCGACCAGCACATCTCTTCAAAGAAAATTCAGTGGAGGATTACACCGACTTCATAATGGCAAATGAGGATGTTGACGGGAAGGTTGCAGCATATAAAGTGAGTTGATTTCGAGAGGTTCAAAATATAAGACTTGGCCGCAGGTCGCTAAACAGTCCCAGGAAACGGATGGTGATCCCGCATCGCCAATACGCGACAAGTCATTCTATGATTTCGATGAAGACTGGGGTAGCCAGCAGCCCCAGCTCCGAAAACAGCTCTCTGTGAAGCGCGACCGTACCACCATTGAGATCCAGAAGTTTACCGAAAACGAAGACGATGAGGATTTCTCGGATATTCTTGGCAACGACCAGGTCGCTCTGAATACATCTGAGAGTGATGACGAAGGGTCTGACCAGAACAGCTTGAAGTTAAACACCAAATTGTCAACCAATTCGTGGTTGGGTGACCAAGACGACGAAGATGATCCCTTTGCGCAATTGGAAGAAGGCTTTGATGAGATGGATTTGGAAGCAAACATCCAGCGTGACAAGAATGCTCGCCTCCGCAGTCAGGTGGAGGGCTTGGTAGACTCTTTGAAGACTTCTCAGGACGAGGATGTTCTCGCAGAAATCTCCGAACAACTCCTTGCTGATTTCTTTGACCTGCCCGATACCAAGAATATCATCATTGGTGCCCATGGAATGCTTCCAATCCTGGAAATTCTCGACACCTGCCGTCGTCGGGATGTTATATTCTATCTACTGAGGATTGTGAACGCCATTATTTACAACGATTATGAGGTTCAGGAGAATCTGTGCTTCGTTGGTGGAATACCCATCATCAATGAGTTCGCGTCGAAGAAGTACCCCCGCGAGATTCGACTTGAGGCCGCCGCTTTTGTCCAGCAGATGTACCAAACTTCGACACTCACTCTTCAAATGTTCGTCAGTGCCGGTGGCTTGAATGTTCTGGTAGAATTCTTGGAAGATGACTACGAAGATGAACGTGAACTGGTACTGATCGGCGTTAATGGAATTTGGAGTGTCTTTGATCTGCAGGTTAGTACCCTACCGGTCTAGTTCAATGATCTTAATACTAATTATACCCTTCCAGGGATCGACCCCTAAAAACGATTTCTGTCGAATTTTGTCCCGGAATTCCGTCCTTGATCCTCTTTCCCTCGTTTTAAGTCGAGTTTTGGATGAGGAGGGAGACTTGGCAGATCTTGTAGAGGCTCGCATTGCAAGCATCTTCTTCATTTTTTCGCAGGCTGAAAACCATGTCAAGGAAATGGTCGCGGAGCGAACGGTCCTGCATAGTAAGATTGATCCACGATATTATTACTGTTCTTTAGGATTTCGCTGACAATTTCTTGCAGGAGTTTTGAAAGATCTGAAGCGAATGTCGCCCATGCACCAGGTCACGATGTTGAAATTTATCAAGAACTTGTCCATGCTATCTACAACCCTTGATGCTCTTCAGAACTCCAACGCTATCGATGTTCTGACCGATCTTCTTCGATCCGCGATGAAACTCAGCCAGCGCCACTTCCGCGAAGTTTCAAACCAAATTCTCAACACCATCTACAATATGTGTCGATTGAATAAGTCTCGGCAAGAAGACGCTGCTCTCAACGGTATTGTTCCCTTACTCCAGAGGATCGTCCACACCATGGGGCCTCTGAAGGAGTTTGCTCTTCCAATTCTGTGCGATATGGCGCAATCTGGAAAGGTTGGTCGCCGTGAATTATGGCGCAACAAGGGTCTTCCATTCTATATCTCTCTACTTGAAGACCCTTACTGGCAGGTCACCGCTTTGGATGCCATCTTTACGTGGCTCCAAGAGGAGACTGCCAAGGTCGAAGAGAGTTTGCTGGATAATCGCCATGATAAAACCTCATTCGCCGATTCCATTGTGGCTTGTCTGGCAGAAGCGAAAGCAAATGCTTTTGAGAATCTTCTTGAGCCCCTCCAGAAGCTTCTCCGACTGAGCCCCCCTGTTGCCTCTACCTTAGCCCGCCCCGATCTTTTCACACGATTAGGACAGAAGCTGCACCATAATAAGGCCGCTGTTCGACTGAACATCCTGCGTATCATCTCAAGCATATGCGATTCAAGCGAACAGCAAGGCGAATTGCTCGTCTCGTACGGTTTGCTAGACGCGATCCGCGAGCTCGAAAATGACCCGGCCATCCTCGTCAGAGACATGGCAGGCAAATTGATCCAGTCCAGTGAAAGAAGCGAAGCCTTCGGCGTCCCCAAGCGCCGACCAACAAGTCGCAGAAAAAGCACATCAACGACCCCGCCCAATCCTTTTGCCGCCTCAACTCCATCCACCCCTTCCTCAAACCGCACCAGTCAGTCCCGAGCCAGCTACTTCGATGGCCGCGAAACACCCCGTCATCCTCGTAATGCATTGGGTGGCTCCTCTCTCGCCCTCCGACCTGGAAGTCGGGACGGTAGTGGTTCGGCCTTGAATCCCGCTGTTAACGGCAGCGCCGTTAATCCACGTTCCCGACTTTCGCGCGGAATATCTAGTAATAACCGTCTTTCGCAACTCGAAATGCTCCAGGATGAGGAGGGCAAGGCCCCTAGTTCCCTTGGTCGGAGACCGTCCATCATCCCTAGGCGGAGGAGGACGACTGTCGCCGACTCTGAATGGACTTGACCTAGCTCCCTTGACTTGCCGTATCTTGGCAGCCTGCTTCGATTGCCCTGCGATCTCTTTCTACTCACACATTCCTATTTTCTTTGTCCATGCTTCTTGCTTACCCACTTTTCTTTCTGTTTCTCTCTTTGTGATAAGACCACGGCGTTTTCCGAGGGTGGGCTCTGGGCTACAGGGTTATTGATCATTATGGTTTTGCTCCCCAAAACATGTATGTCTTTCCTTTGTTTGCTAAGCTGCTATGCTGGGCACTGGTTGCTGCACATACAGACTACATAAACTTCTGAATGAGACATAATCTATAATACTTTGCCCTCATGGGTGGGCATGTTGAAATACGTACTTTGGATCAAGTCTGCCAGTGGCATATTGGGAATTCCTCGGGCAGTTTCCCTTCTGAGTGCTTTCGCTTTCAGTCGCCGTTCATTAACTTGGAACCTTAGAGCTGTAAATGGACGAAGTGATTCTTTGTCCGCTATGTCGAGAGTCTCTTGGATCCCGTTCTCCAGCTGTCCACTGGTATTCGTGACATTCGTAGTTCTTTGATACTGGACTCGGCGAAGTGATGTTCTTTGTACCCTTCGCGTGTCTACCTAGGTAAGCTCTCGGTCTTAGAGGTTAAAATCCTAGATGCTCGCGCTGATCCCTCCCAACAAGCTAGTGCTCTGCTCATCTTCTAGCTTGATGAACTTCTCAAAATGCCCATAAAGCGAAAGGCTGTCGATACTGAAGGGGACAAGAAGCCCTCCAGGGCGAAAGCGAGTACACCTTCCCCAAATGATAGCACCGACAGAAGAATTCTTGAAGTCAAGGATTTGGACCTAAAATCGCCTTAGAAGGGAAAGATCGAACCTATTCTTGAGCCAAAACGCCCAGAAAAATTCCGGCCATGGCCGTATATAGAGAAAATGATACCTGTGAACGATGCAGAAGATCTACCCGAGAACTGGCACATGAATGAGGATGACCTTGATACCTAGTGAGTAGTTATACTAGTACGAGCTTACTACTAGTAGCAGATATATGAGTAGGTGCATCTTTCTAACATTCGATGCTTCACAGTGATATCGATGGTCAAATCGAGGGATGCAAAGAGAGAATCAGAGAAAATATAAGACCCTATATTTTTGAACACAAACCAGAGGCGTATAAAAAATCAAAGCAGCATTTTAAGTATGAACTCCCTCTCTGACTACTACTAATTGGAGTCATTTGGTTACCGGGCTCTGACTCGCTTCCTATAGGGACGTACTTAAAAGCCAGCCCAGAGCGCGTACCGTCGAAGTTGCCTCACGGTTACAGACGCTCGGAGAAATAAAGACGAGGATAGAGAGGAGCGGCAATGACGAATATAAGCAACTACCAAATGTCAGATCTCTCATTTATGCGTATGAGAATAATTACTTGGATTGGAATGAGAACTTGGTCACGTATTGGTCCAAGGGTCAACCGCATTTTACGCCCAGACCGGTTGACTGGGAGGAGTTTGAAGTCATCAATAAAGCTAATGATGGTCAAGAATCATTTTTGGTTGAGGGAGTAAGTCCCCTGTATAAGAAATTGCTAAAAATACAGCCCAAGAATTGCTAATTATTCCATAAAGCTGTTTGGTAATTTATCTCGATTCCGGGCCGCTGAGGCACGAACATTAAGTCCAATGACCGCAGCATATCCTTCTCAGAGGTATGACTGGCTGAAAAACAATATTAAGCTTCAGACCAAGTATTTCCATACGCTAACTGATGAGAGTACCCAGGTACCAATAGCTATCCGCATTCCGGGCTATAACAATTGGGTCCTTCTTAGTTTCTTGCGTGACACTGGGGTGCGAGATAATGACCATATATGAGGGCGATATCCGACCAATGATTGGACGCCACTGACCTCCAGAACACAAACTGCTTCCCCTGGCGGGGATTGGGTTGGTTATGGGTGCCACTGGCTCTACTGTGATCAACTATTGCGAGCTGGAAGCCACACTCCTGGATTCCTGGGGGCGCAGAATGACGCCATGGACGAGAGTCATGGCCGTATGCGAGCCCGGCGACTGGTTCCCTTCCGGATCTGTTCCCAGATTAGATGATCCGTTTACTAGATTGATGTTGTACACTGCTTCTGCGCCTGATAGTTCTAGCAACATGTATGTTTGCCATAAAAAGGGCCCATTGGTGAACAAATGGTATACCGGCTGTAGATCTTCTCCGAAACCCGGCGCGTATGTCCAAGCGCATTCCAAACCAATATCAAATGACTCCGGCAGCTCCGGGTTTAACGATACCTCCCACAGCACCTCCAATCCTTGATGACACTGAGACCATGTTTGGCCCAGGTCCAGCACCTGGTGTTCCGTGGGCGATAGGCGCCAGTTCTCCTTTCCCCCAAATAGTTCGAGTCTCCCAAAGACTCCGGGTCCTTGATATGAATCAATTATATTAGTACCTAGTACTAGTAACTCTCAATTTATTTCATGAATTATTAGTATGTATCGTAGCTGATATCTTCAAGTTCCCAATGGATATGCGTAGTAAGCAGTGAGTCGTGAGTTGTGACCGATTGGTCAACTACGTAGTACCCTAGGGGGATGAAGATTTGACTACTAACTTCATGACAGGCCTCTTATAAGTACCTAGGTAGTCAATACAAGTATGATACACTTCAATTGGTATCTAGTATACTTATATCTACCATCTATACTATATGTACTTTTATAGTTCGTTTCGGAATCACGTGCACGTGCGGCCCGAGATCGGGCGAGCGCCAACCGATTGGCGGCGAAAACCGAGACCTTCAGGGAATCCCCAAAAAATTGCCTGGACACCTTACGATCGTACGATCCCCCATGGAGTGAACGGTTTCTCTCTATCACCTTTTCGAAATCTGCGCTCGAAATTTCCTCTCCCGGAACGGCTTTTGTTCGGAATGAGCGCTGCATTTCGCGTGCCGCTGCGGGCCTTCGCCAATCCCGCCACGGCCATTCGACAAACATCAACAATCTCGATCGCGAGCCCTGCGCTCTCTTTCAGCGCAACACGCTCGCTCCCCTCACTCTCGAGATCGATTGCTTCCAAGGTATGGAGTCGTCATACCGCTGAAGCACACCCGCAAACTACTTCGTTCACCCGGTGTTTTTCGACAAGAACTTCGCCTCTCGGGTCCGCGGGGGAGAATGGGACTAATAACGAGGGCGTGAAACCAAAGCCTGTCCAGTCGCAGAGCAGGAAACCGATTGCGCTTTTGGTTGTTCTGGGTCTGCTTGCTGTTGGTGCAGCTGTATACTCTGAGGAACTCAAGCATGGATATGGCGCGGCGCGGAGAAGTGGTCGCGTGGTTGGTACACTGGCCGTTTGCATTAATGAGTAAGTGCATCGAAGATTCTGAGAGTGTCTGGATTTGGCGTATCCCAAGGAATTTGGCTAACATGAATTGCTCTCCATAGCTATCGCGTGACTCTCAACAAAGATACCTCAACCCCCGAAGAGCGAGACGAGTTGATCCGCGCTTGCCACAAACGCTGCGCGGAGCGTACCTTGCGAGTCCTAGAAAAGAATGGCTCGATCTTCATCAAACTGGGCCAACATCTCAGTAGCATGGGCTACTTGCTCCCCATCGAATGGACTACAACCTTTATTCCGCTCCAGGACAAATGTCCCGTGTCGTCGATCGAGTCGATCGAACGGATGTTCGTTCAGGATACCGGCCAAAATATTGATGAGCTTTTCAGCTATTTTGATCCCGAGCCTACTGGTGCTGCTTCCTTAGCACAGGTTCACGTCGCTACGCTGAAGGAAACCGGTCAAAAGGTTGCAGTCAAGGTGCAGCACCCTGCTCTAGCTGAGTGGGTACCTCTGGATCTAGCATTGACCAGATTTACGTTTTCTATGCTGAAGCGTTTTTTCCCGGAATATGATCTGGAATGGCTCTCCCGGGAGATGGACCTGTCTTTGCCAGTTGAGCTGGACTTCCGCATGGAGGCTCAGAACGCTACTATTGCCAGTGATTACTTCAAGAAGCACTCCGATGTCCCATTAGTTATCCCCGAAGGTATGTCTTGGAAAAGCGACCTATATTCTCTCCATCCTCGAATTTGACCTCAGTACTAACAATGCTTAGTTATGTGGTCTCAAGAGCGCATTCTAGTCATGGAATTCATCGCCGGACGACGCCCCGATGACTTAGAATTCCTTGACACGAACAACATCGACCGCGACGAAGTCTCCGCCGCCTTCGCTCACATCTTCAACGAGATGATCTTCGGCGATGACGCCCCGCTACACTGCGACCCGCATGGCGGCAACATCGCCATTCGCCTCAACCCTAACAGCCGCCACCCAAACTTCGAAATCATCCTCTACGACCATGGCCTCTACCGTACCATCGACCGGGACCTACGACGCAACTATGCCAAGCTATGGTTGGCAGTCATTGATGCTGACGTACCCCGCATGCGCGAGTATGCGTATAAGGTCGCCGGCGTCACGGACGAGCAGTTCCCACTCTTCGCAAGCGCAATCACGGGCCGTGACTATAGCGTCCTGACAAAGAAGAATGTTGCGTCTATCCGTACAGCCGATGAGAAGAAGGAGATCTCCGGTGCTCTTGGCGAGGGTATGTTACAGCAGTTGGTAGTGTTGCTGGGCCAGGTTCCTCGAATTATCCTGCTCATCCTCAAGACGAATGATTTGAGTATGCTACCCTTCCCTTCCTTTGCCTCACTCTCCCTCTTTTCCGCTTCGGATCTTCATAGCTAACTATCCCGCCAGCTCGCAGTCTCAGACGAGAATCTGCATACCCGCTCCGGGCCAATGCGCACATTTCTCATTCTAGCCCGGTACGCCACTCGCACCGTCTTCGAGGAACAAATGGAGACTATTGGCGCTTCCGGCGGCGTGTTCTTGAATTTTTTCCGCTATCTTTCTGCTTGGGTCGGTTTCTTGCGGGTCGAAGTCAAGCTTTCTGTTTACGAGACCGTTCTCTCGATGAAGAGCCGGTTCGGACTGCGAACTGGTTGATTTCGCCTGTAGCGCGCTGCGCTCATGTCCCTCTCTTCTCTATTTCCGTTTGTATATATTCCCCGGTTCTTATGTTTTTGGTTGGTTGGTTTGGCACGGATTGTCTGCCCGTACATCTGTGCATCAGCGATGGCGTTTCGTAACGTTTCCCCCTGGTTTATCTCTTTCTCCTATCCCCCTCGAGTCCGCACATAAAAGGATTAGTTGTGTTTTGTCTTTCTCTCGTTTTTTCCCTTTCATGACCGTTGCCTGTTCTTGGCAGTTTGTATAGATAGATCCTTCACCGATAGAGACAAAAGACATAGACTCGACAGAATACGCAGCCAGTTTGAGTTTTCCAAGGTTCCAAATGTGCTTGCTACCTACTAGTACTGCTAGTAATATTAGGTAGAATTATTACTAGTGTAACTGGTCTATTTCATGGCCCCTGTCTACTTAGTAGGTACTGGTAGTACTTTAAACTACTACCTTAAAACCCTTGGAAAGAGGATTTCTGGTTTAATCGTTCCATTAGAAACTATTCAAGGCACCACGCTTTTAAGAATAAAGAGTATCAATCGAGGATTCCAATACCGAGGCGCCGTGACAGAAAAAAAAAAAGAAAAAGAAAAAGGTGGTGTGGCAAACAACATGCACGAAACGTAAAAACAATAGGAAATGTCTGTACAGCAAACAAATATGCAGCATTTGTTTGAAAATTCCTCCGACCGACCGACCGCCACTGCGAACTGATATTTCGCTGCCACAGCCGACCGGTTATACCAGGCTCCCCAGTAATCATCTCTGCATTCCCCGGGGAAAATATTTCAGTCCTCGATTAAACGACTGTTTTCAAATGACAAAAGCGGTTTCGCGGGAGTATCACTGCGTTAAAAGCAAAAGCAAAAGGAAAAAGTGAGGTGTGTTTTGTCTTCGGCTCGGAGGTCCGACCCGAAAACGAAGCCTGCCGCTAACAGAGAACATGTCCGTCAATTTAGATAGCGGCGGCCGGGCTGCCCATATCGACCTTGACGTCGGGAATGGAAGCGCCTGTCCCGGAGAGGTCGGTTGAGCGAACATTGGGGTTCTTCTTCTGGTAGTCGTGGATAGCCGATTTAATAGCATCTTCGGCAAGCATCGAGCAGTGAAGTTTGACAGGGGGCAGGCAGAGTTCCTTGGCCACATCAGTGTTCTTGATCTTGCCGGCCTCCTCGAGGGTCATGCCGCGGACCAGTTCGGTCAGATAACTGGATGAAGCGATGGCGCTGCCACAGCCGAAGGTCTTGAAGACGACGTCATCAATCTTGCCGCTCTCCTTGTTGACGCGGATCTGAAGCTTCATGACATCGCCACAGGCGGGGGCACCGACGAGACCGGTGCCAACGTCCTGGTCGCCCTTCTTGAAGGAACCGACGTTACGAGGGTTGTTGTAGTGATCCAGGACCTTCTCGTGGTATCCGCGGCGCTGGATGGGGGCAGCGAAAGCTGGGGCAACACGCTGAACAGCAGGCTGGGCCTGGACAGACTGAAGGCCAGCGAGGGGAGTGTAGGCGCGAGGCGCGACAGAGCCGACGCGGGGGGCGGCGGTGACGATACGCTTGAACATTTTGGATGTGTTGTGGGTGATGAGATTGATTCGGGAGATTCTTTCGATGGAGAGGAGAGATGTATGGGGGATAGTTGAAAGAGGCGAAAATGAAACCGATCTGATAGGGAAGAAAGAGGGCGATGAATTCATTGCTAAATAATCTGATTGCTTATCTCAGCTACCGCTAAACCTAATCGGGAGTCCAAATCCCCCGGAACCGCCGGCCATCGGAGCTGACTCATCCAAGTTCAACCGGTTTTTGCCATTCTTTTAGTGTATCATTACTCTATTACTTTACTTTATTGGGGGTGTATGTTCTCAGGAGTCTCATTTTAGTCAATTTAAACCTCTATAGGAGCCCTCTTCTTCCACCATCCATCCATTACCCCCCCATGATATCAGACGGAGGGGCAGTGGCGAGTCTCGGAGGCCATTCGCTTTCTCCGCGGTGGATGCAACCAACTTCTGGCTTTCCCGATGGAGATTCCGCGGGCCAATTGTGCATCGATGATATCAAATGGTGGAGAAGCCCAGCTTACCTTCCAGGTAGGGATATTCACGGACAAGCTCGATGATTTAATAGATCAGCGGGCCGTTCTTTCTCTGGAAAAGGAAGCCAACAATCCTATTCGAATTCTTTCGATCTTTCTCTTCGACCCCGGAAATAATGCTGAAGTGTAGCTAAGGTCTGTGCGGTCCGAGGTAGTCCGAACCATCGGAGTTAAGGTGCTGACGCCTGTTCGGACTCGGTCAATATTTCGGGGTATTCTTCAGCTGTTCGGTCACTAAGGAGCTATCATGTGACTGGAACGGTTTGCCTTTTGCAGAGGACAGTGCGAGAGAGTATGGAGTTGTAGTTTTCGAATCTCGTATTTAAGGTTTCAGGCTTTTAGATATTATCCAATATTCTATTTATCTATTCCGTACCGCCTAGCCAGGTTTATCCAACTATGATGGTTAGTATGCTTCAAAGTAGCAGTAAACATAGTTGATAGAAATGGGATGACAAACAACCTGGTCCGGCAATGCTTGGCACCTCCCCTCGTATCAGCCAACTTCTTCTCCGGCGAACAGTATACAGTACCCAACGGTTGTCGTAGCTACATACATCTGAGTCAACTCGGGTCTCATTGCCATGTCCCCCAAGAACACTCCAGATCCCAAGACCCTCGGTCGGTCCTCAGGGGTATGTACATCCTGTCTCACCCGGGGATCATCACTTGGAAACTTTGAAGCCCTCGAAAGAATGCATGGTCCTGGTGGTCACAGCTGATAGTATCTACAGTCTATAAATGCTCCCATTGCAGCATTCGCCATGGCCCTGATCCTAGGCTCTTACTGCATCTCATCTATTCGCACTGCACGACGCGAGACCCAGGGGCAGTCAACCACGACACCAGACGCGCCCACGCGACGGTCGTTGGGTGGGAAGGACTCGTGGGTTCAGCAAGCGCTGGAGGAAAGCCAAACGGGCAAGGGAGGGAAGGCGTGAGGACTCAAAGAGAGCTGGAGAGTACTAGTTGAAGCCCGCGGCTGTGGTTTCTGCATGCCCAGCCCTGGAGGTGGCTGCTTTTGATTGTTTACATTTGCGTTGCATTTAACGGCGTACAGCAACATTTACAATGCTCGGCTCAGATCATGAAATTCAATTCATTTGCATTCAGAGATCGACAATGATATTTGACACTAAACTAGAGGCTCTAACTAATGATTGAAGGGACTTGAGCACCGCTCAAAGACCATTCTTCATCTTCGTGATCGATCAGAATTTTCAGTGTATTGAATGATCATACACCGGGCGTTTAAGTGTAGAACAACCCGGGTCAATATTCATAGAAAGATCATCATATGAATCGTGAAGAGAAGAACTTGAATGGTCCATCGAACCCCAATCCTAATGGATGGATTATCGGGCGTGAGGGCGAAAATAGAGTGCTGATAGGCCAAGATGCAAGCATCTTGTGAAGGTCATTCTCCTTCACAAAGTAGTACTAGTATCCGACTCCTGTCCACAGCTGAGAGAATATTGCAGCCACCTAGGAGTGACCCAATCTTGGTGCGATCATCTTCATTCTTTCCATTCGATCGCAGGCGAGATGCCATTCAAACACAGATGCCATTCAAACACAGATGCCAATGTTGACACTGCCTGTAATTATACATCAAAATCGGCAGGCAATGTGCAGGCAAAGCAGGATGTAGGCATTACAATTGCGGTTGTAATTGCAGGGCAGTGGAAGAAGGAGAAAGCTGAAAAAGCGAAGCGAGAAAAATCATATGCGGGTAATCACGTGATGTATTGCTTACTCGACCAATCACATTGACTCTGCCTTGACTATACAACACTCGCTTACATCTTGAATAAGAAGTTGCGAGCAGCCAGGAATGGATACTGCTAGCCAGAGTAAGGCTACAATTATTCAGAAAAAGATAAACTATCAACGTTTTTCGCATGTCAATTATCCGTCAAAACAAACTAACCCTACTCGGTCGCGATTGATGGCAAGCCAAACATGCCCAACCCTCATCAAGTTAGTATAACGCTAAGATATTAGATGAGCCACACTTTGATGTTACCCGACAAGTCCATCTGAAACGACTCGAATCAAATCACAAAGCCGGGCAACTAAGTGGCCCTGGGATTGGGGCTGAAAAAATCGGCCCCCAATCATTTAAGGCTACAAAACAACTTTAGCCTCGCCAATAACCGCATCATCCCTTTTCTCTTCCTTCTACAACCTCCAAGCAAAGTCAGGAAGATAGAGGGAAAAAGCAAAAGAGAGAAGAAAAAAGACCGAAGACATCATCATAATGTCTTCCCCCACTGTGGATGCCTTTTTCAATCGCCTCGACTCAACAGTCACAATCGGGTTTCTAACAGTCTGGATCCTTGCTGCCGTGGGATTCATCTACATCCACATTCGACACCCAGACAGGAATTTCTTTGATATTCTCTTATCAACCAGTCTCCTTACATATCTCATCTTCCGAATGGTCGTGGCATGTACAAATACCAACCCCGATTCAATGGTGTACCGCCTCACAACTGCCCACCGCCGCTCACGCCGAGGCGCCCTGGCAGCCCTCGTGTGCGCTTGTTCCTGGGTCTACATCCTATTCTTCAAACTCTTGACGCTGTTCCTAGTCAACTTTCTCTGCATAATTACATTTTCCGCCCATCTTTACCCGGAAGCCTTTGACAATCTAGAGGGAACTCCACTACCGGGGTTAGAGAGCTCCGGTTCCGATATCGAGTTGCAGAAGGCGCGTTATTCCCATGGAAGGCTCAGCAAAGAGGAATATTTTGACTCGCTTGAGAAGTTGAAGAAGGAGGTGGACTTTGATCCTATTCAAACGTTTGGTTGGATCCCGCCTCGCGTCTTGATATGCTGCTTTGCTTTGGTGTGGTTCGCATGCTCTACCCTCATGCTCTATATCGTCCGCCTTTGTTGGAAATCGACAAGAGTTGCCTTTGGACCTTCTTCTTCCCTTCCTGCTCCGCCAAAGTCGCATGTGGTTTAGGTGTGTCAGTTTATCGACTTGATTTACAGAATGATAAGATTATTAGGCGTATATGATGTCCATCTATGCATCATAATCTCATGGAATTCCAATATTTTCAGCCTTAAAAAATAACCATCATTTCATTTGCACGTTTATACACATCATTGGAAAAGAAAAGAAAGAGACAATCGGTCGGAGAAAAAGACTGTTTTTCAACGCAACCAGTCACATCACGACTTGATCAACGTCGCAGCCTTCTTAGCCTGGAAATCACGGCTACTGAAGCCAGCCTTAAACGTAAACTGACCAGCGGGAATCCGCCAATCCTGAGCAGTGACGTCCCAATAACTGACATCCCGGCGCATCAAGTCAAAGGAAACAGTCTTCTTCTCACCTGCCCGAAGCCAGACCTTATCAAATCCACGTAGCTGGCTCGGCGGCGTACCAGCCGGTGCCGAGCTGGGGAATTCAACGTACAGCTGTGGCACAGCGAATCCATCGACGTCACCGGTATTAGAAACCTCGGCCTGGAGGGTAAACACTGTATCCCAAAGAGCTGGGTTCCCACCAGGCTGGGTGGGCCGCTTCTCTGGAAGAGCAGTAAGGTTGTTTGGTGGGGCAGAGCCCTTCAGCTTGAGGCTCTTCAGGCCGAAAGTAGTGTAGCTCAGACCGAATCCGAACTCGTATCGGACAGAGATATTCTTAGCATCAAAGTAGCGGTATCCCACTTCGAGTTCTTCGTCGAACCAGCTCTGCCAGTCGTATGTGCCATTTGTTTGCACGGCGGTGGTCACCGGGGCGTTGTAGTCGGTCTCGTTATATGCGATTACGTAGGGGAGCTTGGCGGAGGGGTTGACGTCTCCGTACAGAACATCTGCGATTGCGTTCCCGGATTCTTCGCCAGCGTAGTGCTGGGCCAGAATGGCGGTTACGTTCGGGTGGTCTGCGAAGGGCATGACGTTCACGCCGCCAGAATTCGTGATGACAATGGTGTTGTTGCAGTTGTTGGCGACGGCTTCCACGACGGCATTTCCGTTCCAGTCTAGATCAAGCGAAGTCCGGTCCTCGCCTTCTGCGGAGAAAGATTTTAGGAAAACGAGGCACACGTCGGGTGTCTGTGGGATCCAGAGTGGTGATGTAAGTGCCGTAGTGGTGAGGAGGGTATTGTTCAGGAAAGACTGGACGATGGAGCCGTCCTTGCGAGCACGAGCACTTATTGCGTCGAGTGGAGTGGACAGGAATGAGAATCTGCAGGATCCAGAGCTGGCGGATCCTGCGAGATGACCGTACTCGAAATCGCCCATTAGATCAGGGCCTTGGGTGAGAGGGCCAGCGTCGTTACCGGCAATCACAATATTGCGAGGTTTCTTGAGAGGTAGGGCATTCTTCTCGTTCTTCAGCAAAACGGTTGATGCAGATCCATGCTCGCGAATCATGGCGCTATGGTTTGCACGAACATCCCGGCTGCTCTCGCCGGTGAACTTCCAGTCATACAGCCAGGTATCGGGAGGCGAGTCGACATTCAGCGGACCAACTGACGCATCAACGCTGGGGTAGTTCTTCTCCTGGCCGAGCCAGAAATAAGGAGTCATGATGCGGACAATCATGTCATCCAGACGAGTCATCTCAACAGTGCCGTTCTGCACAGCCTGAGTGAGATTCTTGCCCAGATAAGATCCCTCAGTCCAGAGTTCTCCGTAAACAGTGAAACCTCCAGGCATGGTCATATCCATTCCACTCTCAACAGAAGAAACACCGCTGTGCGTAGCACCCCAATCGGACATAACATAGCCTTGGAAGCCAAGCTCGCCCTTGAGCAGATGGTTAAGCAGGTAAGAGTTCTGGCAAGCGTGGGAACCATTCACACGGTTATACGAGCACATGGCACTAGCCACCTTCGCCCGGACAGCATTGGCAAAGGGCCACATGTAGATCTCGTGGAGGGTGCGGTCATCGATATTCGCCGACACCGAATCCTGGATATACGTCGTTGCGTTGGCGTCCGGGGCGTAGGTAGGGTTACGCTGGGTTTCCTGCTCGTTGGCAATGAAGTGCTTTGCGTTTGCCTGGACACCTGCGTCCTGCATTCCGTTGATAGTTTCCTCCATGCAGACACCAGTGAGGTATGGGTCAGCAGCAAAACCTTCCCAGGTTCGACCATCATAGGGACTGCGGCCCAGAGGTCCTCCGATAGGTCCCAGTATAACATAGGAACCCTTGGCCTTGTGCTCCTTGGCCATGGCGTGCGCGCGATTATATAGCAGTTCACGGTCCCAGCTGGCGGCAGCAGAAACACTGCTGATGAAGACGCTGGAGTAATCACCTTGCTGCACACATTGGGGTCCATTCTGGAGACAGAGACCGGTGAAATTGAGACGTGGAATGGGCAGGACGTTTCCGACACAGGGACCGGGCTGGCCCGTTGCCATCCAAGATTTCTCTTCCAGTGTGAGCTTGTTCACGAACTTCTTAGCTTTCAGAAGGGCATGCTCCCATCCTCCGTTTCCGGTTGTGTTGGCTATACTACGTTAGGAAAGGGGACTCCAATGTACATAGGGTGGAATTGTTACTCACGCGAAGGGAGGATGAGTGGTGAGTGGCCATAAGGACTCAGGATTGTAGTGTTACGCGGTTGGACATTGCTGAATGGCTCTCCTGGGTGATTAATTGGAGCCTTGCAAGTATCTGCTGCCGCCGAAGGGCCGGCGAGAAGCAGCGATACCGCTAACAAAGCCTGTGTTGGTAACATGACGACGATGTCTCGAGATGGATCAGCGGATCAAAAGACGGTATCACAACTCTGAATGGAAGAGTCCCTGCTTTAAATATTCGAGATTGGGCCATGGTGCCCCGGGCATCTCATCCCACCCTACTCCGTAGAGCCACCCCAGATGGGCTGGGGACTCCACTCGTGGGGGTAACTGGGGAGTCGGGGACTCGCATCGAGGGGTATGCAAGTGGATCCCATACCGTCATTTGGCGGAAGTTGGCATTGCTTGACCACGGAGGATTGCCGACTTCCCAGAAACAACAGCGGGCAATCGGATTGGATCGGGATGCCGAGAGACATCCCCGTTTCTCAGGAGCATCCAGAGGCATCGTCCGGTATTTCGTCGGGAGGCATGCAAAGCAAAGCCTAAATCGACATTGTGCAGCCAACAAACCCCCCTCCCAAGTTGCCTACTCTTGGCCGTGGGTGGCACGATGCAAAAGTCCCGGGAGATTTTGATTTTCGGATCAACTTCGGCTGAATCCCCACACGGCCCTCTGCCCATCGTCATATCCGGCACTCCGCGACTCCACGGGGTCCCCCAATCAATGCAACTCTGCAGCGGCAATTCACCTCCACTTTCTTCCGGTCCGAGTCAAGCCATTTTGAATGCCTTTACCGTGTGTGTATGGCTTTTTCTCCAGGAAATGATCGGCATTTCGGTGAGACTAGCCACACCCCGGCAGGTTTCCTGTTAAGTCCAAAGCACAGACACAGACCCCGGAGAGAACGCTAAATTAAACGCTAACTGAACGAGGATTGGTGATTGAGGGATACTCTGGCTTGCTAAAATTTTTCTTAGAGTGCTGCCCGGCGTTTGGACCTACCATATTTGGTAAATCTGTAACCCACTCGGCCTTGTGAATTTTACCCAGAGCCAATTGACCAAAGTCCTCGTGAGATCGGGGTTTTGACTATCCAGTGCAACTTCAATGGTATTGCAGCTGAAATTAGATATGGCCATATATAAGGTAATAACACTCCAAACACAAATCCTTGTGAATCATGGATGATTAGCCCTGGGTGATGATCTGACTCCAGGGCTTTGTTCACATCATGGCATCCGGTTCTCATGTTCTCTGCCTTGGTCTAGAAGCAAGCGTCAGAAATATCATGAGAGATGAATGCTCTATTCAAATGCGAAAGCTTATTAGAGCTTTGGGTAATCACTTACCAACTCGGTCCCGAACACTTTTTTTAAAAGCATGGACTTTCCGACGCCAGTTCCTCCACATACCAAAATTCTGCATGGTTCATTTTTCTCCGCTGCATACGACGGAATGCAAGGTCTGTAGGGTATCTCCTGGTCCTGCTCCAGAAATTGGAGGCGGAAATCGTGAAGATCTTTCTCCAACGCAGGTTTCCAGCTCCCTGTATCCAAGTGCTTGTGTTAAACCTCAGAGAGAAAGTAAACAGAGGGACGAATAATCACGCCGCGGTGAGCTAGATATGATTAACATATGGTCAGTCAATTCGTTCACAGAAAGAACGATATTGTCTTATGACTGACCGGTTCCACAGAAGCCGAGACGCTCAACATCCGAGACTTTTTCTCGCTCCTTAAACAGGGTCCTTGATTTATCTTGGATCCCTACTTCTTTCTCGAATAGATTGCTTCTATTCAAGAAGACTTTGTGCCCCGAAATATCCGACGTCCGCGACTCCTCTTCATCTCTGTTCTGTCTTCGAGGTTGAAGTGTTCGTGATATAGGCGGTGCGACTCTGGATTCCTGGAGATTGTGCTCGCTGTGTGATACACGGATATCATACATGCTGATATTTATGTTCTTAGCATACTTAAAGGTCCAGGGTGTTGAAGCTTCAGCTGCGGGAAGTGCCAGCTGCATTGTGCGCTTTCCTGCATCTTGCGATTCTACGCTACCACATTCGACCAAGGCAAGCCCACAAGCTCTTGCCTCGATCAGAATCCACTGGAGCGGATAGAGAGATTCCCTCGCGTGTAGCACCTCCAACGACATCCACATGAGCACCGACAAACCATGCTTCGACAAAGTCAGGTTCATCAGTGTTCCGGGCACTTTGAAGAAGGTCTGGTTTGAGCTTTTTCATTGTTTCGTGAATGGAGATGGCATGGAAATTGCGGGTATCATCCTTTTTGCGAAATTTGAAGCCGTCTGGCTGGTCTCCGTCTTTTATCGCGTCAAACAGTCCAACAAATCGTACTCGATGTATTCCGCGCGGAAGGTTTCGGCTGGTCATACGGGATCTATCAGCAAAGCCCAAACGATTATACCCAGCCCCTCAGAAGTAAAGCCACTCAATATGTGGAATAGTAACGATACCTTTTCCAGGGCTAAACGAACGTTGGACTTTTAGCGCCCAATTCGAAATAAGTCAGCCAGAGGGGAGAGTGCTTATACGAACCTTGTCAAGCTTTGTTTTAAATTTTTTGATCCCCTTTTTCTTAGACTCTAGTTCGGGGCATGATAGAACATGAACCACTGCCCTTGCAATCCCTATCAATGACTGATGAGTAGCAACCCAAGCCTCGTCATAATGTCAACTTACATGCCCCGCTTCCGGATCCGAAGAACCAAAGCTCATCGTCACGTCCAAACATTTCGCAGTACTGCATTTGTAGTCAGTGTGCGGGACGACAGCGCAAGCTTGAAATATGAGGAAACTTTGCAGCGACATATCTTAAGAACCTGCAAACATCTTTCTTCAAGTTTGATGGGATCATTGCCTTTGATTTCCGGAAAGTACTTGGGCAGCTAACACAGATATGGTTAGAGCCATGATAAGACCCCCGATCAACAGGTGTACCATTTTAAGAAGGATCATTTTAGCATACCTGCTGGATTTGATTTCCCCCGACTTCGACACCTCCTTCCTTCACGCACGAATAGATACGATACGCGTTGCTCGAATCAACAGAACCTCGTTCTTTGGTCCAAATCAGCAGATCGTTAAAATTTTACATGCGTGGTACTCTTCAACAATACTTACTGAGCTTCCCATGATGGTAGAAAAATTCCCCGTCAATACATACGATTCCGCGTTGCGCTATTTTCGTCATATTGGTAGACTTGAGCAAACGGCAAAGAAATGGGCTCTTTGGGGGCTTTGTAGTGCAATGATGCTCGGGTCGTCCATTATTATATGACAAAAGCTGGGCGGTCATGCATGTCAAAAAATAGGGAATTAAAGAGAAGGTTGAAGCTTTTGACAGGAATAGGTCAGGGTTAGAAATGCCGACTGTCAAGTCGTCTCTCAACTCGCAAGGTTGAGTCGCGCTATAGGGATTAAGCCATAAGCATGAGCCGTCTTTCTCGTGGCCATTTCTCTGCTTGACTCGGCTATTATGCTTGTAACAAGAAGGTGAATTTATGAAGGGAGTGTCCCGGAAAGGCCTCGATGGATTTATGGCTTTTGTGGCGTTTCCTGATCACGAGTCGGTTACAAGTTCCACGAGAGGGCTGAAAATCAATATATTTCTTCCAAGCTCCGGCACTAGCTCTATTCATGCGCCAATTGTGTTCCAATTTCAAGATCTCCTCGAAGCTGCGGGGAAGATAAACCTCATCGATGTCATAGTATCGATAAAAATAACCAGCTAATGATTAGATTTCATTCTGATAAATCCTCACCGCCCGCTGGGTTCCTGGTTGACATTATGGCGAGGCAACCAAATAGAACGCGCCTCCCTGGTTTATGCGGGGAAGGCCGCGACTGAAATCGAACAGTACTGAAGTGGCCGTGTGCGTCGCGCCTCCAAAGCCGCCAAACCATTCGTTAACCACATATACGAGACCCAGGCATGCAGGCCAGAAGCACTTTGCTGATCAGGCCAGTGTTTCTGTATTGGTGCAGGTAGCTGAAAACACTGCGGCTGACCTGGCTACAATGTTTGCTTCCGCAGGGTTTGCCGTCACAGCCATCCTGGTACCAGTCTATTGATGGCCCCAGTGGTATCCAGTGTCCAATCCCGAACTGCCATCACACTTATCCTCTTAGGACTGACGTACTTGGGGGCTGTATGGGATCTGGCAGATCGAGTTCACCCCGCCATTTCACGCTGGTGTGGGTCACGCGATGAGGCTCTTGGTTGGCCCTGTGTATAGTAACGTGACCATTATTCACCAATCACATATCTCTAAGTCATATCCACTTGCCATGCACCAATCAAATCGTCAACAGTGATTTAGTGTGCTGTGTGGCGTATATAAAAAGCAAAATTATGTATGTAGGACCTCATGGTTTAAATTTTGATAGGCTGTGATGTCACGGTTTTACGTAGGCTGCTTCATTTCCCGGGGTTGGCTCTCGATGACCCATCAGTAAGTTACAGCCCCTCCTGTCGCAGGGTTCGTGACGACGCCCCTCTTTCCTACAAATATCGGCCTCCACCAACAACTGCTACTTGACTTTTAACCTAACGCACTACCCTCTTTCAATTTCCATAAGGCCCGACCCCGTCCAATCTACACCAGAACAAGACCTAGCCTCAGCTCTACTGGTTTACTCCGTTGCCAGTTTGACAAACCCATACGAGTATATATGCACAATCGGACTGGACTAGTAGGTATTTCCCTCTGTATGTAGGTCAGTATCCTAGCCGCCAGCGGTCACAGAGCATGGGGTTATGCAACAGATACTAGGCGAGTCTTTTGGCTAGAAATGCTGTCCTGCGCACTTTGCTGAACACAGTCTTCAAGTTTCTACTTCCTCCACCATGTTTTCAAGTTGTGATAAGAGCCCTATCTATCAGACTCTCACCGGGCTTCGTTTGCTTCTCGATATGTCGGATTACCCTACAGTCGACACCCGGCCTGAAGTCGAGAAGATCTCCGAGTTGTTCAATACCACCATAGATGGCTGGATCTTTGCAAACCCTCTGACTGCCAACAATACCTCATTCCGTTCCCAGTTGGTTCGGTGTGTGTACCCGATGAGCGGTGGATATAGCTTGACTCCACGCGTGGTTTTCTACGTTCTTGCCGCGGTCTCTGTTTATGGTCGTGATCACGAATGGGCAACTAGTGCTGCGCTTGGAGGTGTTATAATATACAGCTCAACAGCCGCAATTCACGCGTTAATCCTCGTCGGTATTCGCCATCAGCTTGCACCGTTGTGGCTGTTTCCGGATTTCCAGAGGGTCCTTGTTGAAGGCCAATCACCCGACGGCCAGTATAACTTCACGGACACACGTCAGCAGAACGCGGCGCTGTGGCTACCTATTATCCCGATGGCTTGGGATAATGACAGTGATCCAACTTTACTCATCACAGGTGTTGCTTTTCTCCTACTACTTCCTATGTACAACTTCTCAAAGACATTGGGAAAATCTTCTGCAGAACGGAAGATGATCATTGTTTTTTGGGCACTCCTTCTTTTCGCTGGTCTTATTGCTGCTCTTATAAACTCAGCGTACGTCATCTTCTGGTCGTTTCCTCAACTCAGATTTTGTCCGCTCGACCGGGCAGACAACCTTCCAATCCAGAATAACGGTGCGCCGTCAGTTGTTGGACCGTGGGATCGGCATGATTGGTATATGTGGAATCGGACTATCCGCGACTATTTTGTCTCTAATAACGCAACAATACGACCTACCACCACATGTCTCTATACCTGTTTCGATACGTCGTGGCCACTGAGAGACCCGACAGATATACAGGTATTTCCTTCGGCAATCATTCAAGCCAACACGGCCCTCTCTATCTATTTATTCCAATTTGCGATTTATGTCTTGGTCGGCTGCTCTACAGCAGTAGGTTTAACGCTCGCTCTGATGAAGCACTTACCTTGGCTATCGGAGGGATGGCGTACATTTGACCTTACCGGATCCTGGAACCAGGTCTCGAAGGGATATAGCAAATTTATATCCGGACTCCGCGGGAAATTCAATTGTCGACGATATCTTTCAAGGCTTGGAAAGCTGATCTTACGGCTGTGGATTTTTCTGGTTATCTTATACTCTTCTGTACTCAGCCCCCTCGGTCTGATTGCATTCATAGTGTACAATGAGTGGGTAATAGCGGTCCTTGACCCGGGACAAGAGACTTTCCGGCATGTTGGACAGTGGAGTTCCTTGGTAATGGCTGTGCTTGCGCTTGCAGCTGCGATGATCCCTGGAATCATCTTACGGATAGTACGAAATACAAAGGGATCCGGAAAGCCTTAATAACGATACATAAGGGCTAAATTATTTGCCGTGTTGAGATACTCTGCGCTTTCAGAACCATACACATCCTTCATTCTGGCCAGGACATTTTCCAGCATCTCGCTGCTCTCGTCGTATTTTTTCAGACGCCAATAGACAGTGCCAACAGCGCGCATGGAATTCAGTGTTAAAGGGTGACCTGATCAAAGAACAGAAATATTTAGCCCCACTGCTTTGGTATAGAAGCTTGCAGATGAAGGATAATCCACTTTGTTCATGTAGCAGAAACCAAGAGCGCCGTACAAGTCAAACAGTTTTGTTTTGGGCTGAGGTTTAGAGTTATCTTTATAGCCGTGAAGACTGTGCCACGTAATGTTGATATAGCACCTCAGCTTGAGTGTATCGCTCAAAATAGGCGAATGAGGATGCTAAAACCACGATCGTGTCGGTCGAGACAGGGTCCAAATGTGCGCTCGCTGAAAAAAGTCCAAAGGCACTCCATACGGCGTCTAGATGAGTGAGGAGCCATTGCCTGCGAGTGAACAACATAAAGTCTATGTTTGTAGCCTCCTTGTACAAAATATTTGCCATTGTTTCAAGGGCCAATCTTGCAAATACTGTCCTTCGAGGGACTGCAAGGCGTCAAAAAGCCATTCAGTAATTATCGGATGTACGGTAAATGTTGCATACCCAGAGCCTAGCTCAATATTTTTTACAAGAGAAAGGGACTGGAGCTCAACAAGGATATCTTGAAACTTGAGGCTATCCCAGCGACCTTCCGTCGAACAGGCACAGGCCCACGATATCCGATCTGAATAATGAACTCCGTCCTTGCTGGTGACTGCGCAGAGTTCTTCGGAAAGATTGAGTCGGTTGAAAAACGCAAAGACTGATAACAGGTCGCCAACGCCCTCGGTATGTCTTTGAATATCTTGCAAGGAAAACTCAAATGTCACCGCAGTACTAGCGATTACGTCGACTCCAGTCTCGCCGTTTCGTTTCTTGTATTCCCAACATGATGGTAGATCGGACCATATTGCTGCTTTTGAAGATTTCTTCAAATTGTACATCTCATCAAATTCAGCTAGGTCCAAATTCCGCGCTTTAATATAAGGAGTCGCCTGGTCAATGGCCAGAGGAAGAAGCCCGAACTGATTGATCTTTTTTGCCTCTTTTAGATTGTTCTCAGTTCTCTGGTACGCAAGGCGATAAAAAACAAATCTAAAGCCTCATTGTCTGCCATTGGGTCTAGGTGTATAGTATCACCTAGGCGGGCTGAATCACAATGACGGCTTGTGATGAGGGCTGCTCCATACTTTCCAGGTCCGAACGGCAAGAGATCCATCAAATTCGGTATTTGACCTGGATTATCAAATTTATCCAGAACCATCAACCAAGGTATGGTCAACCTCGCAATAGCTTCCTTAGCAAAGCTGATCTCAAAGTTCGTACCTCGAAGATAAGTCTTCACATCGAGTATCCCGACAAACGTAACCTTGTCATTCTTCGCGAAGGAGATCCCGGCTTATCAGTCTCGCCATAAAGTTCATTATCGATTATTATTGAATTGTGATCAATTATTATGGCTTCATTGGCCGCGTGAATATTTCCTTCTTTCTCGAGGAACAGTGTGATCAGGTCAAAAAGCTCCCTTGAGTAATCGATTACTGGAAAAGCATAGACCACCCAATTCATGGAACAATAATGATGCAGAGGGTAGTTATTCCTTCGTTTAAGGAAATCTTTGCCATTCTGGCATCGTCCACTGGAAAAGTCCTCAAAAGAAAGATATGTGGTCATGGTCGTTGGAATCTCCAACTCTGCGTTACTTAACACTGGATGTTGCAAAAAGTACTCTTGCGCTGTGTGGTGGATCAAGCGTATGGTGCCTTTTTCTCGATCACATATCACCAACCCAGTGCACAGAGAATCGATAGTCTGCGGAGCTGGTAGGGATTTGCGATCGAATCTTATCATTCCGGGTCGTGTTCCCAGAGCATGGCGAAGTTCTTCAGGAATCAGATTTATTTTGCTATATGTTAACCAAGATAGAGTTTTGATAGCCATCCGCACGCAAGGATCTGGTTGAGATTCAATCCTTTGAACAGCTTGGTCATAGGCGTATTTCATGACATTTCTTCCTAGTGGAAGCTCTAGGAGTGCCTCCTCTAACTCTCCAGCACTGGGTTAACCCATCAATTGATCCATATGCAGCCGAGCCAGTAGGAATCTATAACATTTAGTAAATCGGCTTAAAAAATGTTTAATGATGAGTCCTTCCCGACCATACTGCCAGATGAAATAATTCCGTAATGAACAGCGAACAGTGGACTGAAAGAGACGATCAAATGAGGGTCCAGGGTGACAATACCCATTATTCCGAAGCCTGGGGTACTTGTCGAGCATTTGTTCAATATACTTCATGGCCTTATTTCCCTGCATTTGATGGGCGGATTTCATTTTCATCAGGGCTGAGCTCAGGGCTTCCGGTGGTCGATTTAATGCAGGAATGGCATAGAATATCCCATCGCTAATTACCTTCCCAAAATCATGCGTGACGACTCCACCGGTCTCATCGTCACTGCCAATTACCACATCACCCAGACGAATGTCTCGATGATTTTCGTGATCGGGGATACCTTCGCCAATCCCAACAAACAAGCCCACGCGGATATTCGGGAAGATGAATAACATCCTGTTTGCGATTACACCCATAGAGATAGATCCATCCCTAATGACTGGTAGGCGATTGATCCCAATACATATGTGTTCTTGTCGGCCAAATCCGGTACTTCTCGAGGCAAACCATGCTCCTCGTCGAGCATTCCCCTTGCGGCGGTTAATTCGAGGGGTAGGGCGCAAATCCATCCTACCGTATATTCTTCGTTTCCAAACAAGGAGTGCGAGGTGCCGGTCATGTTAAAGCTGTGTCTCTGCCAGTGGTCGCCTCCGGGAGTTTCGATAGTTAAATAGGAGCTTTTGTAGCAGACTGAATGAAGGGGCGCCGTTTTCGAGTTGTGCGTGCGAGTTAGCGCCGAAGACGCCGCTACTAATAATACCATGTTTCAGCTCCATCTCTAAACCCATCACACTCGAGTAAGCGAGGGAGTACTCCACGTGATGGGCGTCAATCTTCACGACTGTAGTATGGAATTGAAAAGTATATCGCGTAGTGACAGGCTGTGATAGATTATTGGTCGTGGCTGGGAGGGAGATCAGCTGGCGTTGACGGTGGTTAAAAAAGCTTATGGAGTAAAACAAGCCCATTGGTGAATAATGGATGCATAGGTTCGAGCCAAACTCCCTGGGATCAACCTCATTAATTTCTTCAATTCCATGGATCTAATGCACTAGATGTTAAAACGATCTCGGGGTACAAGTGGGCTAGAATTCAATATCTCCCGAGGTTGACCACCTCAAATTGTTGAAGACGATTGGTGCGTAATACGACCATACCCAGGAGAGCTTATTTTTGTCTCTCCTTTCTTTACGAAAATTTGCAAATTGAATAAAGAGGAGGGATTGCTTGATCACCAAGCATCGATTTATCAAAAAGGAACAACCGCAATAACCAGACAGGCACAGGTATGTATGTACAAAAAGACAGGACATGCAACAGTCATGCTGAACAAAAAGCCGGTAAATGAAGTCCAAGAAGAATAAGGGGAAAAAGAACGCTTCGAAATCACAGGAGACCTTTGACGCTTTCTCCAGCAAGCCCCCCTGCCCTAGAGCTAGGGCTAAGCTAGGTTAAGCTGGAGAGTACATTTGCGCCGAGAATAATCCCTGACATGTGATCAAGATATCATAGTTGCGGATCAGCATCATCACATGCTGAGAGCCGCCGCCGTAAATGATATTGCCATCTATTGCCGAGAGTCCAAGCCCCGGTTGATGTTTTGGAAATGCGAAGCCTGCTCGCTGAGAGAGCCGCCAACTGGAGCTATGTTGCTGCCAGGTCTATACAAGTTGAGGTAAAAGTGAGAGGAGGAGAGAGAGATTAGGATGTTGGTAGTGGGCGGAGGTTGAAGGAGAGGAGTCTTCCTAGTTCGTGTCGGCCGGTCATCATATCATGCCATTTTGATCCTCGGCCACGCGCAGCTTCATTTCGCCTTCGAGCTGGAAGTTGTGGATCAACTTTCGCAGGTACTCGTAGGTAAGCATGGTAGTCATGGCTGCCGGGACGGCTCGGAACAGATTAGTGCCAATCCCGGAGTAGAACGCGCGCCAGCCCTCTTCTCTGAGGATTGTTTGACATGTGCGCAACATTCCATCGTAGCGAGGGCGATTGGGCATGCCGTCGGATGACGAGACGCTCGGTGGCCGACCGCGGTCGTGGGGATGGTGTAGTCCTCCGCGGAAGGATATTTCTTCGGGCGATGGTGCCGGTGCCGTGCGCTGTTGGGTTTGGAGGCGGGTGCGCAGAACCTCGTGGGGATAGGTTACTGTGCTAGCACAGATCTTGCTCAAAAATGTGGCGACGGAAATACCAACCCAGTGGGACCTTCCAGTGTCAGGATGCTCTCCAATTCCATATCCCGTGAGTGCCATTTTCAGATACTCATAAAGCGGGAATTGTATGGCGACATGAGTCAGACCCAGTAGGGCGGGCGTTAGGCCGGAGTAGAAAGAGCGAAGTCCCTCTATCTGATACATCTTGCGAGCGGCATCCCATGTGCCTGAATATTGCCATGGAGCTCGTCCTCCTTCACTATTTTGTTTGAGGCTCTGCGACATAAGCCTTGTTTTGATGACCCAGATCGGGTTCGTCACAATAGTAGAACATGCACCTGCAGTGATAGATGCATACCCACGGGAAAGCCACCAGCTATCTGAGGTCGAGTTAGCAGACTGCGGTATGATACGCAGGGGGGTCGAAATGGGAACTCACCTGTTTGTTCGAAGAAGTACTCGCGGGATCGATCGTACACAGCTAGGTAGACGGCCCATGTGGGCAGATAGCCCAGCAGCATTGGGCCCAGTCCTTGGTATAGGCCGCGCAGACCATCTTCCCTGAATATCACTTTTCCAGTGCCCAGCATTCCCCGGTAGAGGGTCTTGGTCTCAAGTGACTGTCCTCCCCGCCGGGCAAAGCCACCTTGGGCTTGCAGCTTTGTCTTTATAACATCAAGTGGGCAGGTCACGATCCCAGAAGCCACGCCTGCGCTAGCTCCGCAAAATGGTGCAATCCAGAAGTTGGGGATCTTGGTGGAGAAAATCTCTAAGCGGGTGGTGAAGTCGGAGGTTGACGTCGATGCGACGGGAACATGGGGGGCGGACGAGGCGGCATTTGGTATATTGGAGCTCTGTAGCAAATCGGCAGAGCTGTTGGCAGCTTCAGTGCTGCCTCTGCCATCGGAGCGCATTGTTGTGCAGTTGGCAGGCGCTCACACTTGTCCGTCTTGATCACCGAGGGTTCCCGGACGCAAGCATATCGTTACTCCGAAACCGAAAAGGCGCGACTTGGAACAATCTGAGGGTGGATGAAAGCAAGAAAGCGCTCGCTGTCGTGATCGATATGTTGACCGAAAGTGCGAGGAGATGGGGGGGCTCGAGCGAAGAGGGTACTGTCCGATGATTACCGAGCGGGAGTGGTGATGCGATGTACCCTATGCAGCACGGGCTTGGGGGAGTGGGGGAAGGACCCTAGCAAAGCAAGCTCCCCGCAACAGGGATTAAAAAGCACTTCAGGAGATATGAGACCCCATGATCCGACTAAAAGAAGGTAAAGAAGGAAGTTGAGAGCAGATTCCGGAATTGGGGAAAGGTGCAGGTGCAGGTGGTGCGAGGCAATCGCAGAACTCCCCGCGGGCCTCAGGCAAGTCCAGGCAAGTTTCGGGTTATCACGTGAGCGGTCAAGGGAGTACAGACTGCCAAGGCTATCGCCCAATCCGGACTAGTGCCGCAAGCTCCGTTTTGCACACTCGCAACGTCGGGTCATCTCGTGTTCTGTCCAAGCCGGTCTTTTCCCCTTCCTCCAATCCAACTCGATACCCTCCACCATGTCTGCTCCTTCGATCGCCAACTACATTGTCAAGCGTCCCTGGCTCAAGCGCTGGATGACCCCTCTGGCCAACTGGTACACCGATGCCGCCGGCTACAGGAAGCTCGGACTGAAGTAATTATCGTCCCCCTCCGTCAATTCCTGTCAACCGCGGATATTCGACTCGACCAGCTGGGCTTCTATCATGCGTGCGACGATATCGACAATCCTCATCTTTCGCTATGGCCAATGTGGTCGCAATTCGCATTCGCATCCGCATGAACCCGACGCAGTCGTTCCGATACCCGCGACAGTGAACATATCCCCTTCTACACCAGAGACTAACCACGCCATATCTAGGTTCGACGACCTGATCCCCGAGGAGAGTGAGAACGTCCAGAAGGCCATCAAGCGTCTTCCTGCCAAGGAGGCCTACGACCGTGTCTTCCGTATCCGCCGCGCTTTCCAGGTTCGCCCGAAACCCCCTTCCCCGAGAATCCCCTCCGATCGAGGAATTATCTAACATAACACTCTCAATTGCAGTGCTCTATCTCCCACACTCTCCTTCCTGCCAACGAGCAGATCAAGCCCGAGGAGGTGAGTTTGTCGCGAATTCGCTTTCATCCAAAATTCGCCCTCCCCGCATATCCCCGTATTGGCCAATCCTGTTGCGAGGATTTGTCACATATCGCCCTGAACCTCGACGCCCACTCGCACCCCTTGACACCCACTCACCCCTCGATCAACTTAATACTAATACCTTCTCTTGATTAGGACGTCGAGTACCTCAGCCCTATCATCCGTGAGGTCGAGAAGGAGGCCAAGGAGCGCGCTGACCTGGAGACCCTCACCCTCCGCAAGTAGACTTCCCTGGGTGGATCTTCTTCCGTTGCGATTGATATGAAAAGCCGATAAGATGCGAGCGCGATGGGGTTGTTGCATGACATAGATGGATTTATTTTTAGGCGAGGATATGGACCAGCTGTCTTAATCCACTTGTGTACTGATATTGTACAAATCGATTTTCTTGGTTCTGCTTTACACAACCCGTGTCCCATGCCCGTCCATGTTGGATGATATCCTAATAGTACAAGAATGAGTCTTCTTACACCCGCTACTCTCCTTGGCTGGCAGCCACCGGCCACTGAAGACTGCCTCGGGCTGAGAACAACCCGTCGACCCCTACACCATCCATCCGGAGTTCAATAGTACTCGTCTAAATCATTATTCCCTTGCTAGGAGCCCTGGTGGGGTATATAATAACAACCACTATCCGTCCCAGAGTGGGCATCCAGCACGCATGATATTTCTAGCCTCCGATTTTCAGCCAATTCAACCTGTAAGAACAGCAACATCAACATTCTCAATCCGCCACATATACCACATGAAAAGACTCCTATCGACGGTATGGGGTCAGTACAAGTAGTAACACACAACCTCAACATCAAACTCATCCCAGGCGGTGTCAATCATACCTATACGGCGCAAACTTGGCAGCCAATTCTAGCATATCCTTTTCCGACATATACTTAAACTTACCACCACCCTTACCCTTCAACTTACCAACATCCCTCCCAACAAAAGCAGCACAGCCACGTCTAAATCGCATCCCATCGCATCAGCAAACACAATCACCACCAAACAGATTCGGCAGAGAATCAAACTCACTGAACCCCCAAATCCCCCGTCGAAAAAACATCAATCCTCTTCAACGCAAAACAAGCAAACATCTCAACAGACCACCTCCCCAACCCCCGAACAGCCGTCAACATCTCAACAAGCTCCTCATCCGATGCCGTCGCCAAACCCCTCGCACTAAGTTCCCCGCTAGCAAACTTCTCCGCCAACCCCTGTATATACTCCGCCTTGCGCTGACTCAGTCCCGCCGTCCGTAACGTAGGAATATCGCACCGCGCGACAATATCAGGCGTTGGGAATCGCGAATGTGCAAGTCCGCCTTCTTCTACTCCTGCGCTTGCATCTGCACTCGCGGCGGCAGTTCCCGGTAGATTGAACAATGCGACGAATTTGTTTCGGATGGACTTTGCCGCTGCACCGGAGACTTGTTGGCCGATGATGCTGCTGGTAAGACTATTGAAGGGGTCTATTTGTTCTGCAAGGCCGGCGGGGAGAAGAGCGGACAGGGGTGTGCTTCGATGACGGGTTTAAGGCGCGGGTCTGTGGCGATGAGGTGAGCGAGGCCTTGGTCTAGAAGGGTTCCTGTTGTTGCGGTTGGGTGGGGTAGGCCTGTTTTCGAGGGCGAGGCTTCGGCGAGGGTTGTTGGGTAGGCGTTTATCGAGGAGCCGTGGGGAGTTAGGAGGGTTGCGTTTGTTCGGTGCGGGTCGACGGGACGGTTTAATGGGGGTGGTGTGGAGGGTCTGGTTGTTGCGGATGTTGGGGTTGAGTCCCAGTATGATGAGCTTGTTGCAGTAGTGGTAGAGGTTGTTGGAAGTGGGGGTGTTGTGTGTTTGCTCTTGGGCGTCTTTGTAGTGGCCTTTTTGATTGTAGGTTTGCGTGGCTTGGTGATGCTGTTGTTGTGCTGTACTCTTGTCACTTTGAGTGCAGGTGCAGGTGCAGCGCTTGACATTGGAGCTGTCAGTGATGGGATGGCGCCCAGTCGGGCTGATCGTCTGAGCGACATGCTGGCTTCAAGTTCTGGCGGGTATAAATATCAGGCTGAGGTAATGACTGCTCAGGTAGTATAGCTGATGAAGAGAAGTTGACGTTGAGGGGGGAGGTTGAGTCTCCGACTCCCGATGTCCCCGGATTCCGGCTGACGCATGCCAAGCTTCGTATCGCGGTGAACCCCAGGGCTGGTACTCGCACGGTTCAAATCACATTATAATATGGACATGGGACCCTATCTCTGAGAAGTCGTGTTCACTTGAGAAAGGTGTGGGCAGCTAATGTTGCCTCTTTACAATTTCAATATTCAAGACTACTCCGAGAAATATATGTACTACTTACTAGTATTAGTAACCAAACCTATTATTATATGTTACAATTATACTCCAAATTCTTTATTGGATTACTGTAGCCAACAATTTGCTATTAACTCCAATGTATGAAGCCTTGAATTACTGCCCGGCCTGTCCAGATGGCGAAGTATCACCAATATACTCGGAAGGTGGATGATTGACCACCACATAGCCAATAGCTTCAAGTTGTGACTCCTACTACGTCCTTCCAAGATTTACTACCAGACAATAAGGAATAGTAGGAATGAATTTAATTGAAGAATCCAATTAAATCAGCTGGAGGTTCACATTTAATCAACTCAATCGGCTATCCACAACCTAAAAAAGGCCTTCTATATTACTTTTCTATCTACATTTCCACAAATTTCCACAATAACTCGAAGGACCCACGACAATTGGGTTGTTTTCTGTGAACCATATGTGACCAATGGAAACCCCTACAGATCCAAGCCGAGCGCAAGCCAAGCCAGCCCAGTACAATTTCTATAACCTAGCCCAGCTTAGACCGGAAGGCTTACCGGCCAGAGAATCATGTTGCTGCCTCTGTGTTTTCGCGACAAGCGAGAAATGGAAAGCAATTGGCCCAATGGTTCGACTGTATCAATCACCCATGGATAGACCAATACAGTTGTATGCAGTAAAGGCGTTCAATTGGGCCGAATCTACTCCGCCAACGCCCAGTCCCAAGGTTCAACGTCGTAAACGGTCGCGATCCAAGGAGATCCACGGATCGCCCGAACATGGCGTTCTGATTCAAGTTTCTAACAGGCACAATCCCATTCGCACTTCCAAGGTTTCCCTCACTGCGGGTTCTATTTCGAGACACACCACACGATAAGTCAACATGGGGCACACAACACCACGACCTGGGCAAAGGTAAGACCAATTGGCCACGACACTTCAACCACTAGCGTGGATTTTGATAAGCCAATGTTGGCCCCCGACCCAGGAGGCTTGCGTCAGCCTATCTAGGCCAGCCGGCTAGCTTGTTCTTTTCTCCAGGTTAAGTGAGCAGGAGCACAAGGAAAAATAAAACCGAATAAATGAATAATTTGTAGACAGTGGGGGCTAACACTGATCGCCCACGTCGGGTCCAGCCAGTCAAAACAGCCATTCCCGCCACTATTATGTCAAGATCAAGATTTATCCAGTCGGTCCTTGGGCATGCGCCTTTTAGTTTAAAACAATGTTCAGTCTGTATCTCGGGTAACCGTACGGAGAACTCGGTCCTCCGTACCGATATGCAGATACATACACCAGACATCGTTGAAGAAACCAGAACCAGAACCAGAGCCAGAACATCAACTTGAAAAAAAAGGCTAATGAGAATGAAAAAAAAACCCGACGACGCCAAAAGACAAAAGAAAAGCTTCGCGCTGACCATCTAGCCCGAAACGGCGCCTCTCAAACCCGCGGCTCCCCCCCCCTTCCCCCATACTCCCCAGAGTCTAGATGATGGTATGGACTCCGCCGTTGACTGACTTGGGGTATGTATGCATGCCCATGGCTCTGTGTGAGCAACTCCGTTCTTCGTAGAAGGTCCTGTGGTCTGGAGAATGTTGCCAGCCTCCCCCTATTTACGTTCGCGATGGGTGAACTCCTTGATTCGCCCCATACCCACGTTCCCACGCATTCCAGAAAAGCCGAGAAAAGGCCTCGTGGAATGTGAGTCGGTTGTTCATATTTGTATACCTGTCTGTATCTACCTAGGTATGTATCGACTCACAGTAAAACCCTGGGGCTCAAGATCAGTTTAAGTATTAAGGTCCATACGGGATATGCAGTACTCTTCAGTATGTATGGAGTACGGAGTACACATGTAGATAGATATTGATCTGTATAGTGAATTGGTATGTCATATGCAAAAGTTTTATCTGGACGCGCGGTTCACTTCGTGGTTACTACAGCCACAAAACAGGGAAAATAGTATACACTAGGTAGGCAAAAATACCTACGAAGTATGTACTGCAGTTACTGAAATTTGTGCTCGGGGCCAAGTCCTTGCCTAAGAGTGCCAATAACCAAGGCTAAGTGCAAGCACTACGTACATGTGTACTTACTCCGTGTCTCGAGTGGGAAATTTTCGTCTTCTCTGCAGGCAGTCCTGTATCTAAGCGATGGGATGGGATGGGTCGATGGGCCGGGTCGGTGGAGCCGGGTGGAGTGAGTAACCCCGAGGCCCAAGCAAGTTTGGCCTTCGATCTGAAACAGTCGTAATACCACTACCAAACAGTAAATTTGAAATTGCGCGATGTGACCATGGCCAGGCTGTGCAATTAGCTGATAGTCTGCGATGAGCATGGCATCAACACTACTCCATGGGCGCGGAGCAGAACAGGGAAAAGAAAATTAGAACGGCAAGGCAAGGTAGAGATAGCAAGGCAATCTCGTAGAGTCGATCATCAATAAGCCGACCGGAAAACCTTCCTTCAGATCCTTTAGATGGGCCGAGCAGGAGTGCAGAACAACTGCATACGGAGGTTGGCTCGCCGATCCGTGAGCTCTCGTCGATCGGCCGCTCTCCTTGCAAGTGACAGCCGAGCTGTCGCGGATCGATCGAATGGAATGATCGAAGGATCAAGTATGGGTGACTTCAAGAGATACGGAGTACTCTGTCTATGTACTGTACAACTCCTGCCGCATCCCACTTAATCCGAGTATACTAGTCGCAAGGACCGCCCCAGTAAGCTGGCTGTGCCTGGCCGATCCAAATTACAATCTTCAGGCCGTATATTAAATAACCCCTGTCAGGTCCGCAGAGCTTGCCCAAGCGGAAAAAGGCCAGGCCAGGGGCAGCGATCGCATTTTGCCACCTGGAGAGCTATTTTTTGCGCCGGCGATGGGGGCAGTTAGTGTATCATTATTATTAGATGGCTAGCTAGCTTCGTGCTCCTAGCCCCGTGCTCCGTACTTCTGCGCGTATGTAGTACATACATACAGTGTGTACAGTATGCAGTAAATTACTCCGCATTGGTAGTTTGCATGTGTTGCTCAGGGGATGGATGGGAATTATTTCCAGACTGAGAGCCAGGACTCGGACTAGTGCTGATGCGCGAGGGACGAGGGACGATCGTGTTGAATATCTCGCAGCATACAGAGTATTCCATATACATACAGAAATAGACAGCTGGGTAGTCTGAACTCTGTATATGCTATCTTGGGGCCGTATGATTGCGGAAGCAGGATTGGATTGGATTTAATCAGGGCGAGGCCATTCCTGCGTGCCAATCAGAGACGCACATGCCGGGGACGATAGCGGCAAAGGGGCGGCGGGTCCGGTAAAGGCTTGAATTCCTGCAATTTGCTCCGTACTGCGTATTCCATACATAGATCGACTGCCCCGTCGTAGAGAATAGAGAGTCGAGAGTCAGGAGTATAGTGCCTTTGTTGCTCCATCTTTAGGTCGTGCTTGGCAGAGCTTAGTTAAAGGGGCAGTGGGTGACAGGGTGGTTCCTGATCGCTGCAGAAGAGAAAGTTTGTCTAGTGGAATTGATGTTGATCAGGGGTAGCCGGATTACTAGTTTGGAGTACGGATGTACAGTGTACAGAGAGCCTATTGATGAGATTAAGGGTATGAATGACGACAGCGTATACGTGCATACCTATCTAGGTACAGGATGACTAGGTATACAGAAAAATAGTAGTTACATATACTGGTCTTAACTATGATCTACTATTGTTTGATGCAATGTAAGAGCACAGCTGTACAATACAGAGTGTAGGAATTGCACATAGCAGAAAATAGCAATTGACAATATTAACATCGATATCCATATTTCAGAACAGATGATGATATGGATCTCGCTAGTGGGTGGGTTGCACAACTCTATGCACGTCCAGGTGCAGTGTACATACACAGTATGACTACCTTGTACACTACGTGGCAAATAGTATCTCAATGCAAACTGAAGGCCAGAATATACATATTCTAGTTTCGAAGTAAACCTTGGAAAGAATAAATGTTTACAGTTAACTGGTATAGGCATAAGTGGACGAAAACGGACAGTGGAAACCAGTGTGAGTGGCTGTAGGAATTGCAATGAAAATTGACCGGATGCGGTATTGTGTTGGTATGCCCCTTGTAATTTGTGTATTTAACGGGCCTCCCCCCCCGAGTGGACCTTCATGTAAAGCAGGCATTGGAACTCTCTGATACGCAAGAGAAACACAACAAACTAAGAATACTCCACTCCACTCTCCTCCTTTCCTTTCGTTCCAACTTCTTAATTCTTCCTCTCCTCTCCATCCCCGTCCATTCGTTCTTTCCTCCGGGTCATCCTCTTTACCTTCGCTTCTTTCCAGTCGCGACTTTTCCATCCACTCGTTCTTACTCCCCTTTTTTATTATCGTGAGTTAACAACCTCTTCCCTGACAACTCTTCTTTATCCTCCGCTCCTCTCCTCTCCTCTCTCTGCACCAGATTCTCCCTACCTTTCTCTCATCATTCCTCAATATCTCAACCCAATTCTAATCTAACCGCCATTCCAGAGTACATCACAATGGTTTTCGCCAAGTATCTGCTGCCTGCCCTGGCGGCCACTCAGGTCGCTTTCGCTGCTAAGTGTGAGTATCCCATCTCCATCCCTCCATCCCCATTGCGACCGACTGAGACTGACTCGTTTCTCACAGGCGGTGACACCAAGATCTCCTCCCAGTCCGACGCTGATGGAATCGCCACTTGCTCCACCATCAAGGGTGATATCACTGTCGACTCCGACTTCTCCGGTGCCCTGAGCCTCGCCAGTGTCGAGAAGATCGATGGTGACCTGACTGTCAACAACGTCACTCAGCTCACTTCCTTCTCCGCCGACTCCATCTCCGAGATCACCGGTACCTTCAAGCTGACCAGCCTGACCACCCTCTCCAACCTGGCCTTCGCCAAGCTCGCCACTGTCGGCTCCCTGGAGTTCTCCGTCCTTCCCGCTCTGGAGTCCCTTGACTTCTCCACCGGTATCACCAAGGCCGGTGATGTCTACATCGCTGACACCAAGCTGGGCTCCCTCGACGGTATCACCCTTGATACCGTTGGTGCTTTCGACATCGAGAACAACCGCTACCTGAAGACCGTCAACGTCAACAACCTGAAGAACGCCACCGGCGATATCACCTTCGCTGCCAACTACGACGCCCTCCAGATTGAGCTCCCCAACCTCGGCACCGGCAAGAACCTGACCTGCCGCAACATCAGCAGCATCTCCGTTCCTTCCCTGAAGACTCTTACCGGTACTCTCGGCTTCTACGGCACTGACTTCAAGACCTTCATCGCTCCCAACCTGACCAGCACTGGCGATCTTGTCTTCATGAACAACAAGAAGCTCTCCAACATCAGCATGGCTGCTCTGACCAAGGTCAACGGTGGTTTCCAGATCTCCCGCAACGACAAGCTGCAGGAGATTGACCTCCCCAAGCTCGAGAAGGTCACTGGAGCTATTGACTTCAGCGGTACCTTCAACACGTGAGTTTCCCCCCTCTCCCTATCGGAGTCCCTATCCATTTTTCTTCCCAAACTAACAATTCCCAGTGTCGAGTTCGGTTCCCTCACTGAGGTCGCTGGTGGCTTCAACCTGCAGTCCACCGACGGCAAGTTCAACTGTGACACCTTCAACAAGATGCGTGGCGATGTCATCCGCGGTACCTACAAGTGTGTCGCCAAGGAGGACAACCCCACCACCTCCAGCGGCAAGTCTGGCACTAGCTCCAGCTCTTCCGGCTCTTCCAGCTCCAGCACCTCCAGCGGTGCTGCTGTCGCCAACGGTGCCTCTTTCGGTGCCGCCGGTGTCGCCGCCTTCTTCTACGCCATCGCTCAGCTCGTCTAAACGATGAGTTTGATCATGGTTATCCTTGGATAGAAAAAGGAGGTGTTGAGTGAAAGTTGTTTTTTGGCAAAGATTGTAGATGCAAAGTTCCACCAAGCAACGGTTTCATTGTTCTTGTCTTACCACACTTGCTGTTCTTATGATAATAATTTCCAGTCTTCGTTTCTGAGAGGAATATTCGCACAGGATCTTTCTGTCCCAGCGAGACTTACCCCCCATCGGAAAGGAGTTTTACCCTTTTTTATTACCCCCCCCTTGTCCTTATCTCCATATGTGTTTCCCAGAGCGGTTTCCCCCCCCTCTAATGTATTCGGTTGCAATGTGTAACATGTTCATTCCTTGATGATTCTCTGTAGTCTGGGTCCTCCTGGTAACAATTCGTAAGTAGTAGGTCGTGAGTTGGAGTTCCTGGATCGATATCCCCTGCTACAACATCGACCGCCGCACCTGGTCGTCCCCTTATATTACTGCGCCGATCCCTCATTGATCGCGCCCTGCCCCAGATACCATGCAACCCGAATTCCGCCAGGCGCTCGGAGTAGGTAGGAAATTGAAGTTGATTTTCTAATCACTGAATCTGATCCTGAACGTCGTCTGATTAATCTGCCTTACACTCGTACTGATAACAGTACTCGAAAACTTCCAGTTTCTACTACTACTACCTAGGTATATAAAGAGCACAGCACCACTGGCAGTTGGCCAGCGCAATTGTACTTCAAAAAGCTAGATACTATGTGAATCTACTACCTACTAAAAGCTACTGGTAACTACTACCTAGGTAGTACTAGTAGTGGACACGGACGAGTGGAAATATAGTACTGGTAGTAGGATTTACTTTGAGATATACGTGCCCAGGTGCGATGCAATAACTTCAACCTACTAGCATCCACGGTGTGTCCAGACTCTATTTTGCACCCGATCTATCAACACTACTACTACTACTACTACTACTACCTCCGTCACATCTTCATCCCACGGTCCTGATATACCAATGACTAGGACAGGCGAGCCGCAGCAAGAAAACATGGAATATAGGGAATTGCATTCCTCTACCCCCCAGCCGAGACCCGATTTATCCTACCGAGGACCCAGAAAGTTCAGATTTGGGCTTGGAGTTCGACGGTATGACGGTCATATCCTGAAGTATCCTCGAATTCCTCGATGAGGATGGAGCTCACCGTAAGATTATGCATGTAATTATATCTGCGACCCGTCTTATTATCTGATGATTTCAGCGAGACTAATATACGCATACAGAATTTACCAAGTGGATTGACTCGTTGAAGAGTTTCGCCTGGCCGTCGCGAGGGGGGGTTAGATTACCTGGTCTCGGCAATTGATAGCCCGGTATTTACTATCGAGGATGTTATAGAAGTTGTTCCGCTTGGGACAGACCTGAAAATCGTTTCTACAGTTCAGACTGAACTTTCCTCCCAAAAAAACCAACGATGCCTAAACGCTCGCTGTCCAGAAATTCCTCACGCACTTCGCGCAAGTGACTGGAAACATCCAGACTATCTGCCCAGGAATCCACACCTACCTAGTTCCCTGGCAAAACACCTAGATCCGGACGATTGATCTCTGCTGGTGGCAGTGGAAGGGTTTGCGCTGCGAACTTCGGACAGTCTGGCTGGATAGGAATGCTGCTCCTCGCCACACTGATCGAGAGCCTTTGCGACGCATGGATCCTGTCGGTCCTTGCTATTGATGTGGTGGACGAGATCGGGCGCCGATTCTCCTGGGATTTTGAGACGAAGGGAAACCCCCATGCCCATCGGGGCCTTACCACGCTGGTGACCGAACCCAGCCTGCTCTCCGCGCTGATCGAGAATCTGCTTCTCGCTACGCTGGTGAATGAGGTCGAGATTCTTCAATTATCTCAGGCTCGAGGTATTTAATTGTCTTTGTTGACAGTTGCTGGGCGCTTTCTGATTTCTGCATTTATCTTGGTGGTTGTGAAGCATACACCCGCTCCTGTCTATCAGGTGTAGCTTTGATCGGGGATGACGACCGGTATCCATGGCGTCTATAGGAGGAAGCGGACAACAACAAGTTCGGGGGTCATCAGTTTCTCGGCATTATCACAGCAGGCCGAACCTATGTCAAAAAAATAGACGAGACACCTGGGCATATTCCACGAATATAGGACGACAAACCTTTCCCCAGAGAATTCGATAACATATATATAATAGATAACCACGACGCCGTCTACCTAGTAGATATATGGTACCCCAAGCGGGCAAACTCGCCATCGGGAATATCGTATTAGACAACATTCTTCAATACGTGCACAGATTCCACTAGATACACATAGTCGCCGATGAATTGAAAGTACTGAACGTCAAGCCGGAAACTCGAAGAATAAAGTAGGGGACATCACCCGAGTCATGAGGCCATAACGACTGAAGGAGAGGGTTCATGTTAACTATTTGGGCTAGCATAGCATGAGTAGTCCGTCACGTATCAAACGTCAGACGCCACCTGTATCTCCTCCCTTAGAAGGAAGAATAAAATATCATGTTATCTTCCTCCGAGTCTACACCCATCTACTTGACAGTAAAGCCATTACTACTACCACTACCACCACCACTGCTGCTGCTACTTTAGAGCGAGAAGACGAGAAAAGACGAACGAGACATGTACTTTCGACAACTGGGGCCTGAGACTCGTAGAAAGAGAAAAAGCCAAGAAAAAAAAATGACGAAACTACTTCAAGCCCGGTACTTTGTTCATCGACATATCTAAACTTTACAGCATGAGGGTATGTCCCAGAAACCAGGTTTTCCCGGCCATCTCCGCATGCACGACCGGAAGCGATAGACCAGAGATAGAAAAGCGCAGATCCAAAGTCTGAATTCTCTGAGACTTTGTTTCAGAGTGGAAAATGCTCCGTCCGATCCAAGTGGGAGAGGGAGGGGAAACTACACAATACACCGATATTTTTGCATTGCAAGAAAATTTGCTTTTTTGAACCCCTCCAGCCAGGACTTTTGTGGGGTTCATGTGTGAAGCAATGACAGCGCAACGCTTCGAAGCGAAGTGATACCATGTCGTACAATGCGATGTGCCGCAGCAGCCAGGCCAGCGGGTACCGACTTTGCCCACTGCACGCTCCAAAGACAGCATAATCGTCGAATGAGGTCTGATCTAGATCCCGTTCGGTGTCTAGTACTAAAGCACTTTACCCCGCCCGGTCTATTTGATTTGAATCTTGGAATTGAATCGGGTCTGTCATTTTGGGGCTCGGAAATATCTTACCATTACCTTTTCTGGTGAAATCTAGCGTTGGTGTGGCTAGGCACGGAGTAGTGCGAGAACGATTGCAATGCGCCGGCATCCACTTTACTGCTGTGCAGCCGATGAGCCGTTCCGCGGATGAGAGGGTTAAGTTCCGACCGATAGACTCCGCAGTACAGAGTATTTGGTGGTGGAATGGATCTCCAGGGTGGCTGGGACAAGACAGGAACGGGTGGGAGTGGAGCTGGAACCACGAAGAAAGTAACTACGATTCTAGTTCGTGAGTCTGAGCAGCTACTGTGGAGTATTTTGAAGTAACTAACAGCTGGATCGTAGTCGAAATCGAAGACCCGCCGAAGATCAGAAAACTTTGGAACTTTCTGCCGGCCATCGATGCGTTCGTGGTGGAAATCAATCATGGATTTGATCCATGGATGGTACCCTACCATTATACGAGGTGATTAGAGATGGTGATAGATAATACTCCGTAATTTTACTACTCGTAGTAATACTAGTATAATCCAGGGCTTGATATTAATGTAAACCTTAGAACCCGGACAATATACCATGGGGCTTGCAAATGGAATAAGTACCTAGGCATAGAGCTACAATTGCCATCTCTGATCCGAGTCCCACAAGCACAATACTTGAGTAATCGCAATTACTATAATAAAAAGAACGCATAATACGTAGGTGCTAAAAGACGAAAAGCTGGCCACAACGAAGAAAAAAGAAGAAAAAAGACTCCTCTCTTCCCCGCTTGTTTCACTTCCGTCCATGTGCGTCTCAAGTGTTGTCATGCAGCAGGACAGAATCGAGACCATCCTGTCGGGGCGCTGTGGATGTGTCGAATCCGCCCCGCTGGGTCTCCTCGCGGGCCACGGAGTTAGTGCACTCTTAGTGCGATATTAGTGTCCGCGTCCTCTTCCGATAGGAGGGTCAGAACGATATTTCAGCCTGTGAGAGCAGCGCACCCTGGGGTTTCCAGATTTTGGTAACCTTGAAATATTTTCTTTTGGTTCTTTGATCGGCGAGAGGCGTCCAGGCAGCCCGCCAAGAGAAGATAGGGATGGTGGTAGGGAAGGAGAGGAGAGGAGAGAGAGGGGGAGAAAGATGGGGCTCAAGGTTTGGATAGGCGCGCAGTGATTACTTTTGCTTTTTTCCCAACGATGGGGCTGGCGGGGACCGGGCTCTGCCCTAGGGTAAATGGTTTAAATGGGTTTACTGGGTTGACTAGTGAATTGCGGCGATCGCCCATTTATATGGAGTATAGAGGTGGGTGGCTGGAAGGACAGAGAAAGGAGATCACCATCTGTACTCCGTACAGATGGATGAGGTGAGGGTTTTGCAGGATGCTTAAAATTGCGATCTAGATCGCGCAAGCCAAAGTGCATGACAATAGCCATCATACCGTGCATGAAATGAAGCAGGAACAGGAACAGGAACAGGAACACAAAGCAGGGAAACGAGAAGCATGCGGATCGGGTTCGCAGGGCCCGGGCCAGACGTAGCCTTGCCAGCAAGCATCTTCTCCATACGAAATACCCTTTTTTGCGGTCTCCCCACCCGCTGGCCCGTGCCTGCACAACTAAGTTTGTACAAAGCGCCGTGACAGATCCAAGGGAGGAAAATTCTTCCCAAGAGGCTGGGGTCTTCGTGTGGACAGGCCGGATCTAACTTTCTTAGCCACAATTCTTTCCTTTCCATCGGGATCAGTTATATTTTCCTTGGAAGAACTTGATTCACTAGAATTCGCCGACGATCTGAGGCTGAGCCAGTGGGAAGAGCTTCTTGGCAAAGAAACCAAGGAATTAAACAGACCCTGTTCAGCCATCGGGGATATCAGTTTGAACTCTAAGAAGCCTCAGTATAGCATGGCTGAGACGATTGGCTCAGAGAACCGGATCATAAGCTCGTATATGTCCTAGTGTCATCGAGCATCAGGAAGCTTGATCGGGATTTGGTCGATGACGCTCTCACAGATCTCTTGCGGGATTTGTATGCTCCAGGGTTCACTCGGTGGATAGAATGTGGGTATTGGCCAACGCAGCAGGTGCCACAATAGTCATGGAGAAAGGATTCTGTCTTGCAGTTGTCCGCATAGTCTCCATTCTCTACGGGACGGAAACGCCCGTCCTGGACCGCATATGTGAACCGTGGAGCATTGCCGTGGAGAAAAGAGAAGGGACAATCACTGGCAGGTGAGCTGGTATCTCCAGGGCTCGTGGAAACGCAAGTATACTAGTACTAGTACCTACAGTCTCGAGGAGACCAACTTGAAGGAACCGCTTCGGACAGTTGGCAAGACTCGTGTAGTAGTGATCCGCGTAATTTTTCTCCCCCTAAATCCTCCAGGGCTCCTGCACATCTCTTCTTAGATCTCCGATCGGATTGACAAATGGTACCTGGGTGAGGCCGACGCAAAGCTCGACCCACCGCGATATACATTCACCTTGCATAGAAGGCAACTTGGGATCCAGGTAATGGGGAATCCCGGTCCCTGAGCTCGAGCACCGATCACTACGCATCCTGTAGGAACGCGCAGTGATAGAGAATCTAAGCAAAACATGCGAACGTAATCTGTTGCCCCTGTGTCTGTACCTGTGCGATCGATGGCGAACTCCACGGGACTGCAAGTATCTCGGGGAAGTATGAGAGCTAGATGTGTCAGATGCGGCTAATTTGAGTTCCGAAGCAGATGTGGCCCAGAATAGTACCTTGTCGCCTCTCATATGCGCCCGGACGTCGCTAGAGCTGTATGGTATTTGTAGTCCTTGCAGCTTTCCCCCGTTCCCCGTCCTCTGGTGCTGATGGCCAGCGCATCCAGGGACCACTTGCCGGTCCCGGCGTTGACCAGTCGGGGATTTGATTCGGGGTTCTATCCCCTTCTCGTGTCCGGACCACTTGCAGATGTTGGTGGGATAGGTGTTCTTTGGGAGAGATCCTCATTTTTCTTTTTCTCTCTGGATATCTTTGATTTCGGAGCTAGCGAACGTACTTTGTTCATTTGTAGCCCGCAGGGTGTATGTCATGGATGATGAATATCTGCGATCCACAAGGGATTGATCCATGGATGAGCAATTGTCATTTCCCCTTTCCCTTGCTGCGGTCTTCCAAATCGATAACATGTTGAGCTAGCAATTAATTTTGCGCATCATGATTATTGTGTTAGCTATGGTGTAGTAGTAACATGTTAAGCTATAATTTCTTCAATAATTTTGCTATTGCATTGTACCAGCCGGTGATGAGATACTGCCATGTCACCACAAGCTAAACGAGAACACGTATTTCGAATAATCTATCACGAACTATGTATACGTTCGCATTGGAACTAGCACGAGTTCGCCTTCATGCTTGCCACTGGGAGCAGTACGTGGATGCGGAACAGGGCTCCCGGAGGCAAAAGCACGTACATAAATCTACTGTATGTACTCCGTACCCATGATTGCATGATTAGGGTTTCAGAGAGGAGACAAGAGAGGCTCAGACCATTGAAAAAGGAAAGAGGGCGAGAGAGATCGGATCTTCGACTGAAGAAACTGATCGAAATATCCACACGTAATGAGTGTGTCCGGGTGCTCCAGTGTGTCCAATGTACGAACCTACAATAGGAATTAGAGAGAGGGGACACGCACAGTAGTGGAGAGAGGTACATATGTAT